ACTGTCGGCGAAGCGAAACCGCCTCCTTGATCGCAAGCGAAGGAAAGCCCCGCGCGGCCGGCACTGCGGGGACCGCGGCCCCGGGGGCCTGCGCCCAGGAAGCCGCAGCCGCTCTGGCGCGCAGCCGCGCGAGGCGCTGGGAGGCACGCGGGCGGGGCCTCGAACCGCTGGGAGGCGGGCCGCCGGCCCGTTCCGCACGCCTATTGGCTGTCTGAGGGACGGACTGCTCTCGCTGGCCAGCCATAGTCCCGATGGGGCGCAAGCGTATTGGGGAGCGTACGCGACAGAGGGCGCGGAAGGCGAGAGACGCGCATGCGCCCAGGCGCCCGGCGACGGCGCGCTCTAACGGGCGGGGGGAGGCGGAGCCCCTCGCCCAGTCCAGCCCGCCGGGGCTGGGCCGCGCTCCTGAGCTGGCTCCTTTGGGAGCCTCGGGGCAGGGAACAGTCAGTGCCCAGCCCCTCCCATCGCGCCTGGCCGTCCGGCCGCGCCCCGGCACTCCCCGAGGCCGCTCGTCGCGCTGGGGAGTTGTTCCAGAAGCTTAGCCGCTGACGCCGCGTGCGCGCAGCGCGCCGCCCTCCTCCCCGCCCCGTCCGCGCCCTGCGGCCGCCGGGCACCGGCGGTAGCGCGACAGTTAGACCCAGCGCAGTGAGGGAAACCAAAACCAAGCTGGTGCCGGGTAGTAGCAGGTGCTCAGAACAACGTGGTGCCCCGCGGGGACGTGAGGGGGCACGGCCGGGGGCGCAGGCCTGGTGCGGGGCCAGGAGGGGCGCGGAGCCCTCGGGAGGCAGCTTTCCGGAGCCGTGAGACAGGCGGTACCTGACCTGGTCGTGCGCCGAGTTTGGAGACCAGGAAGCCGTCAGGCTTCGGCAGGGCTCGGTGCGACATGATTTCCTATCACTTTCCCGAGCGGAGAGCGGAAATAGACCTGTTCCGAGGCCGGGAGGGAGCGGGTGGTGGCTTGAACTAGGTAGCTGGTGAGGCAGGCAGGCAGGCAGGATACCGTTGGGGGTATTGGATGAGGGAAAAGATGCAATCGAGAGGCTTCCCAAGCTTCTGGAATGTGCAGCCGGCCGAGCAGTGGTGCTGGTTGTCGAGCTGGGAACAGGTGCTGGGGATGCGTGCAGGGGTTCAGCTGTGGCCACGCGGAGCCGAGAGCAGGGGTTCAGCTGTGGCCACGCGGAGCCCCAGAGCCCGGCTGCACATCCGAGCAGAGGTGTCAAGTCGGAGGTTGGAGACCTTGGAGAGACCAAGGAGAGAGCCCTCCGGGGACATGCAGATGGTATTTAAAGCTATAGGTTTTGCTAGTGGCTATTGCAGCAGAAAACAGAAGAGGGTCAAGGGGAGAGTCCGGGGTCCTCCAGCGTTACACTGCTCAGCAGAGGTGTTGGAACTGGCAAAGGAAATCGAAAGGGTAGAGAGAAAACATGGGAGAGCACGATGTCTTCAAAGGGCAAAATTCAAGAGGAAAGATGCTGATCATCCAGGTTAAATGTATCTTAAGGGTCAAGTGACATGCGGGCAGAGGAATGGCCACTGGGTCTGCTACCTTTTTGGCTACTGAACACTTTTTCACGAGCAGTGCCTGGGGAGGGGTGGGAGTGAAGCATGACTGGAGTGTTCAGGTGGAGGGAAGGAAGAGAGAAAACGTTTTGCTATGAAAAGGAGCAGAGACACAGATAGCAGGAAATAAACATCTTGAGAGAGTTTTCTTAACTACGAGGGATGCCAGAACAAATTTCAGGGGGTGACCAAGAATGATCCAGAAGAGAAGGGGAAAGTTGAAATTTATTGAAGGCTTATTTAGTGTATTAAAAGCTTTACAAACATTCATCTTCACAATGTTTTACAGATCAGGCAATTGAGGTTAAATAACTTGCCCAAGGTCATGCAGCTAGAGGCGGCAGAGCTGAGAGTCCCCCAGATTTTTCGGACTCTTGGTGCCTCACCAGCCGCTACACAGGCACGCGGCCCGGGCGCAAGTGCTGGGACACGCCTGCCACCTGGCCCTGGGGCCTCTGTCCAGTCAGGAGCGCTCTTTCATGCTGGGGGGTAAGACTCTCTTCCCCTTCCAGGGCTGCCAGCGAGGCCCCCCCCCACAGCCTGAATGCCCATGCAGCGGGGAGCAGCAGCCCTCCCCCAGGTGCAGGGGGGCAGAGACAAGCGGCGGGAGCCCCCGGAGGCAGGAGGCACAGGGACGCTTCTGGGGGGGTGCTCAGCGGGCTTTCCGCGTCCGCCAGTGCATGGGGCGCCGGGGCCGTGGCCCCAGCATTCACCTGGATGTGCTGGGCACAGCCAGAAGCCCGGGTCAGAGCCTCGTCTCCCGGCTGCCCCCGTTGAGGCTGAGGCTGTGGGGGCGGGTTCCGCGCTCCAGGCGGCGGGCGGACAGGAGGCGCCGCAGGGAGGAGCCGGAGCTCAGGTCACCGCAGCTCCGAAGGTGGAGGCTCTCTCGGCCGGGCCGCCCCCACGGGCTGCGGGGCACCTGGAGGCGGCGTGGGGGAGGCCATGGGTTCAGCCTGAAGCCCCAGGCTGTCCTGGGTTACCTTCCCAGACCCCCCTAGCTCCTACCTGCTTAAGCCCATGGGCCCCACTGCCACTGGGGTCTGGGGCCTTCTTGGACATCTGGAGGAAACGAGTGACCAAGCCCCGGCCCGGCCAGCTGCTCTTCAGGTCTCCCAGGGACTGGGCAGGGGCAGGGCCCGACGGCAGGGGGCCCTTTCGCAAGGTGGGCACGGGGCGCCGTTTCTCGGCTGAGCGGGCGCGTAGCAACTTGGGAGAAGGGCAGCGGGCTAGACGGAAGAGGCAGGCTTCCGAACAGAGCCCTGGAGAGAGAGAGAGAGAGAAGAAAAGAGAGAAGAGAAGGGAGGTGCAGAGAAGGCCAGGCAGCACTGCCCTGCCTCCCGGCCCCTGGACTCCAACCACAGGCTGACCTGTATCTGCAGAGGAAACAGAAGCTGCTTCTTCCTCGAGCACTTTGGTATAAAGGTCCCTGAAGTCAGCTGCGGAGGAGATGGGGGAGGCGTGGAAGTGCCCAGTGGACGCGCCCACCGACCCCGCGGCCCTCCCGGGAGAGATCTCCAGCCCCCAGGAGCTTTCCCAGCCCCCAAGCCCCATCCTCAACCGCGGGGCCAAGGACTGAGGTGGTGTCTTTCGTGGCGCCCCCCCCCCCCCAGTTCCTGGCGCGTGCGGGCGGTGACGAACGGTGCCCCGGCGAAGCTGCCAGTGCAGGGCCTCATTCCTGGGGGGCTCCAGGGCACCGGGGGCTGTGCTGTGACGCCCCCCGCAGGCAGGGAGCAGAGGCTGGGAGAAGGTGGGTCACTAACTCAGGCCCAGCCCCAGAACTGGGGTTCCGAAAACATCTCTTGGCCACCCAGTTATGATGGCGTGTTTTCGGGACCTGAATGCTCCAGAAGAGGCCCCTGCATGAGTGAACTCAGCCTGTTTTGCCCCTCAGGGACCTCTGAGGGATCACTGGCCCCAGACCCCACCCCCACCCCGGCCCGCCCGCCCACTCCTGAACCCTGGGAGGGGGCGGGTGCTCACCGGTGTCGCTGGAGGTGGTGATGCCCGGGTCACTGTGCGACCGTGGCAGCAGCAGCGGTGGCGGGGGAGCCGGATTGGGAGGCCGGTGCCCCGGGGGGGTGAGGGAACCTGAGCTGTCGCTGAAGCGGCGAGCGGGGGCTCGGGCAGGAGGGGCGGCGGCCGCCCCTGGCCGACCACCGCCCCGGGGGACCCTCCGCCTCAGCTCGGGGAAGCAGGGGCCCACCCAAGGCGGCCAGCCTTCCAGCCGGTGGCAGCTTCGGGCGGTGGCAGGGGCCCCCAGGGGGGGCGGGGCCTCGGGGGCGGAGCAGGAGTAGGAGCGGGCGGCCCTGGGGGGCCTGCGCGGCAGGGGGCTGTCCTCGAAAGGGCCGCGCAGGCCGCAGTCCAGGCTGAGGCAGTAGCCGGCGCGGCTGCGCTGGATGGACCGGAAGAGCACGTAGTCGACGGAGCGCACGGAGCCCTGCAGCTCCAGCAGGCAGGAGTCCTCCGACGGGCTCGAGCCCCCGGGGAGGTCGCCGATGGCCGACAGCGCCAGGGACCCGCTGTCCATGGACACTGTGGGCGGCAGGGGCGCGTGGTGGCACTGGCCCATGCAGGACGGCTCTGCGTCCCTTCTGCCTCGAAGGAGGCCGCTCCAGTCCCGGGCTCCCCAGACCCACCAGGCCGCCCGCCCACCCCGCGTCTTGCTCACCGTCTACGATGGAGGCCACTCGCTCGCAGATGCAGGAGCCGTCGTGAAGCTGAGGGTCAAACAGAGTGGCCTGGTGGTGGAAGACACGAGCGTCAGGAGCCACCCCACCAGTGGGACAGAGCTCCGGACACCCAGACTTCAGTCCCGCTTTGTCACTCTGTACGGTCCGTTACGTGGGCCCCGGTTTCCACGCCTGTGAAGCAGGGCAGTTCCCACCCCTGCGCTGCCCCCACCCCCGTACCCCCCCCCGGGGCTCGGGGCGGGGGGGCACCCAAGAGGCCCGTGAGAACTGCTGTTCTCTTTGTCCAGGGACAGCAGCTCGCTGAGCTTTTCGGGCTCTGTCCCCCGCCCCCCAGGCCACTGAGACCCTCTCTCACCTGGCTGTCTCCTCGTAGCCCCATGACGGCCTCGTAAGAAGGGGGGCAGTCAGCAGGGTACAAGGGCACCGGGCTGTCCATGGAGCCGTTGTAGGTGATGCTGGGGGGGTGGCGGAGAGGGAGGAGCCTGGCAGAGTGCCCTACTCCACAGAGCCCCTCCTGCCACTCCTGGCTGCAGCTTCGCCCCCACCCCCCACCCCACCCCCCACCCCACCCCTGCAGGACGCGCCAGGCCTCACCTCTGAGCGTCTGTTTCCGAGCTGCAGGTGTACTCGGGGGGGTAGTAGGGTGGAGGGGGCACAGGTGGTACAAATTCCTCCAAGTCCAGCATGGTGTGCAGCAGAGGGGCTGGCGGCGAGGAAGTACAGCCCAGAGACCCCAAGGGGCCTGAGACCGAGCGCTCTGGGGCCAGCTGCTGGGGAGCAAGGAGGTCAGCAGGCCGGGTGGCCGGGAAGGCAGCTCCTAGGCCCGCCCCCCCGCCAGCACCAGCTCCTCTTCTGTCATCTAGAAAGTCCTTGCTTTGTGACGCCATCTCCGTCCAGAATTGCCACCGGGCCCCGGCCCCCACTCCAACATTGACCCTTTACCCTCATCCCCATCTAGGATCTTTCTTCTGCACTCCCCCCAACGTGTAGCCTCACTGTCGGTCGGGTCACAGACTTCTCCACTCCCTGTCCTTCCCCCTCCTCATCCTCCCGCGGGCCCGCTCCATGTCCCTACGCCACGTGTGCCTAGTAAGTGACCCGCAGCCTCTGGCGCACAGAAGCCAGCACCGCGGCCACCGTTCCCAGCACATACATCCCTGCCCTCGTCGCAGCTGCTTGGCTTTGACCCCGGCTCCCCCTCACCGTGTGCACGAGGTCCAGGGAGAAGATCTGGATGCAGCAGACAATAGCTGACAGGGTGCAGATGACGGCGGCACAGACGGTGAGCCCGCAGACACTGAAGAGCAAGTTCTGGAAGAAAGAGAAAGACGATGGGAGAGGGGTCCCCCGCCCCCCCGTCCTGGGCCCACGAGGCAAAGGTGAGAACCAGGAGGATGGTGGGGGAGTAATGGGTGGCTGAAATGGGGCGCGCGCACTCACCTTGAGCGCCCCTCGGGCTTCGTCACAGGTGGAGTTGGGGGCAACTTTCAGTTCCTGCCCCGACTCCGGACAGGGCCGAAGAAGGGGAACGGAGGGGCAGCACACACAGACCTTCCCTTCCTGCATGGGAGTGGGGGGGGCGAGGCAGCCCGAGTCAGGACAAGCCCAGGCGCCCCGCACACCGCCCCCGACCAGTCCTTTCTGGCTCTCCCTCCTCAGTCTCACCATGGAGCAGTCTTGGAAGTCTCGGGCCAGCTGAGCGTTCTTACAGGAGAGAACAGAGCCGGCCATGCTGAGCATGACACAGAGCACCGAAAGCAAGGAGAAGAAGGAGATCTGGCGGAAGCAGGTGCACGCTCAGGGCCGGGGCCCTCAGGGGGACCCGCTGCCACGGGTGGGGCCCCTCCTTCACGGACATTCACGCCTGGCAGGCACAGGGAGGGGGCCCTCCGGGGTACCCGCCCTCCTTCACTGACGCTGATGCCTGGCAGGCACGAACCGCACGACCAGCTCGCCTCTCCAGGGCGTCCGTGGGCCTCCCCTCAGGTGCTGGGCACCTGCCTCCCAATGGGCACCAGACCCTAACACTTACCACTAGAGTGAATGGCCGCTTCCAAGACACAACACCAACTACCCCGGAGAACGCCAGCTGGGGACAGAGTGGGCACAGGCTCAGCCTGGCAGGGGGAGGCACGGGAGTGAGCCCCTCACCCCAGGGTGGGCCCAGCCCTATAGGAAAACAGAAGCCCAGAGGAGGGAGGAGGGGCCAGCTCCTGGACTGGCAGCTGGTGAGGAGGGGTGGGGCCCCAGGAGCCTACCCCACCCAACCACCGTGCACCCAACTCACCGAGAATCCAGCCCAAGACGGGCAGGACCTCTTGATGCTCTCGGTGGTGGTGACGGAGGAGGCCACCATGCTGAAGGTGACCACCAGGACGCCCAGGAGCACCTGCGCCAGCCCCAGCGTGAGCAGGGCCTGCAGCCAGGGTCGGTGGAGGCGCAGGTGGGTAAGGCCCCGGGTGCTAGGTCGACTGGTCAGAGAGCGGCTGGAGTCACTGGGCGAGGGCATCATGCCTGCCGCGCGGTTGCCTGCGCCTCGCTCGGCCTCCGCCCGCGATTGGGAGCATCTCAGAGGCGCCCGAGGCCCCGTCCTCTCTCCTCTCCACCCTCTTCGCTCTAGAGCCCACCTCCCGGATGGGTCCCCTGGGACATGGCCCAGGGCCTCCAGCTGGGCGGGGGCCCAAGGGAGGGGCGTCGCGGAGGGGTCGCAGGGGGCTCCCTCCCCACCACGGGCACCGGACGGGCACCGTGCCCGGGAAGGCGATGAGGACGCGGGGGCGCCGGCTCATCGCATCTCCCTGGAGAACGGGGGCGCCGAGAAGGGCAGGTCCAGGCGCGAGGAGAGGCGGCGGTCGGGAACCCGGGGCGGGGCGGGGCGGGGCGGGGGAGAGTGGGAAGAAGAGGGGAGGGGTCCCGAGGCCTATGACCGCCTGGCGGGGAGAGGCCGGGGCGCCCCGCTCCCCCCGCGACTCGCTGCACTCCCCAGTCCCGGGCGGCAGCAGGTCCTGCCCGGCGGCGGGGGCGGGGCGGGGGCGGGGCTGCGCGGGGCACCCACCCCGGGCGTTGGCGTCCGCCCGCGGGCTCCGCGCAGGGGGGCGGCGGGGGCGGGGCGGAGCCTGCGCGGTGCACCCCGGGAGTCGCCGTCCGCCCGCAGGCCCCCGCGCAGGGGCGGGGAGGGGGAGCCCCGCGGGGGCGGGGCCGGCGCGGTGCATCCCGGGAGCGGGCGCCCGCGCCGGCCCCGCCCCGCCCCGCCCGGCCCCGCCCGGCCCCGCCCGGCCCCCCGCGCCCCGGCCCGCGGCGCTCCTGGCAGGGGCAGCGGCGACTTTGCCCTAGGTCGCGAAGCTTCCCCCCCAAAACCCCCCCGAGTTAACGTTCTGCCTCCGCCCCGGACCCCACCGCACGCCGCTCTCTTCCAAAGCGTTCCCAATAAAACTTCCCGGAAACGGGGATCTGAGCTCCAGTTCCACTTTCTTTTTATTTAAATAACCGAAGCAACAGCCTTGGCACAGCGGAGGGAAGCTGGGTTGGGGTGTGTGGGAGGTGGCAGTAGTGTGGCCTAATTGCGGGGTGGCGGGACCAGCGGAGACTGGGTCACAGTGGGCTCCCCGCACCCCGAAGTCAGGGTCAGCAGTCACGGCCGTGGGGGCGGGGGCACGAGAGAGGAGGCCTCGGGCAGTGCGTCTCCGCAGGTCCCAGGGACCTCGGGGAGGGGGGCTGAGTGAGCTCCCAGGCGCGGCAGGGCCGGGGCAGCCCCGGCGGGCGTCACGGGGCCCGGAAGGCATTTTCGGCAGCCCCGGCGGCCGCACTGGCAGCGGCGGTTCGTACCGCAGGGTTGGAGAAGACCCCGGCGGCGAACTCCTGCTGCGCCTTCTGGAAGCTGGCACCTGTGCGGCGGTACAAGGAGTGGATCTGCAAGCGGGCGGAGAGGTCGTGACCGTGCGCTCCCGCCGCCGCCGCGCCTGGCTCCCTCCCGCCTCGCGCACACTCCCCCCGGGGTCCATCAGCAGGGACGCCTCGCCCCACCTGGAACACAGCGTCTCACCCGCTTCAGCATCACAATCCCCAGCACGGCGATGCCGGTGAAGAACAGGGCGACCAGCAGCATGAGCACGGCCACCGCCGTGTTGGCCTGCAGCACCACCAGCGCGGAGATCCAGCCACTGCCCGGAGGGGAAGCGGGGAAGCGGGTGGCGGTGAAGGGGGCCCCTGCCGCGCTCGGCTGGGGAGCGAGCAAACACGCCCCATTCCCACCCACCCACCAGGGGGCGCTCCCCCGTCAGGCTGGCGGCTCTCCAAGTACCATGATCCCAAACTACATCCAGCCTCTCCAAGTTCACTTCCAGCTTCTGAACGACTGGCTGCCGCCTCTGCAAGCCCTTCCGGACATCCTCGCTCCACACAAGCCTTTCTGTAGAGGAGTGTCAGCCCCTCTTCAAAAGTGCTTAGCATGCTTCCCCCAGGAAGCCTTCTCAGACTGACCACGTGCACCTTTCCTCCCCCAAACCTCTGCCTGTCTAGACTTCGGGCCAGGCTCTCTATCCTGGAAGTGGGTCCTATTTCTCTCATCAAGCTAGCACTTCGCAAGGACAAGCACCACACCCCGCCTCCTAACAACCCGTCCCAGCGCCCGGGGCCTGACTTGGTCTGACGGGATGAGGAAAGGGTTCCGGTGCATGGCAGCTTCACGGACCTGAAGCCCCAGCCCGGGATGCCAATGGCCTGGAGGACAAAGAGCACGTCCTGGACGAAGAAAATGAAGAAGAAAACGAAGAAATTGAATGAGCTGTCACTCCTGCAGGGAAGAAGAAAACGGGTAGGGGGGAGCAGAGTTAGGGAGGAACAGCAGGTGCGGGCCTCTGAGGTTCTCCGCCCCGCCCCGCCCGTCACTTACCGGAAAGCCTTATACATGGGGCGGTACCAGCACACAAAGGAGCAGGGCGTGAAAAGGAGGGCCCAGAGGATAGAGAGCCCGAAGCCCGAGCCATTGCTGGTCGTCACACAGAAGCTGGCCAGGCAGGCGAGAAAATTCAGGAGCAGGGCCAGCGTGCTGCCTGCGGGATGGAGGTGCGGGATGCTGAGCGTGGTCGGCAGTGAGGGCCCTTCCCCCAGAACCCCCATCCCTCAGCAAATGGGCAGAGCAAGGAAAGGGGGCCCCTGCCCTCCCCAAATCCTCATCTTGACAAGGGAGACACATCTCTTCGGAAGACACTTAAAACTGAGACAATGTTTCCGGCCCGGGACATGGGGAGGCAGGCGGGGGGGGGGGGGGCCAAGAACGGGCTTTCACTTGGAGGCTGGAGAACATCTTCTAAATACTACAGAAGGAGTAACCTGGGAAACTCCTGGTGAAATTGGCCTTAAACTCAAATGTTGAGAGGTGCTTGGGTGGCTCAGTCGGGTGAGCGTCGGAAGTCGGCTCAGGTCATGATCTCGCCGCCCATGGGTTTGAGCCCCGCGTCGGGCTCTGTGCTGACAGCTCAGAGCCCGGAGCCTGCTTCCGATTCTGTGTCTCCCTGGCTCTCTGCCCCTCCCCTGCTCACACTCTCTCTCAAAAATAAACATTAAAAAAACCCCAAAAGCTGAGCAGAGCTGAACTGCTGAGCTCTCCGGGGGTGGGCTCCGGGGCAGGAAGGACGTAACGGTACTAGAGGCGGCTGAACTCTTCCTCCAGAAAAGGCTTCTCGCTACTCACACATCCAGAGGTAGTACATGGTGGATACGGTCTTCTGAAATTCTTGGGGGATCTCCATGGAGATGTCTTGAAAGAAGCAGGGCTGCACTGGGCAGAAGGCGGGCAGAGGGGGCCAGTTGTTGTGTCGAGCTGTAGGGCGCAGAGAGCGGAAGGGGCCCGGACGTGAGGCAGAGACCAACAAAGGAATCGCCATCCTCCCTTCCACCCCACCTCCTCTCTTCCGTCTCCAGTTCAGGGTCCGAGGACACAGGACGGAGCGGCAAAAACAGGGCTGACGGCATTTCCTATGATCTGCAGCTTTCAGGCTCTGCCGAGCACTTTGCACGGATGGCCTTGTCTCCCCCTCACAACAATCCTGTCCCGCAGGTACAAACACCATCTCCGTTTTACAAGTAAGGAAACTGAGGGGCGGCCAGCTGGCTCTGAGCTGTCAGCACAGAGCCCCGAACCCACGAACCGTGAGGTCATGATCTGAGCCGAAGTCGGATGCTTAACCGACTGAGCCACCCAGGCGCCCCCAAATTAAGTAACTTACCTAAGAGCTCATAGGTAGGAAGTACTAGTGCCCAAGTTCAAAGTCAGCAATGTGGCTCTCGAGCCCAATGCCTCATGTTCTCTTTGCTCCTGCAACAGTGTGCAACGCGCCCCTGCCCAGGGCCCCGCTTACCAGCCGCCCCCCCCAGGGCCGCGTGCTGCAGCTCCCGCTCCCTCCGGTCCAGCTCCTCGGCCTTCCGGTTCAGCTCCTCCTGCTTCTTCAGCAGCTCGGCCGTGGCTGCTGCGGCAGAAGCCTGTCCAGTGTGTGAGGGGGCGATGTGAGCCCCAGGCCCAGGTCTGGCCCCCACCCCCCACCCCCACATCCCGTTTACCTGGGTGCCGTAGGAGCCGTAGTTTTTGGGTTCCGTGGGGCTGAGCTTTCTGGAAGACTGCAACGAGGGAGCCGACGGGGGAGGCAACGGGGGAGCGGCCGGAGGCTCATAGGCTGGTGGGGGCTGTCAGTTTTGGAAAAGACCGTAGGGATCGCCCAGACCCTCCCGACACAGGTATCCAGGCTCTGTCTGACGACCTCTACATCTGGGCCCCCTTTCCGGGCCCCTCCTTCGGAGAGAGCCGCACCTCCGTCACCCCCCACCGCCCCTCACATCTGAGTCCTTAGCCAGGACTCTAGACACTCATCCACCGAATGCATGCCCTCCACTTTTTAAAGCTATTGGCCCTTTCTTTCTTAATTTTTTTTAACGTTTACTCATTTTTCAGAGACAGAGCATGAGCAGGGTTGGAGCAGAGACAGAGTGAGACACAGAATCCAAAGCAGACTCCAGGCTCTGTGCTGTCAGCACAGAGCCCGATGCGGGGCTCGAACCTCGAACCCACGAACTGTGAGATCATGACCTGAGCCGAAGTCAGACACTTAACCAACTAACCACCCAGGCGCCCCTCTTCCTTTTTTTTTTTTTTTTTTTTTTTTTAAAAACAACAACAACAAACCAACTCTTGGTACTTTCTATTGCTGTGGAGCAAACAGGTCTGGTCCTTGGTGCTCACCTTCGGAAGGCACACCTAAGCATAACTCGTTTTCTCCTGGACTCCAACCAGCCCCATAATTTACTTTCGTCACAGAAGCCTCCCCAGAGGCAGCCGTGGTTCAGGCCCTGCCAGGACTAGCACTGAGCGCTCAAGTGGGATGATTGGCCCTGGTGTCTCCAGAAGGATTCGGCAGCCCAGGGCGGCCCGGCTCTCTCAGGGGGCTAAGATCACAGTACCTCTTCCTTTGCATGCAGAAACCCCCCTGCATCCCGACAGGGTGAGCTTACTGGCACACCCTCCCCTGAGTGCCACCCCATGCTCTCCAGAATCTCACCTCCCGGGTCTCAAAAGGGTTGTAGACGTCAAGGGTGGCATACTGCGGGCTGGGTCGGTGCTGGATCACAGCTGGGTCCTGTGGGCAGAGAGCTGCGGCTCAGCGGGCACCTGGTGCCCCTGGGGGGACGGCGGGGGGCCTCTCCTAATGCCTGTGGCTCCGAGGACTGCACGCTGGAGGCCACGCTGGTGCCCCAACGTTTGCCCCAAATCCTTCACCCCACTCTGTTAGCACCCCCCCCGGGTGCTCACTGGTCTGGGGTCACCGGCACCCCCACGTGGCGGCCCTGCCTCGGCACAAACGTCGAGAATGGGAATACAACAAGTGAGCCCGTCCAGGAGCGAGAGGAGTCGGCCGAGCTACCCAAAAAAGGCCGGCGCGTCACCTGAAAGGGGTTGTCAAGCTCGCCCGGGCCGGCGAAGGGGTTTCCGCCGTCTCTGCTCTGAGCCATGTTTGCAACTGCGGCCTGGGCCGCCCCTGCCCTCCACGCCCCTGCGCGGCGGCGGCGGCGGCTCCCTCCGCTCCCGTCGGTCAGCCCGCTCGGCCGTGCACCGATTGGCCGCGGAGACCGGAAGGGTCCCGAGGATCCCCGCAGCGGCGGCCGGCTGCGCCTGCGCCTACGCTACGGGCGAGGACGGAAGCGACCCACGTGACGTCCGCAGCCCCGCCCCCCCGCGCGCGGCCCCCCCCCCCCCGGCAACGAACTACAGGTCCCGGCGGCCCTCGCGCCGGAGGGCGGGCCCGCTAAGCGGCCGGAGCCGCTGGAGGCGGAGCACGGGCTTCCGCACCCGGAGTCCCTCCGCACCCGGAGGCCCCGGGCCCTCCTCCGCCTCAGCACTCCGACTGGTGCCCCCGCTCTGGCCCAGAAGGACGCCCCAGCCACCGCGACCCTCCCGCGATACACCGGCCGAGCCCCTGGCGGCCGAGGGCGGGGGGACCCGGGGGGAGGCACCCCCTGCGTCCACACACTCGGAAAGGGACGGGGGGGGGAGGGGGGGGCGGTCTTCTCATCCCTCCAGCCCAGCGTCCCAGACCTCGAACTCCAGGGGTGGGGGTCGGATTGAAGCACGTCATTTTATTTCACAAAGACTGTACAAAATTCCTTATAAAACACGGGCAGATGCCACCTGGTCAGCTCGTCCTGCCCCGTCCAAGGGGGCAGGTGACGGCGGCGAGAGTGTGGGAAGGGACAGCATTCTGTACAAGGCTCGGGACGAAGCAGGAGGTACAAGTTCTTCCGTATTTACACTATTTCACATATTCACAGGTGTACAGGGAGCCAGGAGGAAGGAGCAGGCTCCGGCTCTGTTCTCTTGTATAAAAAAGCACCAGTGTCCTGGACTGGACACCCACCGCGGCAGGCCGTGCAGGGGGGCCCAGGGCCTGATCGTCACCGACTGATATCCCGACTGGAGTCCCACAACTTGGTGTTGGGTGGCTCAGCCCGAAGGCGGGCGAAGAAAGGATGCTGAAGGGCTTCCCCCAAGGTCAACCGCTTAGCAGGTTCATACTCTAGCATGCTTTCAATCAGATCGAAGAGCTGGTGGTGGTCCTCTGCCTCTGAGGTCAGATACCGCTGGTGGGGGAGGGCAGGGAAAAGGTGAGGCACGGAGCCGTACGGTTCCTGCCCTTTTTCTTCAAGGCCCTAACTTTCCACCTCAGGACCAAGCCTCCGCCCTTACGAGTATGTTATGAGCACCACCTTCCCACGAGCACACCATGCCACCCAGCAAGCTGGTGCTACTGTTCAACCTCCCTCCCCACGAGCAGTTACTCCTTCAAACTTTGAAAGTTCTATGTGTGGATCCTCATCAACTTCATGAATCTTCTTTAGTTCCTCAGTACAACGTAAGCTCTTCTAAGGTGGTGTATCTTTTCTGTCTGACCTCAGAACCCAGGACGCGGCTATGACCTGTGTTCGGCTCGAGAACTACATGGCTGTCTGCCCTCCCTCCCTCCCTCCCTCCACAAAACCACTCCCTCTTATCTCTCTTCCACTGACCAAAGAGGTCTTCTTCCAGTTTTCCTCTTCTTTCCTTTTTTTTTTTTTTAATACTTATTTTATTTTTGTGTGAGAGACAGACAGCACGACCGGGGTAGGAGCAGAGAGAGAGAGAGGGAGACACAGAATTCAAAGCAGGCTCCAGGCTCCGAGCTGTCAGCACAGAGTCCGACGCGGGGCTCGAACCCACGAACTGTGAGATCATAACCTGAGCCAAAGTCGGACATTCAACGGACTGAGCCACCCAGGCGCCCCTCCCCTTCTTTCCTGACCCTCTGCCTGTGAAGTGCATTCCAGGGGCAAACCACCTGAAGAAGGAAATGCCCTCTGGCTGGTGGGCAGTTTACCCCCAGCCTGGCTCACCCGCAGCGGTTTGCAGTTTTCCCGCACATAGCGCCCAGCTGACGTGTTCTCATCCCAATCCAGGCGGCCCCGATAGAAATATTTCTGCTTCCTAGAGGGGAAGGGGAGGATGAGGAATCAGGAGGTTTCCTTTTGTTGGGGGTACGTCCCTTATTCCCCCATCTTAGAGTAGCTGGGAGGAGGGAAGGTGTCAAAGAAAAAAAGAAAATGATGTGAAATCAACCAATTTTGTGGAGAGAAAAGAAAAGGGTTGCACGAGCCCCGACTCAAGGTTCACCTTGTCTTTCGGATCATCCGGGAAGGGATAGGACCCAAGATCCTTTCCATCATGGCCAGATGCTCCCTGTTGTCATGGGTCTGGGAAACAAAGACAGAACTGAGTACAGGACTGAGAACAGGCTGCTGACGACTAGCTTCCGGGACGATTAGCAACGGGGAGGAATGAGCGGCCGGGTCCTCGGCAAACAAGGAACCCAGGTAGGAAGACGCCGGGTGGGAACCCACGCCACGCCACCGCTTACCTGGAACAGGGTGAAGCCGACATAGTACTCGAAGATGATGCAGCCTATGCTCCACACATCACAAGGCTGTGACCAGCCCAACTCTGGTGGGAACGGGAAGAACAAGGCGTCACAGTGCTCAGGGGGCCCCGCCCTCGGAGGACCGCGTTCCCCCATCGCCCCCACGTACCGAGGATGACCTCTGGTGCTCGGTAGTGGCGAGTGGAGACGATGGTGCTGTGGTGCTCGTGGTCGAATGTGGCGCTGCCGAAGTCCACCACCCGCACGGCCGTGCTCTTCACGCTGCGCTCGTCTCGCTTCTAGGGGCAGAGCAGGAGGGTGGGCCCTGCTGCTATTCTCTAGAGCGCTTTCGAGCCTGGGAGGAGGCAACCTGACCGCCCGCTTGCTCCCGTACACGCTGGAGAATGTGCTTTACGGCTCCCCCATGCCCCGCAGGTAACTGAGGAGTGGGATCGTGGGAGAGCATGCAAGCCCGTGTATCTGGACGCTTCCCAGGTCCTGGTCCAGAGGCCTGAGCTTTCCTACAGAGTCCCAACCAAGTCTCTTGAAAGCATTTGCTCTCTACTGGAAAGTTCTCTGGGCTCCTTCCAAGTTCTGTTCTAAATTACTTCTTAAATCTCTCTTTAAAAAAAATTTTTTTTTAATGTTTGTTTTTGAGAGAGAGAGGGAGGGAGACACAGAATCCTAAGCAGGCCCCAGGCTCTGGGCTGTCAGCACATAACCCAATGCAGGGCTCGAACCCACAAACCGTGAGATCATGACCTGAGCCAAAGTCAGATGCTTAACTAAGCCTCCCAGGCGCCCCTGAAATCTCTCCTTTTCATTCTATTTTGTAACTTGGGCTTATCCAGTCAGAGCCAGACTGGGAGACAATATGGGAGAAAGTAAAAGGAAGGAGACAAACGGAAAGTGGCACAGCCGCCTGTCCATCTTACCTTCTCTAGGTTGTAGGTGAGCTCATAGTCTGAATTCACAAACAGAATATTTTCAGGCTTGAGGTCCGTGTGTGTCAGCTTGTTATCATGGAGGACTGCAGGGGAGAAGGCCAGGTCAGGGTTGGTCCAGCGGGCCAGCGCTCACTGGCACCCGTGACCCCAAGCTTGGTCACCTGGCTCAAAGCTGGTGAGGAGGCAGGTCCAGAATCACTAGGCTGCTTTCTGCTCTACTTCCTAATGACATGCCTGGCCCAAGAAGCCCAATGCTTAGCAGTATCAGGGAACAAACAGGACTCTCAACTGATGTATAAAGAGTTTGCGACGCACTGCAGTCGTGTTTCTGGGCGTACGTGCCTATGTGACGTTCCGTGAATTCAACTCTGGGAAACTGCAGTTAGGAAGACCCAAGCGGGACCGTGTATTGTGTGTGGGTCCCCATCTGGCCCCTTGTTTGCACCTGCTTTGCTGCAAACAGCATCTCAGCTCAGACAAATGTAAACCTCTAGCCTGGGAAGTCTTTCTCTCTCTTTGTGCTTACAGCCCGACTTCTACTTCCCAAGAAAGGGAAATGAAGGACAACAGAGATCATCAAATGCTTGGATTCCAAAGACTCTCTTCCAGCCCCTGCTAAGCTGGACGTGGGAGAAGACCCCTCAATGACGGTGAGGACTCTGGTCACAGAGTTGTCAACATGACAGTGACTGAAAGAACTGCAGATAATCGAGATGACTGTTTAGGGGCTTCACCACCACAAACTGATAGGGAAGGGGAAGGGCTGCCCCAGGGTCCGCCTCGGCCCTGCACTCACACTTGACGGCCTGGCACAGCTGGAAGGCCATGTGGCGCACGTGGTGGACGGGGTAGGGCAGGTAGTTGTTGTCTTTGAGGAAATCGAAGGTGCTGAGGCCCAGAAGCTCAAAGGAGATACACATGTGGCCATGGTAGTCAAACCAGTCAAACATCTGGACACAGAGGCTGAGAAGAGACGAGGGCGGGGGGCGGGGGTTGTCCTATGAGCTCCTACCTGCCCACCACCCTCCCAACGAGGGGCTCAGGTCTGCTGACTCCACATGGGCGTGTAAAAACCTGCCAGCTAACAGGACCAACAGACTTCATTTCGAATGGCGAATGGCCTTTCTGGCAGACCCAAGCTTTAAACCTTTTTCCTGCATCATTTTAAACAGTGACAAAAATTCCATTTCCCGAAGAGCTGCTGGGTGCGGTCTCCGATGTGGACCCTGAACTGTCATTCCTAAACCCTGACCCCGGCTCCCACTCCTGAGATCCATCCACCATCAGCCGCCAGCGGGTCCGTGTTTATGCTGGTCGTTTCCTTACTGCCCTCGTTCCCATTTGGCTTACAGAAGGCGCATGGACGCAAATATCACATGTAAACGTCTGTGGCCTCAGCTACACGGTTCTGGGTATTAATGAGCTCAAGTGATTTTTCACTAAAAAGGTTGATTCTCAATATCAGGGCCATTTCCAGGGCACAGCTCTAGAGAGGCCGTCCTGGACTGGGGCCAAAGCACAGAGCAATCTAAAGCCCTGAAGCCCTGAAGCCATGGGCATCAGACTTGACGATGTCACACGCCCTCTCTTCCTGCCCTAATGTCCTTCTAGTCTAAGATGACGATAGAAAGACGAAGGAGGAGAAGGCCGAGAACCCCCTGCCTGCCTCACCTGGGTTTTCCTGCACATAAGTGGAGCCTCTCGGACCCCCACATGCCCCTCTGCCACTTACTTCTTATTGTCAGGGTCCTTCTCGTTGATTTTCTCCAGGACGTTGATTTCAAGTCGAGCTGCTTCCTTGTACTTTTCCACATTCTTAATGATCTTCAAGGCGACTCGGGCCCCACCCCTGTTGGCGGCCAGAAAAGGTTTTTGCTGGGTCAAGAACCTCTCAGAAGGAATGGGGTGTCCGGGGATTAAGAAATCCTACCTTTGGCTAATCAGCAAAAATACCCCCAGACTGACCCTCAGCACCTCTCCACGCCTAAGAAGTACCAAACAAGGGCTATAGTTACCTGCGATGGTCGACACACTGGACAACTCGGCCGAAGGTCCCCTCGCCCAAAGTGCTGACAATTTCATCTGAAATGAAAAAGAGCAGGGTCGGGGAGAGGGAGGGAGAGAAGGCGGGGAATGAGCTGCGTTGGAAGACAGGACACAGCAACCTGGGGTGAGGAGATGAAGGAAGGGGAACAGATACAGATGGTCACAGGGGAAGAACGCCCTGTGTGATTCCCACCACCTTTAACCCAGGGGCTGGGAGTGGACAGCAGAGGTCAATTCTCAACAGCAACTCAAACCACCCAGATAAACAACACCACTGAGGAAAGGCAAGAGGCTGTGACTTGGGTTGGCTCGGGACGTGAGGGTGGCTATGGGACCATTACAGGCTATAGGATTGTTACGATTTGGCTTGTACATCGCTCTTGTAGCCAGTCCCCGACGTGGTAGATGAGGTGGCCCTCAGCGTCGTCCTCTACACTCTTGGCTCTCCGGCTGCTGTGCTGCTGTCGGGGGGCGGGGGGGGTCGGAGCAAGCCAGGTGCCGGAGCGGGGGCCGGAGGGAGGCGGGGTGGGTGGTGGAGGGGTCACCGGTCACAGGCGCCCAGCCAGGGGGGACAGACGATGACGGGGGACAGTGGAAGGGAACACGTCAGATGCAGTAAGGCGGATCGGGGTGAGAAGAGAGAGCGGCGCATAATCCCAAGTCCCCAAACCCAAAACGGGAACAGGGAGAGGAACGGGCAGAGCAGAGAAGTGGGGTCGCTGCCAGTGTCACCCGCGACCCCATGCTCCACACAGGGCCCTTCCAGGCAGGCACCGGTCTCCCTTTGCCCCCACCCGAGCCCACCTGCTGCGGGGGCCATGGAGCCCAGAGCTTGGGGGGAAGAGGCAATTCACAAGCAAGGTCTCCCCTAGAGAGTAACGGCGTCTGGGACAGAGAAGCTGTCCCCATCACAAGCCCAGCACGCCGCGGAAGGCACCGGGTCCAAACGCCCCGCGCCCATCTGTCTCCAAAGCAGACTGCAGGGCCCTCCGCGAGCTGGAGAGCTTCCGAGAGAGCCGAGACTCAGCGCCCACCTCGGTGCCCGCGCCCCCGGGCTCCGCTGAGAACGAGGGTACTCTGCACTTACCAGGGTCCCGGGGGGCCGACAGGATGGGGGAGAGGGAGGGCCTGGCCGGGCACTCACCGAAGACGAGCGGCTGAACGTCCGGCTGCGCCGCCTCCGCCGCCGGTGCTTCCTGCGGCTGCTGCGGTAGCTGCCGTCCTCCCGGCGGTGCTCGCAGGAGTGGCGGCAGTCGGGCTCGTAGCACGCGGCGGCCCGGTCCCGGCTGTAGTCGTTGCGCCTGTAGCTGCCGCAGTACCGCCGGTCGTACACCCTCCGGTCCGACGATCGGTCATCGTAGCTGCTGTTGGACGACAGATACCCGTTAGGTGCGTCTGTTCAGGCCACGCTCCGGGCCCCGCGGCAGGCTGGGGTCCTCCCTCAGCAAGGACCAAGGGCGGTGCCTGAAGAACTGCCCTCAGACCCTCGGGGTCATTCTGAGGCCCGGGGACCAGAGGGGTGAAATCACCAAGAGCACGAGGACCCCCGACTCCCGCACGCCAGCCACCAAGACCTTGGAAGGCACACTGGCAGAACCCCTCCCTTTACACACACACCCCCCCCCCCCCCCCCCCCGCCACCGATGACATAACAGACGGAACAAAGAGCCATTTCTTTCTTTCCTGAGCCGTTCCTGACTGACATCCGATTTTGCTCCAAACTATCCCTAACCCGCCCCCCCCGCTGAATACGCTGAAGTTACTAAAACCGCGCGGCCCCAACGGTCTTGTCTGTGAGGCCGTTAGCTGTCTCTAGACCCTGGCTGTTCACACTCCCTTTCCCTTTGCCCAGGACACTCGCCCTTGCTCTCCCGGAGTTACACACTCTGCCCCGCTCCGGCCAGACCCGCCAGATGCCGCCTCGCCCCTCACACCCGTCCTCCGGGACCGCACCGAGCACCACAGCGCAAATGGCTCGTCTGGTACCGATCCCGAGCAGCCCCTTTCCCGGGCCGCTCAGCGCGGAACCAGTAAATCTGCTAAACAAGTAAACGGGTGAGCGACCCTGAGCAGGAGCTTCCCTCCTGCGGCCTCACCTCCGGGAGCGGACATGGTAGCTGTCTTCCCGCCGGCGCCGCCGGGTCCGGTCACTGCTACTCGACCAGGAGCGGCTTCTTCGCCGCTTATGCTTTCGGCTGCGATAGTGTTCGTGGTAACTCCCCCGGCTGCCGCGCTCTGAGGAATGGTACCTTCGTGGATGAGGCATCTGGAAGGAAAGGAGAAAGACAAATAGCGGGGAAAGTTCTGAGTTTTGTGAGCTCCCCGCCGAGGACCGGCTGCTCTGGAGACGCGAAGCTGCCTTCTGCTGTTACTTCTCCCTCTTTTGCCTTCCCGCAGCTTCCTTGGGTCCCGCATGCTTACAAGGCCTCCTCCAAGGAGCACACATCACCTACCAGCTCCGGTGGAAAACTCTAGCAACCTACCCCTCGCCCCCACCCCCTTCCTCTCATTGCTCTACGGACTCTCCTCAAACTCGGTTCCATGAAGATCCTCAGGTCTGGGCCACAGCTCATTCCACAGGAGACCGTGTTATGGACGGAGGCTGCCACGGATCACCCTTGGCCGGAGCTAAGCTCCATCAGCGCCTGCAGTTCCTCACATCTCACCGGGGTAACTTCTTAGTATAGTGATCAGACGCTCGCAACTGTTAACAGTGTATCTTTATCTCCCCAACTAGACCATTCTGTGTCCAGTGGGCAGAAACCCGGCAGAAATCCCGGCGTACCTGCTCTCTCTGTATACGATGGTAGACACCAAATATAAGCAAGCTCCAGTGACCTGGGTCTGACCCCTCGAACTGTCTTAATCAACTCTCACTGGCCATCATCACTGGCCAGATCCCTGTCCAAAGTTTTTAATACAGAAGGACCCAGGCCGCAGTCCGATTCCCATTTGGCCCCTCCTCGCCTGTGCTTAGGAAGTACAGAGTAACCGGTTTCTAATTAATATCAGCCCTGCTTGGCTAAAAGCTGGCCCCCTTCCAGTCAGTTATTGGAATCGGAGTGGCATGGTGCACAAATGCTTTTTTTCCTTAAAGGAAAAAAAAATCAAGAGAGAAATCACTGTCACAATCCAGGAAGATAAAAGTATGAGAGCAAAATAAAATTAAACAGGGCCAGGGCCAGAAGTCTGGGGGGTGGGGGTAGGTGTGGAAAAGCTTAATGATTCCAACATCTGGCTTTCATTCTGGGCTTCTACTTCCCAACCTCCTCAAACTGAGGAGGAGGGTGATACCCGACGCGGTCCAGGTCTAGGAGGCCCGTGGCAGAGATGCAAGCCCCGGAGTCCCCTCCCAGGTAACCCCCGCTCTTCGGCACAGCCGCACAAACTTCCTCTCGGCACACAGCGAACTGCCACCAAAGTTTCTCACGTCCCTCCCCACCCAAAGCCATCTGCCGTTTACCTTCCTCAACTTGTAAGCCTTTCCCCTTCCTTTCTCGCTCAGAAAATCCAGAACGAACTCCGGGAGTCCAACTCTCTCCACCCCCTCCCAGTGACACGGCCGTGGCTTCCTGCTCCCCAGCCCTGCTCCAACGTTGGCATTCGGCTCTTTCTCCTCTCGGGAGCCGCTCCCCTCCCTGCTCCATCACCCCTGCCCCTACTGCGGCCCCTCCCCAGTTCGCCGGAGGTCTCCCGGGTCCGTCCCAGGCACACGCTCGTCTCGCACCTCCGCTCCCGCGCCCTCCCCGCCGCCGCTCCGCAGGTCCCTCCCCGCCTCCCCTCCTCTCGCCCCGCCGCCGTGCCCCCAGCCCAGGGCTACCCCCGCCCGCCCCGCGGTCGCCATCTTCCCGCGCGGCCCCGCGGCCCGCCAGCCCGCGCGCTCACCGTTCTGGCGGCGAGGCCCGTGCGCTTGTCCCACAGGAAGTCCGTGATGGCGGCGGCACTGCGGCCGGAGTCCCGGCACCCCCGCGGCGACGAAGTGCGGCTCCACCCCCCCCCCCCGACCCGAGACCCTGGGACCTCCCGCCTCGTTCCCGGGCTCCGCTCCAGTCCCGCCCGCCCCGGCTCCGTCCCCGCCCCCAGGGTCAGCTCGGCGCCGCTCGCACCGCCCCCGCCCGGGGCCCGATCCCAGCTCGGTCTCCGGCTCTGGCCTCTCCGATCCGCCGCCGCCACCGCGAGCGCGCACGCACGCACGCACGCACGCACGTCCCGCGCCCCCGCCCAGCCGCCCCGGGCCCCGCCCCCAGGGCGCGCACGCCGCCGCGTCCTCGCGCAGCTGGCGGGCGCGGCGATGGGAGCGCCCGGGGCGCGGGGGCGCGGGGGCGCGGGGGCGCGGGGGCGCGGGGGCGCGGGGGCTCCGGCGGCCGGGCGCGCTCCGTCCTGCCGCGCCGCCTCGCCGCCCCGCTCCTTCCTCGGTCTGGCGCCGTCTTCGTGACACTTCTGCGGCGTACTTTGTGAGGTTTGGAGGTTTTAAAGGGACCTGAAGTTGTCATTTATGGAGTGTCGCCGCTTCGCACAGCTTTTGAGACGAGGTGGTGAGGTCTGATTGTCCAGCACACCCAGTAAACACCCAGTTCTTTAGAAAGTCCGGCTCCCTCACCGCAGCAAGGAGGGGCGGCCCCCTTTTGTCCCGAGCGAAAGGTACGCACGTGTGGGTCAGGAGGTATGGCCGCGGAGGGCGGGCTTGAGAAAAGGAGGGATGGAGCATCAGGGGCTGAAAGAGGGGAAGTCACAGTGTGTTCCGAACCGACACGTACTACGGGGAAGTGTAAATCAACTGAATTGGAAAAGGGGGGAGGGGAAGAGGAAACAGGAGACTTGAGACAAACTGGACAGAGTTAGAGGCATGATGGAAGGAAATGAGACATAAAAAGGGAAAGGAAAAAATAACTTGAGAGTAACTGTATTAAAGTCAGCACATATCAGCGGGGAGCTGGGATGGAGGGTAGTTAGATGAAGGTTAGATCGGCTAGCCAGAAGTGGTTTCGGAAAGGTTCCCTAAAATAGAAGAGGAAGGGTAATGAAGGGGTTGGAAGGAAAGAGTGGGAAAATTCCCTTCCTCTTCCACGAACACCTTCCCGGATCATGCATTCATTCCGCAAGTATTTACCGAGTGCCCACGGCATGTGCAGGGCGCAAGCCTCCTGTTCTTCAGAGCCCCACAGCCTAATGGGAGAGAAACGAACACTAGCCTCGTGACAAGAGCTTCTATGAACACCGTAAGAAAACTCTGGACTAGCGCCTGGATGGCTCAGTCGGTTAAGCATCGGACTCTTGATCTCAGCTCAGGTCATGATCCCACCGTTGGTGAGCCTGAGCCCCAAGTCAGGCCCTGCACTGATAACGTGGAGCCTGCTTGGGATTCTGTGTCTCCCTCTCTGCCCTTTCCCCGCTTGCACGTGCACGCAGCGCTCTGTCTCAAAATAAATAAACTTGAAGGAGAAGGAGAAGGAAAGCTCCGGATTAGACTCTAGTTGGGGAAAGGAGACTCGAAAGTGTGTTTCTAGGTTTCCTAGAGGAGACACCCTGTGAACCAACTGTTGGAAAGGGTATTAGAGGAGAACACCGGGCAGAGAAAGTATTTGCAGAGGGCTGGAGACAAGGCAGAACAAAGCCTTTCAGCAAGATTGGAGCCTCGGCTTTCAAGAGAGGAACTATCATAAGAGAGCCTCTTGAAATTAGGTCCAAATTTTGCAGGGCCTCGTAGGTCATTCTAAGAAGCTTAAATGTAACCTTACAGAAGATGGGGAGGTTTGAAGGACATGTTAGATTCCAAACTTAGGAAGGTAACTCTGGCACAGACAATTGGCCTGAGAGCGTATAGGGCCCCTTTTAGAGGCTTCTGGAATAATCTAAGTGGAAAAATGCTGAAGGTTGAAATAAAGCAGTGGCAATAAGAAATGACGAGGAGGGGAAGGATTTGAGACGTTTGGGAACTTACAGCGCTTACCATCACACAGCACTGCACTTCTCCCTGCTCTGTCTGCATACGGGCACAGCCAAGCTTGCCTCTATAGCAGGACTTCCGTATTCATCTTTGTATCCGCAGTCACTCTTGCTGAAGGTCAGCAGGATGAATTTGGAAATGAGATACCAGAGGGAGGAATATGGACAAGACGAGAAGAAAGGAGTATGACTAGGAAAGTGCTGAGAGGAAGAAAGGGAAATGCAGGAAGTCCGTGAATTGGAATGACCGTTCCCTACTTCTTCTTTGGTCCCCAGTTCCTCGCCCTCAGAGTCCCGGGGAGCCACAACCAGCGTCCGCTTTTCCCGCCATTCGCGGACGGCTCCGCCTCCCTCGCGCTCATTGGCTGAGAGCTCAGCACCAGGCCACTCCCCTTTCGCGCATCCGGCAGCGTTTCCCCGCCTCCTCCTCCTTACTTGGAGGACCGCCCCCACCTGCCAGGCCACGCCCGCTCCGGAGTCCTCCCGGGAGGCGGGCTTCGTGGGCCCCGCCCCCTCCCGGGGAGGCTCCCGCCAGGGGGCGCCGCACACCCGCCGCCGGCCTCCCGCCTGCGAGTCTGGCGCACACGCCCCCTCCGCCCCGCGCGCCGGCAGCTGCGAGCCCGCCGGGCTGCGCCGGGCCCTGCTCCGGGAGGGGCCGGCGTCCCGGACGGCCGCGCCAGCGTCTGGGTCGCCGAGCGTGTGAGCTAACGGACGTCATGGAGGCAGAGCAGCGGCCGACGACGGGAGCCGGCGAGCCGGCGACCCCCGGGCTGGAGGCGGCGCCTCCGGCCGCCCCGGCGCCTGTGACCGCGGCCTCAGGACCGCCGCCCGGGGCCGGGGCCGCGCCCGAGCCCAAGAGGAGGCAGCTGGGGACTCTGCTCCAGCCCACGGTCAACAAGTTCTCCCTTCGCGTGTTCGGCAGCCACAAAGCAGTGGAAATCGAGCAGGAGCGGGTCAAGTCAGCGGGGGCCTGGATCATCCACCCCTACAGCGACTTCCGGTACTGGGGGCCCAGCGAGGAGGGCGGGGGGCACATCCCACCCCCGTGGGCCACGACGCGGGGGCGGGGCGCGCCCACCCTCCACGGACTCTTCACTTGCGGCCTTGGGGTCCTGGCGGGGCAGCAGAACCAGTCCCCCCGCCTAGCCTGGGACTTCTTGGGCGAGGGATCTCGGAGGTGTTCGGTGAGTTGGCACCGGAGCAGACACCAGAGACCTGGGTTTCCCGTTTCAGGAACCCGGCACCCCGCCCGGACCGCAGGGACCTCTGGATTTAGGGACGGCTGCCTCCCGCAGTCCCGCCGGCTGGGGATCTGGGAAAGTGTGCCGTGTTCGAGGCTCGGGCTCCAGCCGAGGGAGAGACCGAGCCGCTGTCTTCCACGGCCAGCACCTGCGGGTCCGTCAGGGCCGCCTGCCGCGAGGAGCAGGGGCGCGCGCGGGCGGGCCGGGGGTCCCCGCGGCGGCCCCGGCCGCTGTCCCTGGTGCTGAAGGCGGGGTGCCGCGGGGCAGGGCCGGGACTCCCGGCGACCGAGGCGGCAACGCAGGGGCGCCCTCCCGGGTGCCCGTCAGAGGGACCGAGGGCGGAGGAGGGGCCGTTTCACAGTCCCCGTCGGGCTGTGCCTCTACATCAAGGTCGCTAGGGGAGGAGACCAGCTCTGTCCTTGGGGGACGTGAAGGACAGCTGCTGGATGCGGCAACGATGCGTCCAGAGCACCTCAGGCGGGGAGCCAAACGAACAGGAAGGACGGGGTGTGAATGGGGAGCCTGGAAACGCAGCTGGGGACCGGACTTCACTCGAGTCCGCGGATACGCATACTCCCTAAGTGTCCCTCTTTCTCCCATTGTTCCTTCCCCCCCCCTTCGCTGCCTCATTCCCCCCCCAGCAGCGCGCCCGTTCTGGCCTCCTGTGACCCCCCCCATTTCACCTGCAGGTGTGTCCCCAGAAGCTGTGTATTATAACGCTGCTTCTCTGTCTTCTCTACTGCATCACCCGCTAAGCTTGTGACTGCCTGTGAGTCAGGCTGTGAAGATGCTCCATGGCTGGGCGCGCCCTCCCCTCTCCTCCCCTCCCCTCCATTCCCCTCCCCTCCCCTCCCCTCTCCTCCCCTCTCCTCCCCTCCTCTCCCCTCCCCTCCCCTCTCCTCTCCTCTCCTCTCAGCACACAGTACAGGACTCTCCAGTGGCCCAGGAGGAAGAGGAAGAGGGGGTCAAGGATTTGTTGTTGATGGAAAGCACACAGTCTGAGGGGCTTCCTGGAAACCTGGCTTTGGGGACCCCTGTGCTTTTAGAAGCTGAAAAGATTGATTTTGTAGTCAGAGTCAGAAAGGGCTGGGTCCAGGGTTGATGCTGCAATTAGGTGTGTCCCAGAATCAAAACCATCATAGCTAATGGTACCCCAGACTTCTCTGCATGAAGGCTTCACTAGCTTCCTCCTGACCTCTTCGTTCCACACTCCCACCGCAGCAGTGTGGCTCTCCCCTGCCAATGCCCTTGCTGGGGTTGGCCAGAGCGCTAGTAGGCACAGGGAGATTAGGGAAGGAAAGGAGTGCAGAGCTTTAAGCCTCACTGCCTCAGGGTCTCCCATGAAGCTTCTCTGTGTACAGCCCTGTCTGAGGGGCTGTGGAGGGGGGTAGAGCGTCCCTAAAAGGCTCAGTTCAGATGGGAGGCAGCACAGACCACCCCCCCACTCCACCCCCGACACAGATGAGCGGATCCCAGCAGAGAACCAGGAACTATGGGCCAGCTGTGTTGGAAAGGGAAGGAGGGGTGGGGTGGGGAGGGCGTGAAGCCCTAGACTAGGAATGGGCAGAGAGCTGGAGACAGAAGCAGCCACCTCTTCAGAAATCTGGGAACAAAAGGTGGGTGAGTCATAAAACCAACTGGTGCTTGTACGGCACTCTCCTATCCATTGTCTCAGTGTGTGTGTTTTCAACACTCTGGGGAGGTTAGCACAGGGTACTTTCTCTCTCTCTCTCCCTCTTTTTTTTTACTTTAAAAATATTCAATCATAGAGGGGCGCCTGGATGGCTTAGTCGCTTAAGCGTCCGACTTTCACTTAGGTCATGATCTCACAGTTCATGGGTTCAAGCCCCGCGTCGGGCTCTGTGCTGACAGCAGCTCAGAGCCTGGAGCCTGTTTCCAATTCTGTGTCTCCCTCTCTCTCTGACCCTACCCTGCTCACGCTGTCTCTCTCTCTCCTAGAAATAAATAAAACATTAAAAAATTTTTAAAAATTTAATAATAGTGACATAAATCATGTACATGATATTACACATTTATTATACAAACTAAGCAGATATATGTATGTATATATGTATATATATAACATACAGTGATGATATATGCATAGAGTAGATACGTGAGTATAGCAGGCATCTACATAGTATAGTATATGATAATATATCATATTGCATATATATCCCAAATGCTTGTGCATGTATACGTACATATATATGTACATATATGTGCATATGTATACGTAATTACCAAGCACACACCCCTGTAACAACCCTCCAGGTCAGGAGAGACTAGGTTGCTGGCAGCCAGAAGCATCCTTGCTGCTCTCACAGTCCTTTCCCCAACCTACTATTCTAACTTTTGTGGCACTCATTTCCTTTTTTTATAGTTTTAACATTTTTCTGTGAATTGCTAAATAATGCAGTTTAGTCTTACGTGTTTTTGAACTTCGTACAAGTGAACTCATCCGCTGTGTATCCTTTTATTTCTTGTTTTGCTCAACATTAAGTTTGCAGGATTCAGCATGTAGCTGCCATTGGGTGGTTTCAGGGTTGTGTGTTATTCTAGGGCATGAGTACATCACAGTCTATTTCTCTACTGTGTTTGTCTAATTTATCTGTGTTTTTCTACTGATGGACATTTGGGTTATTTCCAGATCTAATGCTGCTACAAACATTTTTGTATGTATCTCCTGGAGCACATATTTCCTTTGAGCGTGTGTATGCTCTTAGTGGAATCGGTGGGTTGCAGGGAATGCAAATGTTTAGCTTTACTAGATAATACCAAACTACATTCCCAAATGGTGGTCCCAGTTTACACTCCCACCGGCTATAAATGGCCATTCGACTATTCGGTCTCCTTGCCCACTCTTGCTGTGTCAGACTACCTGCTGTTTGTCTGGCGGCCGGCAAAGTGTCATCCTGGCCTTACCCCCCATCCCACCCCCACTTAGGTTTTACTGGGACCTGATCATGCTCCTGCTGATGGTGGGGAACCTCATTGTGCTGCCCGTGGGCATCACCTTCTTCAAGGAGGAGAACTCCCCGCCTTGGATCGTCTTCAATGTTCTCTCTGACACTTTCTTCCTGTTGGATCTGGTGCTCAACTTCCGCACAGGCATCGTGGTAGAGGAGGGTGCCGAAATCCTGCTGGCCCCTCAAGCCATCCGGTCACGCTATCTGCGCACCTGGTTCCTGGTCGACCTGATCTCCTCCATCCCGGTGGATTACATCTTCCTGGTGGTGGAGCTGGAGCCGCGGCTGGACGCCGAGGTCTACAAGACAGCTCGGGCGCTGCGCATCGTGCGTTTCACCAAGATCCTCAGCCTGCTGCGGCTGCTCCGCCTCTCCCGCCTCATCCGCTACATACACCAGTGGGAGGAGGTGGGGCGGGGAGGTGGGCAGGGGGGCTCACAGACCCCTCCGGGACGGCGCTATGGGTGGGGCTCCTGGTGACTTCACGGGGTGATGCAGCTGGGTGGGCTCTCTCCAAAGCGGGCGGGTCAGAAGCAGGTTCAGGATGAAGGTTCAGGGGGTACCACCCACCCCCGCCCAGAGGTGAGGAGGGTGGAGCACAGCGGCTGGAGGAGTGCTTGCAGGTTAGCTGGACCCTGGAAGGAGGAAATGGGAGGAACTGGAGTTCCAGTGTTGGGGAGCAGGGTCTGGGGGCTCAGAGTGTGGGCTCTGCCGTCTCTTTGCCTGTGATCATATCCCAGCTTTGCTATTAACTGTCGGAGGCTTGGTTTTCCCCTTCTATAAGATCAAAATGTTAAATATACTTACACATGATGAGGTGTATTATAAGGATTAAAGGAAATAATGCCTGTAACTTAATACCTCCTAGAACAGTGCCTGGGACGTAGTAAGTTGTCAGTCGGTTATCTGAGTGTTACTGGAGGGGGAGGGGCTGTTGGCACGCACCCTGGCACACGTGCCCTGAGAACGTGGCGCCGGGAAATGCCCTCTTTCTTGTCTTCTCGTGGGCGCAGCCCGGGCAGCTTGGGCGGTAGATTTTTTCTGAGCTTCTGCTGGGACGCTGTGTGGTTCTGGGCACGTAACCGGCGTCAGTGTCCTCTCCGTTAAGCGAGAGAGTAGTGGTCACGCGGCCGACTTTGGATTAGCTGTGTGTGCGTGCTCTAAAGCCCTGTGCGAGTGGATGATAGGGGATTTTAAACTCTGTGGGGCCCGGGGCTGGAGAGAAGCTCAAGGAGAGGACTGGCAAGGCCAGGAGTAGAGGAGGGCCAGCGGGGAGGGGTCCTGCCCACAGCAGCCGCTCCCCGGACTCCTCAGATCTTCCACATGACCTACGACCTGGCGAGCGCGGTGGTGCGCATCTGCAACCTCATCGGGATGATGCTGCTGCTGTGCCACTGGGACGGCTGCCTGCAGTTCCTGGTGCCCCTGCTGCAGGGCTTCCCGCACGACTGCTGGGTCTCCGTCAACGGCATGGCGGTGAGGGCTCCCGCGGCTCTGCCTGCTGCGCCCTCCCGGGCACAAGGGTCCGCAGCAGGGACGAGCAGGGGGGAGGCCACGTAGAGGAAGCGCTTTTGTGTCGGAGGGAGCAGCAGGGCAGGAAGCCAGGGCAGAGACGGGGCCCCGGATCCAAACTCACGTGCCTCCCGGGAGGCCAGCGCGCGGCAGAGAGGGCCGCACAGGAGGGCCGCAGGAGAGGGAAGGGGGCCAGTGGTGCGCGGAGGCTGCGCCCAGCTGTGCAGTACACTCTGCCCTCCAGAACCACTCGTGGGGACGCCAGTATTCCCACGCCCTGTTCAAGGCCATGAGCCACATGCTGTGCATCGGCTACGGGCAGCAGGCTCCGGTCGGCATGCCCGATGTCTGGCTCACCATGCTCAGCATGATCGTGGGTGCCACGTGCTACGCCATGTTCATCGGCCACGCCACCGCCCTCATCCAGTCGCTGGACTCTTCCCGACGTCAGTACCAGGAGAAGGTGAGCAGGGGCAGGAAGGCGTGGGCCTGGGGGCGCGGGGGTGGGGACTGGGCAGCTCAGCTTGAGGCCTATGCTCATGCCCATGCCCCTATTGGGTCTCTGTGTCCTTCCCCGCCCTGTGGCCGTTTGCCCCATGCCCGTGTGTGTAACTCTTCCCTTGTTTGGACCTATGTCCCTGTCCTCGGACCCCTCCTCTGCCCGTGTCTGGACTCTCCCGTCACTGTGCTGTGTCCTCCCTGCATCCACTGTCATCCACGTGTCCTGTGGCCCTGTGCACCCCCCGTCTCCATGCCTCACCCCCCGGGTCTGGCCTGTGTCTGTGCCCTTTCCTCCTCTACCCCCACCCCGCTTCCTGCCCACACGCACCTCCGCGCCCCGTCGCCCCTGGCCGTCGGCTGGGCCTCCAGTACAAGCAGGTGGAGCAGTACATGTCCTTCCACAAGCTGCCCGCCGAGACGCGGCAGCGCATCCACGAATACTACGAGCACCGCTACCAGGGCAAGATGTTCGACGAGGAGAGCATCCTGGGCGAGCTGAGCGAGCCGCTTCGGGAGGTGGGACGGGGCTGGGCCCTGCGGGGGCTGGGCAAGGGCCGTGCTTCCGGGGTGCCATCTGGGGTGCAGGCTACTGGTCAGCAGGTGCACCTATAGGGAGTGGGGCCTGCAGGGGGGCGGTCTCGTGAGAGGCCAGGCCCTGGGGGGGCTTTTAGGGACTAGGGTCTTTCCTGAAGGCCTTATTGGGGTGAAGCATCCACAGCGAGGCCCTGCGGGCATCTCTGTTTTGGGGCACGGCCCTGTGGGGGGCTTCCAGGGGAGCTCTGGAGGCAGGAGCTCAGGGATGGTCCCAGACCCTCTGAAGCATCCCCGTCCTTTGGGAGATTATAACCCCAGGGGAGGGGGCTCTAGAGACAGATGAGCTCGATGGGGGCACTTCGGGGCAGGGGTGACAGCCTGCCTGACAGGCCCCTCCCCTGCCCAGGAGATCATTAACTTCACCTGCCGGGGCCTGGTGGCCCACATGCCGCTCTTCGCCCATGCCGACCCCAGCTTCGTCACGGCTGTGCTCACCAAGCTGCACTTTGAGGTCTTCCAGCCGGGGGACCTGGTGGTGCGCGAGGGCTCCGTGGGCCGGAAGATGTACTTCATCCAGCACGGGCTGCTCAGCGTGCTGGCGCGTGGCGCCCGGGACACCCGCCTCACCGATGGGTCCTACTTCGGGGGTCAGCAGGCCTCAGGGGCCGGGGGGTGCTGGGGCAGGGGACAGTGATTGCTCCCCTGGAGCAGTGTTCCTGCCTGGCTGTGTACAGAGTCAAAGATTTCCAGCCCTTGCCTGGGTGTCCTGAGCCAGAATCTCTGGGCCTGGGCCTGGAGATCTGTGACTTTAAATAGCTTCCTAAGAGATTCCAGAGCATAGTGGGGAGCAAGACACTGGGCGCCTGGGCCTTCTAAGACCCTTAACGTGAAGTCTGAGGATCCTATGAGATGAAGGAAAGACAGGAATAAAGCCATGCTGTTCTAGGGGCTTGAGTTTGATCGCTGCCTGGTGGGGTTCCCCGGGGGGCGGGGGAGAGCGAGTCTTGGGACCAAGTCTGTGGCAGTGGATGCCCTTTGCCCTTTGGCACTGCTTTTCTCCTTCCGGGTTGCCCTTGGACTTCACGCAAAGGAGTGGAAGGGGCAGGTACACAGAGGGCACTGCCCCAGGCCTGCCCCTTGGACCAGAGCAGGGGAGATGGCAGGGAATTAAAATGAGTGGAATAACTGGGAGCTAGCATGACCCCCCATGTGCCAACTTTAATCTGGAGAGAGGGGTGCAGGGAGACTACGCCTGGGGCGTCTCGGGGCCTTGGCACGGGAGGGGAGGAGCCTGCGGAAGCCGGGTCAGCCGCTGCAGGCCCGGCCAGAGGGCATTCTGGGGACCGCGGTTCTGAGGGTCTCTCCCCCACTTGGACAGAGATCTGTCTGCTGACGCGGGGCCGGCGCACGGCCAGCGTGCGAGCCGACACCTACTGCCGCCTCTACTCGCTCAGCGTGGACCACTTCAACGCCGTGCTGGAGGAGTTCCCCATGATGCGCCGGGCCTTCGAGACTGTGGCTGTGGACCGGCTGCGCCGCATCGGTGAGGCTGGTCAACCCGCTCTGCCCTGGGTGCTGGCTGCGTCCCCGCCCCCCTCCCCCGCAAAGGGCCGCAGCCCGGGCCGTTCCTCGCAAATGCCCCTGGAGGCCTTCAGCACTGTGGCCCCTGCCACTGGAGAGACGGTCCCACGTCTCCAGGCCCAGAGTTCTTCCTCCCCGACTCTCCCCCTCGGAGATATACTCCCACCCCCGGCCCTCTCTCTCCACCCCTGCCTCCCAACCTCCACCCCACCCCCCATCTCTGCCCTCTCCTCCCCCTCCCTGCCCGGGCTGCCATCCTTTGAGTCCATTTTATTATCCTCTTCTTTGATACCCAACCTTCACCTTGGACTCTTTCCCCATCTTCAGTCTCTCTCTCCTGGGACGATTTCTAGGCAAGAACTCTGTCCTGCAGCGGAAACGCTCCGAGCCCAGTCCGGGCAGCAGTGGGGGCACCATGGAGCAGCACTTGGTGCAGCACGACAGGGACATGGCCCGGGGCGTGCGGGGCCCAGCCCCCGGCACAGCAGCTCGGCTCAGCGGGAGGCCGGCGCTGTGGGAGCCGCTGCTGCACGCGCCCCTGCAGGCAGCAGCCGTGACCTCCAGCGTGGCCATTGCCCTGACTCACCAGCGGAGCCCTCTGCCCCTGTCCCCTGACTCTCCAGCCACCCTCCTGGCTCGCTCTGCTCGACGTTCAGCAGGCTCCCCGGCCTCCCCGCTGGTGCCTGTCCGAGCCGGCCCTCTGCTGGCCCGGGGCCCGTGGGCTTCCACCTCCCGCCTGCCCGCCCCGCCTGTGCGAACCCTCCACGCCAGCCTGTCCCGGGCAGGGCGCTCCCAGGTGTCCTTGCTGGGTCCCCCCCCCGGAGGAGGTGCCCGGCGACTAGGACTCCGGGGCCGCCCCCTCTCCGCCTCCCAACCGTCTCTGCCTCAACGGGCAGCTGGCGACGGCTCTCCTGGGCGTAAGGGCTCAGGAAATGAACGCCTGTCCTCCTCAGGGCTCCTGGCCAAGATGCCAGGGACAGCTCAGTTGCCCAGGCCGTCAGTGCCCGAGCCAGCTGACCCCCGGGGCCCCCAGCTCTCTGCCAACATGTGAAACCCTTGGGTAAGCTCTTGGGTGCGGCAGTGTGAGCCTGAGGGCAGATGCCCCTTGGGGAAGGCCAAGGGGACCTGAGACGTGGCCCTGTGGGAACCCCGCCCCAGGAGATGGCCTCTGTCCTCAGCTCGGCCCCCGCAGCCTGCCCGACATCCTCTAATCCATTCACCCGTCCGTCCGTCAAGTGTACTGAGCGCCTTCCATGTTCGAGACACTGTGCCAGGCGCTGTATGTCCTCACTGCCAAGTAGAGTGGGTCCAGGGCCTCCGAGGAGGGTGCTCCCCGGGATGCTCCTGCCGGGGTGCAGGCTCAGACCCAGGCCCCGCTGCACGGAGCACAAGTCCTCGTCCCGCCACCACTGCCAAGCGACTAGATGTCTCTGTTTCCCGGCCCTTGACCCCGCAGGAGCCGGCTGCTGGGGGTGACTTCTGTCTCCCCGTCACCCGTGCCTCCGCTGCTGTCAACAGACGCCTCGGCCCCGGGCGTGGGGAGCCCACCACCACTGCGGCTGCGGCCCGTCCCCCTCCCCCCCGCCCGCCGTGGGAACACCTGTCTCCTGTCACGTCCTCTGCACCCTCCGTCCCTGTGGGTCAACTGTCTTTGTAAACCGGGAGCAGCCTCCTCCCAGTGCCCCTGCCCCAGTGGTGTCCCCCTTGAGGCGAAGGGACGGTTGGCACGTCCCCGTTTAACGTGCCAGCCCAGATGCCCACGCGGCTGATTCCTCAGAGGCATTTTTTCTCTCCCCCTCCCTTCCTCTTGTTTGTTCTTATTATTCAATCATGTAATAATTGTATTTATTCATTTGCTAGTTGTATTTATTATTCATACACTTTATTCAGCCGTTCCTTTCCCCACCCCTCCCTCCCTGTCCTCACAGGGAGGGGGAGGAGCGGGGTCCCTCTGTGGTGCTCTCTCCTTGCTCAGCCCGGGCCGCACGGCGCGCGGTCCTGACCCCCCTCCCCACAGGGAGCCGCGGAACGGGACGGGGACTCTTGCTGCTTTTAAGGGTTTTGTTCCAAGTTTACCGTTGGTGAGAGAGTAAGGGGAAGACCCAAGACCCCGAGCCTGGGGAAGGGCAGGCCCCTCAGGACCTCTGCCTTCCCGCTCCCCCGGCCCCTCCCCTGCTCTACAGTATCAAAGAATGTGGGGCCAGGACCCTAAGTCACCTTTTCTCTTGGGTGAGGAGTCCTGGGTTTTATAATAGCTTCCAAACAGCGGGGGCTAGGAAGAAAATAGAGATGGGCGTCTCGGCTCCTGGTGTGCGTGGGGGAGCGAGGTGGGCATGACGTGATGCGTGGGTGCAGGAGGAAGCAGCGGGCCTCCGACCCAGCAAGGCACAAGGTGGGCATGAGAACAGCCCGGGAGCGGCCTGCCTGTGAGGACAGTGACGAGATGAGCCCGCGCAGCTCTCTGTGCTCCCCAGCGCCCGTCTGCCCTAGCTGCCCCCTAGGAGGGCGGTGCTTTGATGTCCCTGTGAGTCACCGTGAGGGAAGAGGGGGCAGAGGGGGCATTCTCCCCGGGAGATTCATGGGGGCCACATTGGAGGGTATCAGGCTGCATGGATACGGAACAGTTTTTAAATAGTGATTTTTGTGGAGACTGTGGACATGACGGCTCTGTTCCCCCCCCCGCCCCCCCCCCAGGCACAGGAAGCTCAGAGGAATAGAATTAACCAGTTAAACTGGGATTAAAGGCTCAGAGCATCTTAGGCTGAGAGCATTGGGTACAGGGAATGTAGGACTGATGCTTCCAGATGGCTGGTGCTTAATTGGACACAGACTTAAGGGGCCTGCGTGAAATGGAGACAGGAAGGAGCGCCCTGGGATGGGGCTGGATGGCAGATGTGGCCCAGGTGGGCAGCACCGAGAGAAGAGAAGACGGCCATGGGCGTGGGGCAGAGGGTGTGGGGGTCCACGTCGGGCTGTGTCAGCGGGACGTGGCATCTCAGGATACGCTCAGCACTCGCATGATGTTGGTATAGCCAGAGCCAGGTCGCCAGCCTGTCACCACGATCACCAGGTCCCCAACGTGGAGGAAGCCATGGAGCTTTCCTAGCAGGGGTGAACAAAGATGGCCATCAGCCGCTGAGGGACGCTGGCCGGCCCCGCAGTGGGAACCGGTCACCAGCCTCCCTCTCCCCCAGGCACGGTGTCCCACAGGTGGCACCACAGGGAGTGTGGCCGCCGCCGGTGTGTCCACGGGGCGGCGTGGGCCTGCCAGCTGTGCCGTAGGAAGAGACGGGGTATGATCACAGCTACACAGCTGGGGTGATGGGGCCACCTGGCACTCTCCCCTCTTTTTTTTCCTTTTTTTTAAACGTTTATTTATTTTTGAGACAGAGAGAGACAGAGCATGAACTGAGGAGGGGCAGAGAGGGGGGGCGGACATAGAATCTGAAGCAGCTCCAGGCTCTGAGCTGTCAGCAGAGCCTGATGCGGGGCTCGAACCCACGGACCATGAGATCATGACCTGAGCCAAAGTCGGACGCTTAACCGACTGAGCCCCCAGGCGCCCCAGCCTCCTACTCCCTAAGTCCCATCCGGCTCTAGCAACAGGTGCAGCAGCAGCCGGGCCGACCTCTCTCCCACCGCCCTCCTCCGTCTATCCCCCCGCCCCTCGAGGCCAAAATACCCCTGTGTCTTAGTGACCTTCTCAGGGAAAACCTGGGACCAGAGGAGAGAGGCAAGGCCCTTTGAGTGGGTGTGGAAAGTGGGGTCTGGGGACTGATGATGGCTGGGTGGGGAGGAAATCGAGGTGGCTCACCACTTTCAATGCCAAACTGGACCCGGTGATCCACGTCGTCTGCCCAGATGGCCTCCGGAGGTTCACCGTAGAGCACAGGGAAGACCCCTCGGAACAGGTGGGCCTGCCGGGCAGCCTGGGCAGAGCGGGTGACAGCGATGACCATTGCCCGAGGGCGGTACCGAGACAGCAGGTGTGCGGAGCTGAAGGAGGTAGAGAAGCTCTCAGAAAAGGGGAAGAGAAGTGAGCCAGGAGACAAGCTGTGTGGCTCTGGGTAAGTCATCGTATTTCTCTGGGCCTTGTTTTTCTCACCTGTAAAATGGGCATTAGAATGCCTGTCCTTCTTACCACATAAGGAAGCTAAGAGATAATGAAGGATGTATCAAGGCACATAATAAGAAACTTCTTGAGAAACACAAAACCCTGAAGTACTTAACTCACAAATGTCTCTTGTTAATCCTCACGACTCCAGGAGAAAAAGTGGCCTATAGCGCCCGGGTGACTCAGCCAAGTTCTCAGAGCTCATGTGTGAGAGCAAAGACTTGAACTAAGACCTTCTGGGCCCTTCTGGGACATCCCAGCATTGTAAGGCTTTGTGGGCTGAACGCAGAGGGCTTGCCCAGGGGTCGGGATGGCCTGGAGCCAATGTGCCCAGCGATGTCACGCAGCCCTCCCAGCGCCCCGGGCTCACTGGACAGTTCCCGCTCGCGGCCGAGGCCTGCCCGGGCTGCCTGTCCTGGACCTCCCTCTCCTCAGGCCCCAGAATGATAGATACCCTTGGTCTCTGACGACAAGACCAAACCCGGGCGTGGGGCCGTCCCGGTGTGCCCCTGACCCAAAGTCCTCTCTTGGTGCTGCATGCGTCCTCCTTACCGGCCAGACTTGGTCAGCACGACAATGGCAGCAGCACAGCACTTGAAGGAGGCCTCCACCGCGCCGATGGCGGTGACCTCAGTGGGATCTCGGCTCAGTGGCGCCACCCGGCGGAGCTCCTCAAACAGCTGCCGGTGGTAGATGGCAGCCTCCGCTTCCCGGGCGATCTGCAAGCACCAGGCGGTCAGGCGCGCAGGGGGCGCAGGAGCCCGGAAGGGGCGGGGGCTTCCGGCTCATGCCTGGGCTGGGCGCCCCTACCGCGTGCTGCATCTTCACTGCCTCCACGGGAAACTGGCCCTTGGCCGTCTCCCCCGACAGCATGATGCAGTCCGCCCCGTCCAGCACAGCGTTCGCTACGTCGCTCGTCTCTGCCCGGGTCGGTCGGGGCTTGGTGATCATGCTCTCCAGCATCTGGGGGACATCTGGGCGTCAGAGCTGTGGCAGTCACACGCTGCCTGGGGCCCCGCCCCAGCTACTTCTCTGCCACTCTCAGAGTGCCCTGAGAGCCAGGGCCACAGTCACAAACCGTGTGACTCTGGCTGCCCCGTTTCCGCGTCTGGAAACCCCGGCTCACAGTATCTCTTCCCATCTCGGTGGCTTGAGGATCAAACACTGGACAGCAGAATGTGCTAGAGACCTAAGGTGTCTCCCCACCCCAGAGAACGCCCGCGGCCCCCAGGGCTCACTCCAGACCTGTGTGGCACACACAACGGGCTTGCCCGCCAGGTTGCAGCGCCCGATCATCATCTTCTGAGCCAGGAAAACCTTCTCAGCTGGGATCTCGATGCCCAGGTCGCCTCGCGCCACCATGATGCCGTCGCTCACCTCCAGGATTTCATCAAACCTGGGCGGTTGTGGGGGGCTGGGGGTCAGGGCTGAGGAGGAGCCAGGAGACGCCAGGGAGAGGCAGGCTGGAGAGGAAGAAGGGCTTGGAGAATGGCCGGAGCCTGTCCAAGACTCACCTCTTCACGCCTTCGTGGTTCTCAATCTTGCTAATGACCTTGATGTTCCGTCCTTCCTGCCCCAGAACCTCCCGGATGGCAGCCACATCGCTGGCTTTGCGCACGAAGGAGGCAAAGACGATGTCCACCTCGTGCTCCACCCCGAAGCGCAGGTCCCGGGCGTCCTGCTCTGACAGCCCCGGCAAGTCCACCTGGGCGCCCGGCAGGTTCACGCCCTTGCGGCTGCCGAGGGTGCCGCCGCTCTCCACGCGCGTCTCCAGCCCCTCGGGGCCTGCAGGCGTGGAAAGAGGCAGTGTCGGTCTGGGGGGAGCCGGGGGCATAGCCAGGGCCGGGGGCCCCCAGGAAATCAGGAACCTGTGTCCTGTTGTCTGTCCACCTTGGGGCCTGCGCTGTGCACGGAACACGCACCCGTGGGCGTCCGTGGGAGAGACCAGTAACCCGGCAGTCCAGCCCCAGTCCGGGTTGAGCTCAGGGGCCTGAAGGGGACTCCGGGGGCGGGTGGGGGAGGGCGCTGGCCGGGGGCGGGGGCGGCGGGGCGACGAGGCAGGGGGCCCAGAGGGAGGGAGTGCACCCCGCGTCCCTGCGGCTGGGGCGGAGGCCCATCCGCACCGATTTTCTGGACCTGGAGGCAGATGAGCCCGTCGTCTATGTAGATGCGGCTTCCCACCGACACGACCTTGACGATATTGGGGTAGTCGACCCACACGGTGTTCGCGTCCCCCCGCGTCCGGAACGCCGGGTCCACGGTCACCAGCACCCGGGAGCCCTTCACCAGCTCCACTTGGGACTCTGGGCCCTAGGGGCGGGGCCAGAGGGGCCTTGAGCCCCGCCCCGCCCCCGCGGCCCCGGCCCCGCCCCGAGCCCCGCCCCTCTCACCCCCTGCGGGACACCCGTGCGTATCTCCGGTCCCTTGGTGTCCAGAGCGATGGCCACGGGGCGGTAGCTGAACGGAGACGCTGCAAAGCTCTCCACCGCCTTCCGGATGTTGGCGATGGACTGAGCGTGGTACTGCGGGCCAGCGAGCAGGCGGTTCAGGGGCGGGTGGCCAGGGACCCCCTCGCCGCAGGCCTCCGCCCCGCCCGCCCCCCCCCCCCGGCGCCGCCCCAAACCTCGTGCGAGCCGTGCGAGAAGTTGAGGCGCGCGATGTTCATGCCGGCCTTGATCATCTCCTTGAGGCGCTCCACCGACTGCGAGGCCGGCCCTGGGAGCGGGGGTCTGCTCAGGCGACCTTCTTCCCAAACCCGGGGATGGGGGGGGGGCAAACCCATCACCGCGCCACAGGCGTCCGGGACCCGACCTTTGTTCCCTGAGCAACCTCTGCTCTCACGTCTGCAACTGTTTCCTCTCCAGCCGACACCTGCCTGCCGGGGGGCGGGGGGGCGTCCTCTGCCCGGCAGCGACGCCAGCGCTGCAGAGCAGGGGTCCCCCGGCGCAGGAGGGGGCACGGCAGGACACGGGTGCCGGGTGAGGGCATGTGGGGTCCGTCTGGGCCTTTGGACTGAGCGGCCTCACACCGGCCCCACCGCCGCTCTGCCGACCTCTGCAGCCCCGAGTCGCCGCGCTCCCCTCGCTATGGGATCGTTCCCAGCAGCATGGAGACCTGAGTTCTTTCTTTCGTCGTGAAAGACGTTCTCTGAGCCCCAGGTGCCCTCCTGTTTCCCTGCTCTCCTTTGCAGAAAACCCGTGGCCGGAGTTCGGTCGCGGCCTCCGGTCCCTCCCCCCCCCCCCCCCCCCCCCCCCCCCCCCCCCCCGCGTCCTTCCTCGCTTGGGCTCCAGTCGGCGCTGGCCTCCCGCCGGGGTCACCAGGAACCTCGGTGTCCTTGCTAACGGTCAGTTCTCGGTCCTGGCCCCCACTGGCCCGTCGGTGCCACCTGACCCGCGTCCTTGACGCCCCTTCCTCACGTGGCCTCCAGGCCACGCCCCTCCGGGCTCACGGCTACCCCTGCCGCTCCTTCTCTGCCTCGCTTGCCCCCCACATCGTCGCCCAAACATCAGACGCGTCATTTTCTTGGCTCCCTTGGTGGTCTCAAGTAGTCTCACGGCTCCAAATGCCAACTAGATGCTGGCATCGCCCACATTTATATCTGCAGCTCCGACCCCTGCCCCAGGCCCAGAGCTGTGTGTCTCACTGCCTCCTGGCCCTCAAACCCCCTGTCCGAAGCGAGCCCTGATTCCCCGCCCCCACCCCCGCCCAAGCCTCTCCCCCGAGGTCTTTCCTGCTCAGGTGAAAATGCGTCCTTCTAGTTTCTCACACCAAACACCTCGGACTTCTCTCTGATTCCTCCTTCGCCCTCAACCCCCTCCCCCACCGTGTCCCACCCATCTGAGAATCCTGCCTACTCTGTCTTCCAAATGCACTCAGAGTCCCATCTCCTGTGACCTCCTCCACCGCCCCCACCTGGTCTGGGCCAGACACACCCTCCACCACCACCCCAGTCTCCTGCCGGACGCTGGGGGGGAGGGGGGCTTGACAGACCCTGACAGTGGCTATCAGGCCCTGCGTGACCTTCTCTCCACAAGGTCTTCGTCGGCTGCTCTCCCCTTGACGGCGTCTAACCGTTCCAGCCTCCGCGACTCAGGGCCTGTGTGCTGGCTGCCTCCTTTCTAGAACTCGCCCCCCACCCGCCTTGCACACCGCCCTCCTCACATCCCCTTCCGGCTCTGGGCAGATCTGGTCTTCTCCCCACGTGGGACTGCACCCTGCCCCCGCGCCCCGTCCCCACCCTTGGGTTCCTTCCTCTGCTCCGTTTTTATTTTTTCCATTGTTCTTATCACTTTTGCACATGCTGAATAACTTACTTCTTTTTAAGTTATTATCCTTACTATTTACTTATTTTTATTATTTTGAGAGAGAGAGAAAGAGGGAACAGGCAGGAAAGGGTCAGAGAGAAGGAGAGACAGAATCCCAAGCAGGCTCTGCAACATCAGTGCAGAGCCCGATGTGGGGCTCGAACCCACAAACTGTGAGATGGTGACCTGAGCCGAGATCAAGAGTTGGACACCTAACTGACTGTGTGCACCATCTGAGCACCCCTACGGTGGGTATTTATTGTCTCACCAGCCAGGTGTCAGCTCCCCAAGGTCAGGATCTTTGTCTCCTTCACTGATCCAACCCCAGGGCCCGACACCTTGGCTCAACCAAGTGCTCAACAAGTGTCTGCTGAATGAATGACCTTGTCAGACACGGGTGGACAGAGGTGCGGAAGCACCTTGAGAAGCACACGAGTGGCTCAGGAGGCTGGGGTCGGGGACTGCGTACCGATGGTGGCGATGATGCTGGTACTGCGCGCGGCCACGGGCTCCGAGTCAATGTCCAGCAGGCACAGGTGCTCCAGGAAAGTGTCCGCCATGGCGGCTGACAGCTGCTGCCGCTCGAAGAAGGCGGTGCCCAGCTCATGGGCCAGCTGGACCCCACTGGCCCGCCGTAGGTACCCTGCTGGCCCTGAAGCAGAGGAGGGCTGTGTGGGCCCCTGCCTCACCTCGCCACCCGTCACCCCAGCCCTCCGCCCCCTCCCTGAGTTCCCCAGGTTTCCTGGGGTCCTTCCCAGGGGCTGGGCACTAAACGTGGCATTATCCTACCCAGTGCCAAGGACCCTGTGGAACAGACGCTGTTAAGTGCTCTATAAGTATCTCCATCTTCCAGAGGAAGAAACGGTTCAATAAATTGCCCAAGATCATAGAACTTCTAGGTAACAGAGACAGGCTGACCCGCTCCGGCCTGCCCGCACAACCCTGACCTCCCGCCCTGCAGCTGCTGACGTCCCTCAGCCTCGGCCCTTCGCGATATCTGGCCCACACTGGCTGCTCATTGTCCAGAATCACCCAGTCCCCTTTCCTAACGTTCCTGTTTTCTTCCTTCCAATTTGGCAGGCTTCCCAACCCCCTCCTCTGGGTTTCCCAACCCCCTCCTCTGGGTTTCCCCAGCCCCTCTTCTGGGTTTCCCCAGCCCCTCCAACGCTGCTCCGGTCCTAGGGCCCCTGAGCTTAACCCAGCCCAGCCCAGAGGAGCCCCACTTCCAGCCGCAGCCTCCATGCCGGCGAGCGCCTGCCTGCTCCACACCGTCTGAGGCTCAGGCCCGGCTGGGCTGGGAGCAGTTCTGCGCACTGGTTAAAGTGTCACCAGCAGGGGCCGGAGTCCAGGCAGCACAGGAGCCAGTGGCTCGTGGTCCCCGTGCTGCCGGCTCCTGTCTGCCCTGCCTCCAGGGGCTGGGAAAGAAGCTCAGAGCCAGGGCCCAAAACTCAACACCGGGGAGACTCCAATGATCACAGACGCCCCCCCCCCCAATGCCAAGGCCCTCTCCGCTGGCCAGCAGCAGGTGTCCATCATTTGTGTCTCTACCTCCACTCCTGATTTCCACCCTCGTTTCCTCCTACGCAGTGGCTTCTGTTGCCTCTCCTTACCTCCCGGAGCCCCAGTCAGGATGGCCTTTATCAAGTCCCTTTGGGAATTAGAGATCCTTGACCAGACCTCCTGGGGTGCTGCATTCTCCTGCCTGGACATGCCACAGAGGGAGACACTGAGTGTGGGGCGGGGGCGGGACAGAACTGCTGGTCTTATCTAAGGGGGCCAGGGAAGGGAAGGGGCACACGCCCTGCTGGCTGCCCCTGGCCCCACACACAGGCCCTCCCCCGGCTTGCCTGCTCTCTGCCCTGGCTCCTGGCATCCCCGCCCCCCGTCTACTCTTCCCGATAAGTTTTCACTCGTGCTGTCATCAACCTGAATAGAGCTTTTGGTGATATGGCCCCGTTTCCTTTGTACTTTATTGAAGGGACCCTAGATGAATCCAGGAAGAAGAGGATTTGTGGCGTGGACCACAGCCTGAAGGAAGGGCTTGGGGAGAACTTCGATGGTGTGGGGGCGTTCCCTAGATGGGCTCTGAGAGCATCGCTGTCACCGGAACACTGGCCACCGTTTGCTCATTGACCAACATTTACGGGGCACCTACTCCATGCCAGGTCCTGAGATACAAGGGGGAGCAGAACAGACAGGGCCTTTGTCTCGTATGGAATGTGCAGCACGGGGAGACAGCCTATAAACAAGCACCCAAGAAGTGAATATGGAACCACAAAGTTTGTAAGTGCTGTTGAGGAAGTGATCAGGGTGTGAGAGCAGCAAAGTCAGGAGGAAGGAAAGAGAGAAATGTATTTCATTTAAAAGTTTGCTTAGGGCGCCTGGGGGCTCAGCCGGACACGCATCCAACTTCAGCTCAGGTCATGATCTCACGGCTTGTGAGTTGGAGCCCTGTGTCTGTGCTGACAGCTCCGAGCCTAGAGCCTGCTTGGAATTCTGTGTCTCCCTCTCCTTCTGCCCCTTCCCTGCTCATGCTCTATCTCTCTCTCTCTTCCTCAAAAATAAATAAACATTTAAAAAGTTTAAGCTTATTTATGTATTTTGAGAAGGGGGAGGAACAGTGAGAGAGAATCCCAAGAAGGCCCCATGCTCAGCTAGGAGCCCCACGTGGGGCTAGATCTCGTGACAGTGAGATCACGGCCTGAGTCGATACCAAGAGTCTGACGCCCAACCGACTGAGCCACCCAGGTGCCCCGAGAAATGTATTTTAGGTGAGGTGGCTTGGTATGACCTCTTTGGGTTTTTTTTTTAATTTTTTTTTTGTTTAATGTTTTATTTATTTCTGAGAAAGAGACGGTGTGAGCAGGGAAGGGTCAGAGAGAGAGGGAGACACAGAATCTGAAGCAGGCAGCACAGAGCCCGACGCGGGGCTCGAACCCACAAACCGTGAGATCATGACCTGAGCCAAAGTCGGACGCTCAACCGACTGAGCCCCCCAGGCGCCCCTGGCAAGACCTCTTTGAAGTGTGATCATATTTCAGCTGAGATGTCAAGGAAGAGAAGGAACTAGTTGGGACAGTTTGAGGCAAGGAGTTTTTTGTGGGGTTGGAAATAATACGTGTCAAGACTCTGAGGAAGGGAGAGGCCTAGTGCTAGACAGAGAGGGGCACTGAGGCCGCATGCCCGGGGCAGAGGCACGTATGTGCAGGGTCAGGAGGCTGTGTGCCCGGCGGAGGGGCATGGTCCCCGTGAGACTAGAGCCATAAGCAGGGACTTGGAGGGCACCGGCGGAGTGACGTGGCCCAGTGGACGCTCTAGGTCCCTGTCGCTGGCGGGTGGAGGTGAGCAGGATTTAGGCGCAAGTGGGCGGGAGGCGAAGGACTGGCAGCAGCAGGACACGTGGAGACCTAGAGGGAGACGGATGTGAGGTGTCCGGAGAGCAGCACACGGGGTGGGACTGTTAGACCCCCTTTTCCAAAGGAGAATCACTGAGGACAAAGCCCACAAAACACACAAGGAGTTGGTTATCCAGGTTTATTTTTAGTCCGGCTGGCGGCCCCTCCCGAGCGCGTGAGTCCCCAGAGTCCTCGGAAGAGCGCACCATTGAGCCACAGCGCAGGGGGGAGGCCGGTGTACAGAAGCGAGAATTTTGCAGTCAGAGGTGAAGGTTGCTCAACAGTTGCTTGAAGAACTTGTCTGACGGTTCTAATCACAATGTTCACTAAAGATTGGTGTCTCCGGGGCTGGCTGCAGCCGGTTGCTCAATGCCTGACCTTTTACCCGAATAGAGTTTGAGATCACACAACGGTTGGCATCCTCATTTGCAAGCCCCTCACTTTTTGGCCCAAGGGAGTTTGTACAGGATGAGGGGCGCAGGGGAGGACGTGGAGAGAGGGAGCCGGAGGCTTCCATCCCCCGAAGGCTGGCACTGTAGATCTGGCTTGAGCAGTCGACTAGATCGCAGCCCCATTTACTGGGACCAGGAACAGGTGTGTGGGAGAAACATTCAAGGTTTTCTTTTTAGTTTTATTTATTTATTCTTTGCAAGACAGCGCGAGTGGGGGAGGGGCGGGGGGGCCGACGGAGGATCCAAAGTTCGATGCGGGGCTCGAACTTATGAACTGTGGGATCATGACCTGAGTCAAAGTCGAACACTCAGCCCACTGAGCCACCCTGGACCAGTGGTCAACACCTCACGTGCGTCTTCTCCTTTATCACCATGACAGCCTAGAAGACAGGTAGGCTCCACAGCCCGATTGACGGAGGGGGAGCTGAAGCTCATGGGTGGGCAGGGTCCAGATCCTTCCTCAACCCTTGCCCACTCTGTCGGGGCCCGGAGGCTGAAGGCCTTGGCCTTGGCTGGGCTCGGCCACCAAAAGGGAGAGGAGACAGAGGAGAGGAAGGCTGGGCGTTTTCCTGCCCTTCTCCCTGCCAGGCTGCTGTAGGCCACAGCTGGCACCAGGGGCTCCTCTCCAGACCCTGGGGGCCCTTGTCTCCCCGTCCCCTGGAGGTGGCACTAAGCCCACTGTTTCTAGATCTGGGGTAATGCGCTGTGCCTTGTGGTTCAGCAGCGCCCTGTGCACACCTATGGATACAACGCTGCTCTGAGACGTTGATCAATTTATCTGATTGGAGAGAACCCTGGGTTCTCTGTGGAACCCTACCTGCTACACTGCATCAGGGGCTAAAGATCTCCCAGAGGCGGAGCTGGGATTTGGACTCTGAGAGTGGCCGCAGGGGCTGAACTGTGGCCGCTGAGCTCATCCCGTCTGTCAGACTCTAGCTGGCAAAGAAAGGGGTTAGGGAGCAGGAGGCACTTAGCAAGGGCAGTGAGCACGGATCCGAGACGCTGTTTCTAGAAGACAGAATAAATAAAGATGGTTGAAAGTTGTAACCAGAGGGAACGAAAGTAACAGACTTTAGGGACTGGGGAATCAGGACTTGTGCTTGAGGGTTGGGGAGGGACATGGGATATTTAAGGTTGGCCTGGCAATTTCAGACAGACCCGAAGGCCACTTGGGAGGAGCAGAATCCGGGAGATCCAAGCCCCAAACAGCTAACAGGGGCTGGGTTGTTGCCTGTTCGATCGAGGGACGGGAGCTTTGACCTGAAAGCCTTTGGTTCCCCTGGGGGCGCGTGAGATGTAGTCTGTACCTCGCCCCGGGCCGGGAGGCCTGGGGATGACAAAACCAGGCCCGCAGGCCTGCACATCCCAGCAGAACGGGGGTCTGGCTTGTCAGCTGCGAGCCCTGCACACCTGGACACACCGCAGAGCTGTGTCCTCCGGGCACGGCCGCCGGATTCTGAAGGTCAGGCCCCGGGCAGGACTGCGGAGACACAAGAAGGCTGGCAGTTAGGTTTTATAAAGTGTGCGGGGCGGCGACCGTGCTGTGCTCAGGGCACAGCGGGGACAGGAGCGGCGGCAGGTTGTGCGTGAGGGCGGACGTCAGGAGGTTGCACCCTGGAGGCCACAGGGGTTGCTGCAAGAGGTCAAGGGCAGAGACTGCCCAGCACCGGTACACGTGCGCGCGCGCGCACACACACACACACGCACACACACACACACGCACACACCCTGCTCCGAGCACGCGCTCCCACCCCCCGCACGACACACGCCCTCTCACACGCACACAAGGCCCCCCACGTGTCCCGCAGTTTGAGGCCGCCTCACTCGACAGCACAACCTCGGCCGGCCAGCGGGGGCGCCCGAGAGCCGCCCCGGGGCCCTTGAGGCGTCGGGGTCCGCCCCAGCCTGCAGGACAGGCTCGGAGTCGGTTTTCTCCGGGGGGTGGGGGTGGGGGTGGGGGCGGGGGAGGGGAGGGGGAGGGGAGGGGGAGGGGGGGACCTGGGGCCGCATTTCCGCCGCGGGGCACGCGCGTCTGGCCTCTGCCTCCGGAATCAGAATATGGGGGCCGGGCCCTGCGTCTGTATTTCCAAAAGTTCCAGAATTTGAATGTGTTCAAATATATTTACTTTTATTTGCATAGACACTTGCACAATATACAAAACTCAGGGTCTAGCGTATCGGTGAAGCGTTTCTTCCTTCCGACCCGGCCGCGTCCCCGCCTCTCAGCCCCCCCCCCCCCCCCACTCCGGGGGTTCTACCAGTTTCCCCCAGTGTCTGTGTCTTCTCTCAGAAACGGACTATGCAGGCACAAACAATATATACCCCCATTTATTAATTAATTTTTTAACGTTTATTTCCGAGAGACAGAGCATGAGCAGGGGAGGGTCAGAGAGAGAGGGAGACACAGAATCCGAAGCAGCTCCAGGCTCTGAGCTGCCAGCACCGAGCCCGACGCGGGGCTCGAACCCATGAGCAGCAAGATCACGACCTGAGCTGAAGCCAGATGCCCAAACGACTGAGCCACCCAGGCACCCCCCCCTTTAAATATAAGAACATTTTATGTTATTATTATTTTTTCATCCTTCTGTGCCCAATGTGAGGCTAGAGCTCACGACCCTGAGATCAAGGGTTGGCTGCTCGCTCTGCGGACTGAGCGGACTGAGCTAGCCAAGCACCACAATCCGTTGCTTTCTTATGCAAGAGGCAGCAGGGAACCCTACCCTCCATTCTGTTCCCCCCCCCATGCTGACCCTAGAGCTTGGACTCTGCATGTGGAGCGAGCCCTCAGTTCTGCCCAGGGTGTTTGTGATGGACTCCCTGAAGCCCCTGCTTGGAACCCCTACCCAGAGAGCAGCTGGAGGCAGAGGCCACTCCTGGCCCAGGTCTCTCTCAGTTTTCTGAAAAACTGTGTAAAATGTACATAGGATATAACTTACCAGGGCGCCTGGCTGGCTCAGCGACTGGAGCGAGCGACCCTTGATCCTGGGCTGTAAGTCCCAGCCCCATGTTGGGTATAGACATGACTTAAAAATAAAATCTTTTTTAAAGTTTACCATTTAGCCATTGTTAGGTGTACCGTTCAGCCACGTTGAGCACATTCACAGTCTTGGGCACTATTTCCAAAATTGTTCTCACCAAGTCAAACAGAAACTCTGTCCTCACTGAACACTAACTCCGGCGCCCACCGCCTGCCCCCCACCCCCGGGGCCCTGTGTTGTCCTTTGTGTCTCGCGGGGCTTGTCTACTCTAGGGACTCTGGGGACCCCGTATAAGTGGGGTCACACACTTGCGGTCAGTGGCTTCTCTCACTCAGCGTGTCAGGGGCTGGCTCTCCCACATTGCAACATGTATCAAGTTCCCTTCCTTTTTAAGGCTGAATGATATTCCGAGGAATGTGTGGCGCACACTGTTCCCCCCGCATGTGAAAGGGCCATGGGGTCATCTCCACCTGTTGGCTGTGGGTGGACGCGGGCACACGGGTCTGGAGCCTTCTGTGAGGGCCTGGCTCACTTCGCCGGCTCTGGTGTTCGCTTGGTGAGAAGAGGGGCAGGGGTCTGGAGAGGAGGGGCAGGGGCGGAAGGTGCAAGCACAGCGGGCTGCTTGATGCCCCCCAACATCCCCACCTGACAGAGTGCAGCCTTATGAGGCCGCCCTCCTTCCCCGTCACCCCCCACCCCCGCTGCCCGCCTCCTTGGCTTTAAGGCAGGCACACTGGCCTCCACCTCTCCCTCCCTCTGGAGGCAGATGAACGGCCTTTGCCTGAGGCAAGGGGCTGCTCGGTGCTCCCTCCCAGTTTGTGGAGCACACCCTCCCCCTGCGGCCCCCCCCCCCCTTGCCTGTTTCCTTCCAGGCACCGCTTACTGCTGGCCCGTGAGGCCTTCCCTGACCTGGTCACCACCCCGGGCTCCCCTGCGCTCTGCTGCCCTCTCCTCTGCTCAGCTTTGGCACAGCTGACTTGTGAGACGTGTTCCTCCACTCCCCACTCACACGGAGAAAGTCCGTTCCAGGAGAATGGGGGTTTGTCCCTGGGGCGCCCTGGTCTATTCCTAGTGCCTAGTAGGCACTCAGTGAGTGACTGTGTGGCGAGGGGCCCAGCTCCCAGGGTGACTCAGCTGGTCCAGCCTGCGCAGCCTCTCCCCCGGGCTTCGGACCCTCAGGTCCAGCAGCCCCGGCTCACCCTGCAGGGCAACTTCCTCCAGAACCTTCTGCCTTGGCCAAGTCAGCCTCTTTTCCCTTCCTTACCTTTTCCCTTCCTTCCCCGCACCCCCCGCCCCGCACCCCCACCTGCCCGGCTCCACCGTGTCTGTGGGAGCCTCGCACCATCCGCAGCTAAGCTCAGTCCACAAAACCTGTACGTTCCAAACACTTTTCAAACCCACCCTCCCAGCCGTCTCCGTCTCTGCGGTCACTGCCATTGCTGGGAGAGCCCCACCCCGCCAGGGGCCCTTCCGCGGGGGCCAAAGTTGTCTGTCTACATATCAGATCTGATTAGGCTGCTCTGACCAGGACACTGCGGCTGGTCTGGGCAGGCAGAGACCCAGCTCACTTCTCTAGCCACACCCCTCCCTTCTGCAGTCTTCGCCCCTCCCCCCCCACTCCCCAAACATGACTTGCTGTCTCTCAGTACCATGACTTTGCACACACTGTTCGCTGCACCTGTGCGCCCTTCCTCATCTTCTGTTCCACAAACTCCCTGTCCAGCCACCCCAGATTCACCTCCTTTCTGTCAGCATTAGATGCGCTTCTGATCTCCTTGTTCAGTTACTTGTAAGATACTTACCAACGGGGGCCTGGCTGCCTCAGTCCCTAGAGCATGTGACTCTTGGTCTCAGGTTGTGAATTCAAGCCCCACATTGGGCACAGAGCTTAATTAAGTAAATAGCTCTTTCCGCCATCTTTGAACCCGTGGAGGCCTGCTGGGAACAGGACTCCTGAAACGACAAATATGTCTGGAAGTCCAAAGCCATTTTTGCTGGCTATAAACGGGGTCTCAGGAACCAGAGGGAGCACACAGCTCTTCTTAAAATTGAAGGTGTTTATGCCCGAGATGAAACTGAGTTCTATCTAGGCAAGAGATGCAAGAGATGTGCTTATGTGTACAAAGCAAAGAACAACACAGTGACTCCTGGTGGCAGACCGAATAAAACCAGAGTAATCTGGGGAAAAGTAACTCGTGCTCATGGAAACAGTGGCATGGTTCGTGCAAAATTCCGAAGCAACCTTTCTGCTAAAGCCATTGGCCACAGAATCCGTGTGATGCTGTACCCCTCAAGGATTTAAACTAACTGAAAAGTAAATAAATAAAGGTGTAGATTTGTTCTCTTGTAAAAAAAAAAAATTAAGTAAATAAACAAATCAATGGGGCACCTGGGTGACTCAGTCGGTTGAGGGTTCCACTTTTTTTTTTAATTTTAATGTTTTTTATTTATTTCTGAGAGAGAGAGAGAGAGAGACAGTGTGAGCAGGGAAGGGCCAGAGAGAGAGGGAGATACAGAATCTGAAACAGCTCCAGGTTCTGAGCTGTCAGCACAGAGCCTGACGCGGGACTTGAACCCACAAACCGTGAGATCATGACCTGAGCAGAAGTAGGACGCTTAACCGACTGAGCCACCCAGGTGCCCTGAGGGTTCCACTTCTGATTTCGGCTCAGGTCATGATCTCACGGTTCATGAATTTAAGCTCTGTGCTGGGCTCTGTGCTGGCAGCACAGAGACTGCTTGGGATTCTCTCTCTCCCTGTTTCTCTGCCTTTCCCCTGCTCAGGAGCTCTCTCCCTGTCAAAATAAATAAACATAAAAAAAAAAAAGGCTAGGTAATTAACCCCATTCACACAACCAGTAAGGATTTAAAGTAGAGTCTGAACCCAGGACTGACTCACTACTTCCTGCCCATTTCTTCCCTTGAGCCCTGGAGGCTTCTCAGCGGACTGCGGAGGGGGCATCCCCTCCCCAGCAGCTTCTTTCTTCCCAGGGAAGGTGTGCTTAGGAGGCCTTCACCCATGGCCCAGTGAGGATTAGGCTGGCATGGGAGGCCCCAGGGCCCTCATCCCTGCCACACTGATCCCGACTCTCCCAGACGTCTTCCGAGTCCCCTAGGGAAGGTGGCTTCCTGGAGGTCCCAGGCTGGAGACGAGGAAATGAGAGGGCTTAGCTCTGGGGGACACTGCCTTCTCCGTATTAATCCTCTCTCCTTCCACTCCTGGTCTCTTCTCCCATTTCCTTAACCTGGAGTTTGCAATGAGAATGAATTAATAATTCCTTGGATTTCAGTGGACTTGAATATTTACAAAGACTTTCCCCTAGTTTGCCACTTTTGGCCGTCCACTCCGCTCTACAAGCTAGTTACATAGGCTGCACACCGAGGTCTCCTGAAATACGCCAGTGTCCTCAGTTTGCCGCATCGGAGCCCAGACAGTGAGGCCGTGGGGCTTGCTGACCATCACCCAGCTGCTCACGGTGGAGCCAAGGCTCGAACCAGGCAACGTTTAAGCCCAGGGACCCCACTTCCGCTGCGCTAGGAACTGAGAGGCCCCCACCTAGAACCGATTTCTCTTCTGGGTGAGTTTCAATCTCTCCTCTCCCTGGGGGCGAGCAGGCTGGCAGCCGTGCCCGACTCCCTTCAGACCACAGGGGATGAGCCAGGGGGGTATTGAATCGGCAGAAGCCCTCCTACAGGCCGCCCTCCGCCCTCCGCCCGTTGCCTAGGAGGCCAGGAGGCCGCGCCCCTTCCTGAAGGGCCTTCTCCCAGCCTTCCCAGCCTCGCACTGCCTCCTTCCTGAGAGCAGCCTTCGCTCTCTGGACCTCTTGGGGCTTCCTGCCACTCCTGTGCTGGTCTCTCATCTGTATCCATGTCCTTCGTTAATCCGCACCCCCCCACCCCGTCACTGAGCGGGACAGCAGTGACCCAGGGCCTGGGCAGAGAGGACAAGGGAAGGGAGAGGTGAGTCTGGCGAAAGGGGCGGCTGTGGTGAGATGTGCAGACTCAAAGGCAGATGGAGTAGACTCTGGATGTGGCTGGTTGTGACCTGGGCTGTAATTTACTGTGTAATGACAAGTGACATTTTCTGGGCCTGCCTCTAGTTCTCCAGGTAAACCACACGATTTCCAGTTGGGTTTTTTTTATTTAAGTTTATTTATTTGTTTTGAGAGCGAAAGACAGAGAGAGAGAGAAAGCAAGCAAGGAAGGGGCAGAGAGGGAGAATCCCAAGCAGGCTCTGCACTGATAGTGCCGCATGTGGGGCTGGAACTCACAAACTCTGAGATCATGACCTGATCCAAAACCAAGAGTTAGACGCTTACCTGACGGAGCCACTCAGGTGCCCCTAGTTTTTTTTTTTTTTTTTTTTTCCTTTTTTTTTTTTAAAATTTTTTAATGTTTTTATTTATTTCCAGGAGAGAGAGAGAGAGACAGCGTGAGCAGGGGAGGGTCAGAGAGAGAGGGAGTCACAGACTCTGAAACAGGCTCCAGGCTCTGAGCTGGCAGCCAGCACAGAGCCCGACGCGGGGCCCGAACCCACGAACCGCGAGATCATGACCTAAGCGAAAGTCGGACGCCCAACAGACTAAGCCACCCAGGCGCCCCAGTTTTTTTTTTTCTTTAATTGTGGTAAAATATATGTAACATAAAATGTACCATTTTAACCACTTTAAGTGTACAGTTGAGTGGCAGTTGGTGTGTGCACACTGTGCAAACATCCCCACCATCCATTTCTAGAACTTTCTAAGTCTTCTCAAACTGAAACACTATACCCATGAAACAGGAGCTCCTCAGTCGTGCCTCCCCCAGCCCCCGGCACCCACCATTCAACTTTTGCCTCTATGAACTTGACTCCTCTAGGGGCCTCATATAAGAACATTCAGGGGCTCCTGGGTGGCTCAGTCAGTTAAGCGGTTAAGCATCTGCTCATGATCTAGCAGTGTGTGGGTTTGAGTCCCGTGTTGGGCTCTGTGCTGACAGCTCAGAGCCTGGAGCCTGCTTCGGATTCTGTGTCTCCCTCTCTCTCTGCCCCTCCGCTGCCCATACTCTGTGTCTATCTCTCAATACTAAATAAATGTTAAAAAAAAAAAAAAAAAGAATCATGTGGTGTTTTTTTGTGTCTGCCCTAAGGCACTGAGCAAGATGTCCTCAAGGTTCATCCATGAGGTAACATGTGTCAGAATTTCCTTCCTTAATTTTAAGGCTGAAGAATACCCCACTGTAAGTATACACCGCCTTTTGTCTGTGGATGGGCCCGGGGGTCATTTCCACCTTTTGGCTGTTGTGAATAACACTGCAGTGAGCACCGGCCTACGAGTGTTTGTGTGGGTCTGTGCGCAGCTCCGGGGGGTATACGCCTAGGAGGAGAATTACTGGGCCATGTGGCAGTTCTATGTCTTCTGTTTTTTTGTTTTAATTTATTTCTAGGAGAGAGAGAGAGAGACAGCGTGAGCAGGGGAGGGTCAGAGACAGAGGGAGACACAGACTGAAACAGGCTCCAGGCTCCGAGCTGGCAGTCAGCACAGAGCCCGACGCGGGGCTCGAACCCACGAACCGCGAGATCATGACCTAAGCGAAAGTCGGACGCTTAACCGACTAAGCCACCCAGGCGCCCCAGTTCTATGTCTTCTATTTTGAGGAACAGCCCACTGTTTCTCAGAACAGGTGGAACATTTTAGGTTCTCACTAGCAATGTCTGGGGGGTCCCAATTTCTCCATATTCTCACCAACATTTGTTATTTTCATTAAAAATTTTTTCTAAATTTATTTATTTATTTGAGAGAGAGAGAGAGAGAAGAGAAGAGAAGAGAAGAGAAGAGAAGACAAGGAGACACAGAGAATCCCAAGCAGGCTCTGAACTGTCAGCACAGATCCCAATGCAGGGCTTGAACCCACGAATCATGAGATCATGACCTGAGCTGAAACCAAGAGTCGGATGTTTAACCGACTGAGCCACCCAGGTGCCCCTGTTAGTTTCATTTTTTTAATCTGTTTTTTTTTTTTTAATTTTTTATGTTTCATTTTATTGTTGAGAGAGAGAGAGAGACAGAGTGCAAGCAGGGGAGGTGCAGAAAGAGGGAGACACAGAACCCAAAGCAGGCTCTTGGCTCTGCGCTGTTGGCACAGAGCCTGATGTGGGGCTTGAACTTACGGATGGTGAGATCATGGCCTGAGCTGAAGCTGGATGCTTAACCGACTGAACCACCCATGCGCCCCAAAATCTGTTTATTTTTACTATATTCATACTAATAAGTGTAAAGTGTTATCTCACGTGGTCAATGGTAGATTGTCTTTGGAGAAATGTCTACTCGAGTCCTTTGCCCATTTTCTAACTAGGTTGTTTCTATTTTTATTATTGAGTTTTAAGGGTTCTTTATGTATTCTGAATATCAAACCCTTATCAGATATAGGATTTGGGAACATTTTCTTCCATTCTGTACACTTCCTTTTCACGCTCTTGATAGTATCCTCTGGTGGACAATGGTTTTTAATTTTGATGAAGCTCAATTTATCTTTTCTTTTGCTGTTTACACTTTTGGTGTTATATATAAGAATCCATCACTAGGGGCACCTGGCTGGCTCAGTTGGTGGAGCATGTGACTCTTGATCTTGGGGTTGTAAGTTCGAGCCCCACATTGGGTGTAGGGATTACTTAAAAATAAAAAATCTTTTTTTTTTTTTTTAAAGAATCCATCACTAAATACAAGGCATGAAGGCTTATTCCTATGTTACCTTCTAAGACTTTTTATGGTTTTAACTTTTATATTTAGATTTTAGTTCATTTTGAGTTAAATTTTGAATATGGTGTGAGGTAGGGGTCCAACTTCATTCTTTTGCATCAGGAAAGATGATTCTGTCTACCTAGTGCCATTTGTTGAAGAGAATGTCTTTTCCCCACTTCGTGGACTTAGTACCTTTGTAAAAAACCTATTAGCTATAGATGGGTGAGTTTATTTCTCGACTCTCAAATCTGTTTCATTGGTCAACATGTCTATTCTTATGCTAGTACACATGGTTTTGATTATTATTATTTTTTAATATTTTTATTTATTTCTAGGAGAGAGAGAGACAGCGTGAGCAGGGGAGGGTCAGAGAGAGAGGGAGTCACAGACTGAAACAGGCTCCAGGCTCTGAGCTGCAGTCAGCACAGAGCCCGACGCGGGGCTCGAACCCACGAATCGCGAGATCATGACCTAAGTGAAAGTCGGACGCTTAACCGACTAAGCCACCCAGGCGCCCCAACACATGGTTTTGATTATTATAGCTGTGTAGTAAGAGTTTGAGCTTGAGTTGGGCTCTGTGCTGACAGCTCAGAGCCTGGAGCCTGCTTCAGATTCTGTGTCTCCCTCTCTCTCTGCCCCTCGCCCCTCATGCTCTCTCTGTCTCTCTCTCAAAAATAAGTAAACACAAAAAACAAGATTATTTGAGCTATCCAGGGTCCCTTGTAATTACATATGCATTTGCAGATTGCCTTTTCCATAGCTGCAAAAAATTTTTTTGTTGTTGGAATTTTGACAGGGATTGTGTTGAATCTGTTAATCATTTTGGGGGACATCTTAATAGTAAGTCTTTCTACCCAAGAACATTTTCAATTTAATTAAGTTTCTTTAATTTTTTTTTCAGCAATGTTTTATAGTTTTCACTGTACAAGTCTTTTACCTGCTTGTTAAATTTTATTCTTAGGTATTTTATTCACTATGAAAAATAGAATCACACTCTTGCTTTTTGAGATTGTTCATCGCAGGGGCACCTGGCTGGCTGAGCTGTTAGAGCACAGAACTCCTGATCTCGGGGTGGGGTGGGGGGGACTTCTGAGTTCGAGCCCCATGTTGGGTGTGGAGATTACTTAAAAATCAGAAAAGAAAGAACAAAAGAAAGAGAGAGGCTTGTTCGTTGCTTGTGCGCCGAAGCGCAACTGATTTTTGCAGGTTTTGTTCCCTGCTCTAGGAGCTCGAGTAGAAAATCTTGTGGATTTTCCATAGTTAGGATCACGTCTCTGAAATACATATTTTTACTACTTTTCCAACTTAGTTGTTTTTTGCTTTTTCTTATCTAATAGCTCTGGCTTCAACTTCCAGGACAAGGCTGAACAGCAATGGTGAGAGCGGGTACCCTCCCACAGCGAATTTTGTTCTTTAAAATAAAACCTATTTAGGTCCCGGGTGGTTTCGAGTTGCAAGGACCTTCGCGGATGCGTTGAGTAACCGCGCCTCCCGAGCGTTCGCGTGTAGGCGGAGCCAGAGCCTACGGGGCCCTGCGCGCAGCCCTCCCATTGGTTGTCCGGTGCAGGGCCCCATGCTCGCACGAGGGGATGCAGCCAATCAGCGTGGCTCGTCTCCGCCCAGCCAGCCCGCGCTAGATCGCGTCGTCCTGTCCCTCCTGCTGCATGCCGGGAATTGTAGTCTGATGGGGGCCTTTCCGCTTGGAGCGAAGGGACTCGGGAACTACTAGACCCAGCGTGCCGCGCGCCCAGCCCAGTGGGGTTCAGGAGTACCCCGCCTACCCACCGGATCAGGATCCGGCACCAGCAGCAGGTGAGAGAGGTTACTGGCAGGCGCTCAGGCCCGGTGGGAGGCTCGGCTTCACGTCCGTGCAAGTACGTGGGGGCGCACGAGGGCCGCTGTCCTGCGTGGGAGGCCCGGGTGTTGGGAGCCCGCGGGCCGGACCGGCTGACCCTGTGGGCGGGCGGAAGCCGCCGGGATGGACGTGCAGTGTGCGCGCCCAGAGACGCCCCGGCCGCCGGGTGGCTGCTCCGCCGCCGGCCGCGCGCCGCCTGTGACCGCGGACCTCGAGTCCGTGGCTCCCGGGGTTGCGGCCCAGTTTTCCGTCGTCTTGGGGTTTCTCCGAGCCTGCGCACCCCTCTCCCCGCTCCCCGGGGAGACCTGGGCTCTCGAGTTGGCGCTGCCACTGTCCACGTATCTTTCTGCCTCCTCGAGCCTCCGTTTGGCCTTCATGAAAGGCGGCGCTTTAAGTGTCCTCGCAGCCCCGGGTCCTCAGGTCCTTCAGTCTGGGCTCTTCCAGCTGTGCTCCAGGACGTGGGGGAAGAAGCCACGGGTGTAGCAATTCCAGAGGTTCCCCGCAGGGTTGACGGCCGAGGGGATATAGTTGGGTGGCGTTAAGTTATTCTAAGTGTGCACTTAAGTGCGGTCGGTGGACTTCCAGGCAGCCGGCCGAACTCCTGCTCCGTGCACTAACTCCTTCGCGTAAAGGCCCTGGAGCCTCGCTCAGGAGGGGGCGGGGCATTGTGGGCCCCGAGGGAAAAGGCTGGGGGTGGTGGGGGTGACCTGGGGAGCTGCCACCGAGCCTCTGCCTGTGGTGCTTGCCCCTGCAGGGAGTGCTCAGTGCCCCCTCCCTATGCCACCCCTGTGATGCCCCTGTCCCGCTGGCTGAGATCTGTGGGGGTCTTCTTGCTGCCAGCTCCCTGCTGGGTGCCCCGGGAGAGGTGGCTGGGTTCCCTACGGCGGCCCTCCCTGGTGCACGGGTGCCCAGCCCCGGGGGCCTGGCACGGTGCCCGCTGCTGGTGCCAAGCGTGGACAGAGGAGCCTCGGTGAGTGTGGTGGGGTGAGGGGCCTTGGGGAGGGGAGCAGTGCTCAGGTTTCTGACTTGACCTTCCTCTCCTCAGAGCACTTTACTCCTCCCTCAGAATGAACGGAAACCAGAAATTGGACCCTTATGCCCAAGAACAGCAGGATTTCATCCAGCACTTCTCCCAGATTGTCAAGGTGCTGACAGAGGATGGCATGGGCCACCCGGAGATAGGTGATGCCATTGCCAGGCTCAAGGAGGTGAGGGATCTCTCCTTGATTCTCTCAGAGAGAGAATCTTTGGCTTGTTCTGGAAGTGTGTGGGGTCCAGCTTTGACACGGAGTGGGGGCGAGGGGGGAGGAGCAGGCTTTTACCTGAGTGACTCTGGGTCTCCTCTGGAGGAGCGGGTCCTGGGCAGGTGTACTTCCTGCTAAAGGACTGCTTTGTATAAAGGGTGAAGGGGGTGAAGGCTTCAAACCTGGTAAGTCTTTGATTTTGTTGAGAAAGGGAATCAGGTGTCCGAGATCACAAGGTGCTGTTTTGATAGGGACCTGGGGGGAAGGCAGCCTGAGGCGGACCTGGTGAGGCCAGGCCGGCACCAGAAACCTTGCCCCAGGGGAAGTCTGGCTGGTTTTTTTAAATTTTATTTTTTAATTAAATTAATTTTTAAATGTTTCATTTATTTATTAAAAATTTTTTCTAATGTTTTCATTTATTTCTGAGAGAGAGAGGGGCACCGTGAGCAGGGGAGGGTCAGAGAGAGAGGGAGACACAGAATCCGAGGCAGGCTCCAGGCTCTGAGCTGTCAGCACAGAGCCTGACGTGGGGCTTGAACTCATAAACCGGGAGATCGTGACATGAGCTGAAGTCGGACGCTTAACCGACTGAGCCCCCAGGCGCCCCGGCCTTGTCTTTAATATGGTGAGGGAGGCCTTTCACTTCCAGTGTGAGTGGTGGGTGGGAGGAGGTGGCGGGGAAGCTTAGGCGAGGGGGGGTGGGGCAGGCACCTGGGAAGGAGAGACCTGTGTGAACAGTTTTCCCTGGGTTCAAGCTCTGCTCTGGGCTTCAGGGCAGATTTTAATGTGCAGTATGGAGGCTTTAAGTTTACTGAGGAGTGCAGTGCCTGGCTGGGTCAGTCAGTAGAGCTTGCGACTCTTGATCTCAGGGTCATGAGTTCAAGCCCTGTGTTGGACACGGAGCCTGGTTAAAAAAAGAGAAGAATTTACTGTGGAAGACAAGCCAGAGAGAGCTGGGGATGCGGGATAGGAGCAATTCCAGAGGCTCCCTGGAGGAGGAGGCAGGTTTGAGGAAGTTAGGCGGAGGTCGGGAGGGAGGGAGTGTGGGGGGCAGTCTCCACGGCACCTGCCGACGCCCTGCCCTCCCCCTCGCGCCAGGTGCTGGAGTACAACGCTGTCGGCGGCAAGTACCAGCGGGGCCTGACGGTGCTGATAGCCTACCAGGAGCTGGTGAGGCCGGGGAAGCTGGACGCTGACAGTCTCGGGCGGGCCCGGACCGTGGGCTGGTGTGTGGAACTGGTGAGAAGACGGGGCGGCCGGAGAAGGCGGAGGTTTTATCGGGGTTGGGGGTCGTCCTGGGGAGGGGAGAGGAGGGACGAGCCTAAACCTAATTTCTCCCCGAGATTCTGTGCAATAGTAGTCGAATTTAGACCCCAAATTACTCCAAGGTTAGCAAAGGTATGGAACCTCTTTGCCAGCGGTATGTATTTAATCCACAAACCAGCCGTGGGCCAGGGCCTTGGAACTGGGCATTAAGATGTGAGCTCTGGGGCGCCTGGGCGGCTCATTTGGTGGAGTCTCTTTGTTTCTTCTTGAAATGTTTATTTATTTTTTTTTTTGAGAGAGAGAGAGTGGGTTGAGGTCGGGGTGGTACAGAGGAGCCGAAGCAGACTGTGTGCTGACAGCAGAGCTCCTGACGTGGGGCTCAAACCGTGATCTTGAACCGTGAGAACATGACCTGAGCTGAAATCACACTCAAACAACTGAGCCCCCCAGCTCCCCGAGCATCTAACTCTTGATCTCAGGTCTTGTTCTCAGGGTCATAAGTTTGGCCCCTAGTTAGGCTCCATGCTGAGTGTGGAGCCTACTTAAAAAAAAAGAGAGAGAAGAGCCCGGGGGGCTCAGTCGGTTAAAGGTCTGACTTTGGCTCAGGTTATGATCTCACAGTTTGTGGGTTCGGCCCCACATTGGGCTCTGTGCTGGCAGCTCAGAGCCTGGAGCCTGCTTCGGATTCTGTGTCTCCCTCTCTCTCTGCCCCTCCCCTGCTCCCTCTCTGTCTCTCAAAAATAAATAAACATTAAAAAAAGAAATAAAACGTCAACTCTTTTCCTCCGAGCAGGGGATAACCATGCAAACAAGGTAGTTCTTCCAGAAGGTTACTCCAAAGCAGAGACTGAAAACTTTCAGCCCACTGCTAGTTTTCAAAAACTAGGGCCCTAAATTAAAGAAAGAAGAGACGTCACATAAAAACCCAGATTTCCAGCATTACTTGGGAAATTGCTAGATCTGGGCCCAGACTCCCATGTAGCTACAACTGGCTGACGTTGAATCGTAGCCGCTAACCCAGGACAGGGCCCGTGCTCTTCTGCGTGGCCCCGTCTCTCTCTGCTTTGCTCCAGCCCCCTCGTCTCCCATAGCCTTGAAAGGGTATTGTTTCCTGGCCTAAAGCCTTCACTGGTGACAAGGAGCCTGGGTCCCAGGAGGGGTGCCGGGTGCCAGGCTCTGAGAAGGGTGGCGGTGAGCTCCAAAGGGAAGACACTGACGGGCAGCGAGGGCGGGAGGGGCTCGGGAGCAGCCATTTGGTTCGGGCCGCGTGGCTGGCACCCTGGCGTGTGGCTGTTGGAAATTCTAGCCTGTGGCTCGTGAGTGAGGTGGGGCTGGAGAGGAGGGATTTGCCTCCAAGGCGGTCAAGGGATGGTGGCGCCCCTGAGGGACGAGGCCCCGGGTGACCGGCAAGGAGGATCGGGCCGCGCGGGGGGTTTGAGGGCCCCGCGCTTCACTGGGTCGAATGAATTGTCATGAATTATAGCTGCACCTGTGAGGGTTTCCTTTTTTAAGCATGGCTGTGATGCTGTCACTTCCCAGGGGCCCTTCTGAGCTGTCCACCGGTGTTTTTATTTGGGTGGTTTAAAAAAAAGAAAAAAGTATCTTGGGAGAGACCGAGGGAGCACGAGCAGGGGAGGGGGACTCCAAGCTGTCAGCACAGAGCCTGATGTGAGGCTTGAACTCCCGAAACCCTGAGATATGACCTGAGCCGAAACCTAGAGTCAGAGGCCTAACCAGCTGAGCCACCCAGGCGCCCCTTGTAATCTCTGCTTTTATCTTTCTACTTCTGCTTCATCTCCTTCAGCCTCTTGCTTTTCTATTTCAGCATTTACCTCCTAGAAACAAGGACATTGGTCTGTATAGCCACAATGGGGTGACCACCGTGTCTTAGTTCAGTGGGGGTTATGACAAAGTAACGCGCACGGGGGGGCTTCACAGAAGTGACTTTCGCAGAGTCCTGGGGGCTGGAAGTGGGAGATCACCGCACTCGCGTGGCTGGTGCCCGTCCTGGCTCCGGGGGGCCCCTTGCTGCTACGCCCTGTGCACGGGGGGCCCGGGCTCCGGAGGCTGTGTGGTGAGGCCCGGGCTCAGCGCCTCTGTGACTGTTAGGATTTCAGCTATGCATTTGCAAGGATACATTCAGGCCACAGCAACATTCCAAGATATTTATTGAACACTGATACAATAATATGATCTAATGTATACTTTGCACTTAAATATTCCTAATTGTACCCAAAATGTCCATTCTGCGTTGTTTGGTTTTTTTTAAACACTCAGGGTCCAGTCAAGAGTAACACACTGTATTTGGTGATTCTTCTTCAATCTTTAATCTTTAGAATAGTCCCTCCACCGTAATTGACCAATACCATGGATAGATTTCTCATTAATTGAGACTTTGGTACCGGTATGTATGTTGAGTTTCCCCGATAACAGGATGTGCAGTTGGGGTGAAGCAGCTGCCACGGGGTAGGGGAGGCGGGGGGAAGCCACGCGCCTGTGCCCCTTGGAGGCCGTTCTGGTCGAGTGGGAACGGCTGAAGGCGGCGGAAGAGGCAGTGGACCGGGGCCTCTGCGGACCCGTGTCACTCAGAGTAAGCGCCATGTAAATAAAACACATGCCTCCAATATGGGGAGCCCAGAGCCTGCCCAGGATGAGGTCAGATGGAAAGGTGCGGACAGATGCCTCCTTCCCCGGTGATTCACTTGGGAGAAGAGCGGCGGCCACCTTAGCCCTTTCTGTGCCGTGCGCGACGGGCCGCGCTGGGCGAGCCGAGCCAGGCAGGCCCACCAGCGCTCATGGAGATCGGGACGGCGTGAAGATTGGAAACCACGTCCTGAAAAGCTATGTGTAAAGTCTCGGAACGTGGGGCCTGACTACGACAAGTATCGGGTACATGACAGCGTTTCACTGTCTCTGTTAGACATGCATTGATGGCTCATCGGCTCTGGGAGCGGACTCCCGGGGGGCAGGGGGGCAGGCGCCGTCCTTGCCTCCAAAGACTTGGCAGCCTGCTGGGAAAACCCGCACCTCCCGGGGGCCTCGGGGAAGCTGGGCGTCAGAAGCCCTGGGTGGTGTGAGTGGTTAGACGGTTAAGACCCACGGGGGTGAAAGTCGCCAGGGGTCAGACTCCAGTTCTGTCCCTATCACACCTGCACCCTTAGATGAGCTCCCTGAGGTGGGGCTTTGTCCTGGACACAAGGGTGTAAGCAGAGTGCCCGGGGCCACGCGGGAACAGCTGCCTTTACTCCAGAAGTCACATAAAGTCAGACTGCATGAAGAAGTCTTTCCGTCAGCATGCACGGAAAATTCTGGCGTGAGCACAGTCCCTGAAGATCTTACCTCCCTCGCCCCAGGGTTGTCTCAGCCTGTGTGTTTGGGGGTGTCCGAGATCTCCTGGAGTCTCTCAATCTGGAACCGAGAGCTGTGACCACACGTTATACCTGGCACGGCCACACCAACAAGGTCACAGAATTTTACGAAGTCCCACAGCACCGCACAGCGGTCCCAGCCTGTCCGTGGTGGCCGCTCTGTCGCTGGTAGAAGGAGCCCCCCGTGAGGAGACCCTAGGGCCTCACCCCACTCCTCCTCCTCCTCTAGCTCCAGGCTTTCTTCCTGGTGTCAGACGACATCATGGATTCCTCCCTCACCCGACGGGGGCAGATCTGCTGGTATCAGAAGGTACCGTGGGCGCGGGAGCCGGCCCCGGGGAGGTGGTGACCTAGAGCCTGCCGAGGTGTTCCCGCTGGCCAGAGACTGACTGACTTTTCTCTGCGTCCCTGACAGCCAGGCATAGGTTTGGAAGCCATCAACGACTCTCTGCTTCTGGAAGCCTGTATCTACCGCATGCTGAGGCTCTACTGCCGGGAGCAGCCCTATTACCTGAACCTGATGGAGCTGTTCCTACAGGTGTGCTGCCGGCCCGCGCTCTCAGGGGCTCCTTCATCCAGCTGCTTCCAGGGCAGGTGGGGGGAGGGGGGCTAGGTCTGCCTGGAGGAGAGCTGGGCAGGCAGGGTGCTGGGCAGGGTGGCGGCAGGAAGGGGGCTCTCCCTGTGTCTCAGTGATCATGTCTGTATGCGCCATGGGGTTCGGGGCCCTCTCCCTCTCCTTAGAAATTTATTTTGAGAGAGAGAGCGCGCGCGAGCACGTGAGCCACTGAGTGGAGGAGGGGCAGAGAGGGAGAGAGAATCCCAAGCAGGCTTTCCACTGACAGCGCAGAGCCCGATACAGGGCTTGAACCGTGAGATCGTGAGATCGTGACCTGGGCCGAGATAAGAGCCACCCAGGCGCCCTCAGGGCCCTGCCCCCTTGCTGCCTCTCCGACCGCCCATGGCAAGGGATGTGGGTGCCAGGATTTCGGGGTTTCCCAGCCCTGGAGAAAGGCCAGGTTATGGGCCATCTTCCTCCTCAGAGTTCCTATCACACTGAGCTCGGACAGACGCTGGACCTCATCACGGCCCCCCAGGGCAACGTGGATCTCAGCAGATTCACTGAAAAGAGGTGAGGGACCATGGGAACCGCATCTGGACGGCGGGCGGGCCGTGCTGGGCACTGCCCTGAGGAGTGTGTCTTCTTCCCCTGTTCAGGTACAAGTCCATCGTCAAGTATAAGACTGCTTTCTACTCGTTCTACCTTCCCGTGGCTGCTGCCATGTACATGGTGAGCCGGCCTCCCCGCCCCTGCTGCCGGCTGATGGCGCTTTCGGACAGGAGGGCACAAAGCCCACAGCTTCGGGCAGTCTGGCGCCCCCCTGCGGGGCCCTGTGACCTTGACCAAGTTACTTAAGCTGTCTGAGCCTGCTTTCAGCTGTAAGATGATAAAGTCCCCACCCCAGGATTTTTATGACCATTAACCGAGGCAAGGGACCTGAAGGCAGTGTGCCCATCGGGGGGGCACTTCTGTCCACCCGAGTCCGGACAGAAGTGGGGAGGAGGTCATTTGTCTGAGGTGAAGACTGTATGAAGTGCTCACCCTGACCTCGCTTCTCCGTTCCCCTGTTGTCACGAAGTGGGAAGTGGTGAAGGGTTAGGCATCCGGCTCCCTGGGAGGCGCAGCCGACGCAAGCGGGTAGAGCCTGGACCATCAGCACGTCCTGCCTCTGGGCCGCCAGGGATGGCTGAGAGGCGAGGGGAGGCGATCTGGGGGCGGCGGCAGGGACCGTGAAGGCCCCCCCGGGGACCGGCTAACCGTTCCGCTCTCTGCCGCAGGCGGGCATCGACGGGGAGAAGGAGCACGCCAGCGCCAAGGTGATCTTGCTGGAGATGGGGGAGTTCTTCCAGGTGCAGGTAGGAAGGCGCTGGCGGGACAGGCTGCCGCATCCCGCTGCCTCCGGGTCTCGTCATTTCACCCTTTCTGCCGCCTGCCCAGGACGATTACCTTGATCTCTTTGGGGACCCCAGCGTGACAGGCAAGATTGGCACTGACATCCAGGACAACAAATGCAGCTGGCTGGTGGTTCAGTGTCTGCAGCGGGCCTCTCCGGAGCAGCGCAGGGTCCTCCAGGTGCCTGGGGGGGGAGGGCGTGGCTCCGTGGGCTCCTACGAAAGGGGACAGGGCACTGATTCTCAAGTGGGGGTGCTGGTGCACCCCGGGGGACATTTGGCAACAGCAGCAGACATTTTTGGTCGCAACTCGGTGTGCGCACGTGCTGCAGGTGTGGGTGGAGGCCAGGGATGCTGCCTAACCTCTTAGGCTGCGCACAACGGCTTCCCACCCCGGGGCCTCCAGCCGCGAGTGTGAGTAGTGCCCAGGTTGAGGAGCCCTCGGGGAGAAGAAACGGGCCTGAGCCGGTGTCTGAGCATCTGGGGTGGGGAGACGGGAGTTCGGGATCAAGGGACTCAAAGACCCTGGAAACTGGGGGGGGAACGCAGTGAACAGCCGGAGAGATGTTCTGGAATGTGTGGACGCGGGGCAGGGCGTGCCCGGCACCCGGAGGCGCTGGTGGCGGAGGCTGAGCCCAGTCCCTTGCAGGAGAACTACGGGCGAAAGGAGGCGGAGAAGGTGGCCCGGGTGAAGGCGCTCTACGAGGAGCTGCAGCTGCCGGCCGCGTTCCGGCAGTACGAGGAGGACAGCTACAGCCGCCTGATGGGCCTCATCGGGCAGCACGCCTCACCCCTGCCCCCGGCCATCTTCCTGGGGCTGGCGCACAAGATTTACAAGAGGAAGAAGTGACCTGGGCCCCGCGAGGGGAGGGCGAGGGCGAGGCGCTCAATAAACTGTCTCACCTTCTCGTGGTGCTGCTCCTGCTGTGTGGCCGCGGCGCCGCTCCGCCGGGCGGGCAGGGCCGGGGGTGGCTGCCGCGGAGCGGGGGCCGGGGCCGGGGGCGGGCCTGGCCCTCGGGGCACGAGGGGCCTCGGTGGGTGACCCGGGCGTGACGTCAGGCGCCGGGGGCGGGGCCTGGCGCGGCCACGCCCATGCGTGAAGGGGCGCGGCTGCGCAGCGCCGGCGGGTCGTCCCAGAGCCCCCCTTGCGGTCGGTGCGGCCCGGCGGCGGGGACCTTGGGAGCCCGGGAGTCCGCTGCAGCGGCTGCGGGAGGCCCCTGGTGAGGAGGGCTCGGCGTCGGGGCGCGAGGAGGGCGCAGGGGGGCTGCGGAGGGGAGGAGCGGGGCGGCGGCCGGGTGATGGAGACCGGCGCGGAGAGAATGGACGAGCACGGGGCCCCCGCGCAGGTGCCCCGAGGCTGCCGAGCCCTGTGCCGGCCGACCGGCCACGCGGACCCGACAAGCTGACGGCTGCTCGGTCTTTGCCCCTTTCCTGCATTGAGCAGCCGGACGCGCCTCCCCCACCCCGCTTCAGAGCATCTGGGCGGGGCCTCCCTCGGCCCCTTCCCCTGGGAGTGAAGCGGGGGCTGGGGAAGGGGCGAGGGTGGGGGGACAGGGCCAGACTGCAGCAGAGACCATCCGGGGCTCCATTCCGGGCCCCGTCCTTTCTCAAGCCCCCGCACCTCCACGGAAACCCAGAGCGCAGCCGCATTCCCGGGCCCTCCCCGCCCCATTCCCGGGGGGCTCCTTTCGGCTCCTCCTGCAAATACTGCAGTGGAAACTAATGGCCAGTCGGTGGACATCTGCATCTCATTTAAATCCTGTCCGAAGCGGCCGGCGCCTTTCGTGCCTGCGGCAGCTGTCGGTCGCCTCGGTGCCCTTCCCGCGGCCCGCGCCCTCTCTGGCTGGGTTTCACCGTCCCTGTCTTCCAGGTCTGCAGCTGCGGTTGCCAGGTAGGCGGGCGTGAGAGGCCCGATCCTCCTGACTCTCGAGAGGCCATCCCGTCGCCGGCGGCACAATGCTGTCCCCTCAGAGGGCTTTACTTTGCAACCTCAACCACATCCACCTCCAGCATGTCTCTCTGGGCCTGCACCTGTCCCGCCGTCCTGAGCTGCGGGAGGGGCCCTTGAGCACGTCCCCTGCCCCAGGGGACACCGGGGGCAAGGAGAGCCGCGGCCCCTGCGGCGGGGCCCTGGTGGACGCCAATTCCAACAGCCCGGCCGTGCCCTGCCGCTGCTGCCAGGAGCCCGGGCCCGGCGCGGAGAACCGGCAGCGCCCGGCCCGGGAGGAGGCGGGGGCCGCGTCCCCCTCGGACCCGGGCTGCTCGTCGTCGCTCAGCTCCTGCTCGGATCTTAGCCCCGACGAATCCCCCGTCTCCGTGTACTCGCGGGGCCTCGCCGGCAACGAGCACGTCCGCGCTCGGCCTAGCCCCCCCCTGGAGCAGGGCTCCCCGCTGGCCCCCGCAGGCCCCGGCGCCTGCTCCCCGGACAGCTTCTGCTGCTCGCCCGACTCCTGCTCCGGAGCGTCCTCCCCGCCGGGCCCGGGCCTGGACTCCAACCGCAACGCCCTGACCTGCCTGGAGCCCCCTTCCCCGGCGCTGGAGGAGGAGGACGGGGCTGCGGAGCAGGGCCTCCCCGCCTCCGAGCTCGCAGAGGCGGACGACGGTGGGAAAACCGGCGCTGGGAACACCGAACCCAGCTGGAAAATAAACCCCATTTGGAAGATTGACACGGAGCCGGCGGAAGCCGGCTGGAAAATCGCGGAGAACAATAACTCTGGCTGCAAAATCAGTGGGGACACTAACTCCGGCTGGAAAACGGAACCCGGAAAACTCGACTCCGGGCTTAAAACCGCCACGGGGGTAGCCGACCCCGGCTCGAGAGCTGATGAGGGGAGAGCCGAGGCGGGGTGCAGGCGTGACGTCAGCGAGGAGCCCGCGGCCCGCAGGACCGTCACGTCCTTCCACGAGCTGGCCCAGAAGCGCAAGCGGGGCCCGGGGCTGCCCCTCGCGCCGCAGGTCAAGAAGGACCGCAGCGACTGGCTCATAGTCTTCTCGCCCGACAGCGAGCTGCCCCCCAGCGGCTCTCTGGGCGGCTCCCCGGCGCCGCCGCGGGAGGTCACCACTTTCAAGGAGCTGCGGTCCCGGAGCCGCGCCCCGCCCCCGCCGCTGCCGCCCCGCGACCCCCCGGCCGGCTGGGCCCTGGTGCCGCCCCGGCCCCCGCCCCCGCCCGTCCCGCCACGGAGGAGGAAGAACCGGCCCGGGCTGCAGCCCATCGCCGAGCGGCCGCCCGAGGAGGGCAGGCCGGGCAGCCCCGCGGCGGGAGATGAGGCCCCGGCCGCCCGGGAGCCGGAGGAGCCTGGCGCGCAGGCCGGCCGTGCGGGTAAGCGGCCGCGGGGAAGCGCGGGGCGGGCGGCGGGCGGCGGGGCCGGGCTGCAGCCCCGCCCCCACCTCCGGCCCGCCCCGCCCCCTCCGCGGGTGCAGCCAGCCGCCCCCCGCCGCCCCCCGCCGCCCGGCCCCCGCCGCCGGCGAGCGCTCCGGGAGGGGACCCTGGGGGGGCGCCGCCGGGCCTCGGCACTAACTCTCTGCTCCCTCTTTCTCCGCCCGCCCCGCCTGGCTGTCGCCCCGCCCCCGCCGCCCCGCCGCCCCGCCCCCCCGCTGCAGCCGGTGCCCTCCCGCCGCCGCCGCCGCCCCTCGCACCCCGGGCCGCGGCCGACGCGCGCCCCCTGCTGGAGGGCGCGGGCGCGGCGGGAACCCCGCCTTGGGCCGGCCCGCCCCGCGCGGGGCTGCGGCTGCTGCCGGTCCGCCTGTCCCCGGTGGGCGCGCACTCGCCCCCGGCCCGGGGGGCCCTGCCCTGCCTGGCCAGCCCCGAGCTGGCACTGCTGCTGTCCCCGCTCTTTCCCAGAAGCAGCACCTTCCCCGCCGCGGCCCCCCCGCCCCGCCAGGTGCCCGCCCCCCCGCTGCCTCCGCCGCCGCGCCCGCCGAAGGCCCCCGGCCGGACGAGGAGCCCGCCGCCTCCGCCCAGGCTACGTAAGACGGACCCGGGCCTGCCCGCCCTCCGCCTCCTGCCGCGGGGCTGGGCCCTGGGCCTCGAGGCGCAGGCGTGGAGGGCGCGGGCGGAGGGCGTCTCAGCTAGCGCCGGGCGAGGGGCCTCGGGTCACGCCCCCCCGCGCAACGGGGCCGGGGTGGGGGGCCTGGCGGCTCCGCGCTCGGCGGGGTGGGGGAGTGGCTGGCTCGGGACCCCGTGGGCCCGGCCAGCGCCTCCCAGCCTCCCGATCCCGGGCCGCCCCTCCCGCAGCGTCTCCTCCCACTCCCGGAGGTCGGTCTGCCTGTCCGTCCATTGGCCCAGGCCCCCCACGTGCTCCGCGGGCTGCCCTCCCCCCTTTCCCCCCAGCGTCCGGCCGGCGGGGAGAGCGCAGTCCCGCCCGGGGCCTTCGGGGCGGAGGTGGGCGCGGGAGCGGGTGGCGTGCGTAGGGGGCGCTGCGCCCGGCCCTGCCCCCTGGCGGCCTGTGGGCGACCTGTGCGCCGGCCCGGCGTCCTCGGGTCACCCTCGTAAGCGCCGCCACGTTCTTCCTTCACCCCAGCCCGGAGTTCCTGGTCGTTCGCCGGTGCCCCCGGGGCCCAGCGACGGTGGATGGCAGAAGCCCAGAGTGGGGCCGGCCAGCTGCAGGAGCAGAAGAAAGGTACGACGCCCAGACTGTTGACCCCGGCTGCCGATTCGGCTGCGGCGGGTGTCGGCGCCCGGCGCCCAGGACCTGTGTCTGCGGCGCCCTCGGGTGTGCGCGGGCACCGACCTCCCTGCTCGCCCCTCGCAGGGCTCCTGATCGCCGTCAGCGCCTCGGTGGATAAGATCATCTCGCACTTCGGGGCCGCCCGGAACTTGGTTCAGAAGGTGAGGGTGTCTGGGGGGGGGCGCGGGGGCGAGAGGGGACGCCTGGGACCCTGGGGCCCGCGGCGCCGTTGCAGGGAGACGGACGTGCCTCGCTGTGTCCGCCTCCAGGCGCAGCTGGGGGACAGCCGGCTGAGCCCAGACGTGGGGCACCTGGTGCTGACCACCCTCTGCCCGGCTCTCCACGCCCTGGTGGCCGACGGGCTGAAGCCGTTCCGGAAGGACCTCATCACCGGGCAGCGCCGGAGCAGCCCCTGGAGCGTGGTGGAGGCGTCGGTGAAGCCAGGTGGGGCGGCGGCCGGGGCGGGGGGCGGGCGCGGCGCGCGGGCCTGGGCCTGGCTGATAGCGCGACGTCCCCAGGCTCGGGCACCCGCTCGCTGGGGACCCTGTACAGCCAGGTCAGCCGCCTGGCCCCGCTGAGCAGCAGCCGCAGCCGCTTCCACGCCTTCATCCTCGGCCTCCTCAAGTGAGTGGCCTGTGTCTTCCTGGCGCTCCTCCCAGCCCCGGGGTCCCAGCCCAGGGGCCGGCGCGGGTGGCGCGGGGGGGGGGGGACACAGCAGCCGTTCCCCGGCGTCGCCTCTGTGCGCCTCGTCTCTCATGCCCGCCCCCCATCCTGAACCCCGGTTTCTGTCACCCCCAGCACGAAGCAGTTGGAGCTGTGGTTTTCCAGCCTCCAGGAAGACGCAGGTCAGACCCTGACCGGGGGGGAGGGGCCCCTCTCCTGTCGGTCCCAGGTCCCACTGGCGTCGGAGTGACCTTGGGCCCCTAGTCTCGGCTGTTAGGACTCTTCCGCTTCAGGCTTTCACTGCGCTCCGGCGCCCATAGCAGGAGAGACCCAGATCCTCACCGAAGCCTCCAGAGGCTCGGTTCTCCGGCCCCTCTCGGCCTTCTTCCCCTGCCTCCAGGTCTGGGCTCTCCCAGGCCCCGGGGGGCAGCCTTCTCCCCCCCTCCTTCCTGCCCCAGGGCCCCTCCTTCTGTCGTGCTTCCCCCGAGGCGCCAGGATGCCCCTGTTCCTTCCTGCAAGTCACTGGCCACCGCTTGTTCCCGGGCGGGTCCTGCGAGGGCGGGGCCGCAGGCGGGGGCGGCCTGACGCCCCTGCTCGCCCCCAGGCCTGCTGTCCCTCCTCTACCTGCCCACCGGCTTCTTCTCCTTGGCGCGCGGCGGCTGCCCCGGCCTGTCCACCGAGCTGCTGCTGCTGCTGCAGCCGCTGTCCGTGCTCACCTTCCACCTGGACCTGCTCTTCGAGCACCACCACCACCTGCCCCTGGGCCCGCCCCCCGCCGCCCCCGCGCCCGGCGCGCCCCCCGCCCTGCAGCACACGGTGCGCGCCGTCCTGCACTGGGGCGGGCGGCTGGCCCAGAGCCTTCGAGGCGCTTCCGGGGAGACGCCTCCGGGCCCTTCGGCTCCCGCAAACCCCCCCGCACCTGGCGGCTGGTGGGAGCAGCTGACCCAGGCCTCCCGGGTCTACGCGTCCAGGGGCGGCGAGGGCTTCCCTCTCCCGCGGTGGAGGTCCTGGCGACCCGCCGCCGCGGCCGAAGGCGCACAGGACGGACCCCCGCCCGCGGAGGCGGCGGCCCCGGGCAGAGGCGTGTGGCTGGGGAGACTGTTCGGGGTGCCTGGCGGACTCTCGGACGCCGACGGTGGAAGCTTGAAGTCCAGGTAAGGGGTAGCCCGCCCCCTCCAGGCCCTTCCCGGACCTGCGGCCCCTTCCCAGAGGCTCCCCCACCCCCACCCCCACCCCTGGTTGAAACTGTAGAGACCGTTTGGGCTGAGCGGCGGCAGGTGCCCCTCAGGGCCAGCCGCGCTTACAAACACCGGAAAGCGCGCTCAGTCCTGCTCGGGGTTTGGCCGTGGTGGCCTCCGGGGGTCCCCTGCGCCCGCTGCTCCCAGACGCCCCTGCCTTCCCGTTTCCGGCGTCCTCACCTGCGCGGGCGCCTCCCTCATCTGCCTGAAGGTGCCCCCGGCAGTGACGCGCCCCCCACCTCGAGGGTCAGGGCCTCCGCCTCATTCCTCGTCCCAAAGCCAGGGTTCTTGGGTTCTTCTCCTGGACGGCCGGTGACCCCCGTGTCCTTCCGTCCAGGAGGCCGTCCAGCTGGCTGCCGCCCACAGTGAGTGTGTTGGCCCTGGTGAAGCGGCCGCCGCCCGCCGACACTCTGTCTTCTCCCGAGGAGCTTGAGGCCCCAGCCCCAAGCGCGGCGCCGTCCCGCAGGTCAGGGGGGCGTCCCGCAGGTCGGGGGCGGGGTGCGTGTCTGCATGCAGAGGGGTAGGGGGCGGGCCGGCTGTTGCCCGGGTGCCGCCGCCGCCGTCGTCTCTGAGCCCGGTTCTCCCCGTGGGAGGCGGTGACTGGTATGTCGTGATGTCCTCGGGAAGCCTAAAGCTAAGGGGGTGAGGGCAGGCAGTGCCCGGGGGGGGGGGGGTGCCCGCCGTGTCCCCGCGATCGCGCCTCGCAGCCCCCCGAGGGGCTGTGCTTCCCTGAGGGGCCCTCGGGTTCAGACCTGCTTCTATTTCCCAGTCTGGCCTCAGTTGGGTTCTCTCAGTCCATCGAATTAGGTTTCTTTTCTTTTCTTTTCTTTTTTTTTTTTTTAAGCTTATTTACTTATTTTGAGAGAGAGGGAGGGAGAGAATCCCAAGCAGGCTCTGCCCTCAGCACAGAGCCAGACGTGGGGCTTGAACTCATGAACCGAGACATGACTTGAGCTGAAACCCAGAGTCAGACGCTTACCCCGCTGGGCCGCCAGGCGCCCCTGAATTAGGTTTCGTGGCTTTTCCTTGACTCCACGGAAGTTTTCAAGTGCTTCCTACGAGCTGGGTGTTGTGCCACCGGAGGGAACGTGAGGGCGCCCACGGCGGCCCGGGCCCAGGGGGGACCCCGGTGTGGGAACACAGCGGTTCCACGGGGAGGGAAGGACCCAGTCCTTCGGGGGCAGGTCTGGGGTCTGGGGGGGGCGGGGGAGTGTGTGTCCCAGGTGCGGCAGGTGCGGAGGGGTCGGCCGCAAGGAGATGGGGCCTCGGCGGGTGGAAGGAACCCGGACTTGCTCCTGGAGGCCTTGGGAGGGAGCGAGCGAAGGGTCTGCAGCCTGGGGAGGGGGAGGGGGGAGGGGGAGGGGGCGCCCAGGAGGAGGGCGGAGTGGAGGAGGTCCAGGCGCCCAACAAGTTTTGGGGGGAGGCGATTAGATGTGGGGGCCAGGCCGTGGCGCATTCGGGCAGGAGCTCCACCCCCACCCCCGGGGTCGCGGGAGCGGAAGGGGGTGTGTTTGCCCCCGAGGGGGCCCAGGAGGAGGGACCGGCGGGGGCGGGGACCGGCGGGCGGGCCCTGGCCGCCCCGGCCCCTCAGCGGCGCGTCCCTCGGCTCCCGCAGGGCGGTGCGCGCGCTCTGCGACCACACGGCGGCGGCGCCCGGCCAGCTGAGCTTCCGGCGCGGGGAGGTGCTGCGCGTCCTGGGCACCGTGGACGAGGACTGGCTGCGCTGCGGGCGCGATGGCGCCGAGGGGCTGGTGCCCGTGGGGTACACGTCGCTGGTCCTCTAGGCCGAGGGCCTCTCCGGCCGCGCCCCCCCCGCCCCCCCGGAACAGCGACCTGGGCGGCGCGACGGCGCAGAAGCATCGGCCTGTCTGCACCACCTGCCCCCCCCCCGCCCCGCGTCCGTCTCTGCTGATGTGACAGCCGCTCCCCCCGCCCCGACCGCGGCCGCGAGGTGAAAACCGCTCCTCTTCCCACCGCGAAAGGAATCGCCCTCCGTCTGCCGCCTCTTCCCCCTCAAGGAGCCGCCCCTGCCCCCAGCGCACCAACGCCCCCGCCCCCCCCAAGGGCCGGGACCGCCCCCCCCGCCCCCCCGGAAGGGCCCGGCCTCCTTCCCGCGCATGGACTCCTCGCGGCGCCCACGTTGCTTGTATTTATTCTGTGCCCCGGGCGCCCCTGCCGGGTGGGCCCGCGGTGCCCCGCCCCCCGCCCTCCTCCGTCCCAATAAAGTGTGGGCGCTGAACCCGTGTGTGTCACTGGCTGCGGACGGGGCGGCGGGTCGGGCGGGGCCCCTGCGGCCCTGGGTCCCCCGCTGCTCGGGGCGGCAGGGGGGGCGGCCGACGGATGGTGCACGACGTCCCGGGCGCCCGTCCATCCGTGGAGCCCGAGGGGCCCGGGCCGCGGGGCCACACTCCCCGGTAACCGCCCACGGAGAGGCGTCCCCAGGCGGTTAGGGACAGGACACTTAGGGGAAGCCGAACCAGGAGGGGAAAAAACGCCGACGTTTCCTTCGGGAACCGGGGTCAAGGGGATGACAGGCTGGCGACCTGTCACCTCGCGACCCGTCACCTCGCCCTTCGGCCGTTTCCTGACCTCGAGCCCCGAGTTCCCGCCCGGCTCTCCTTGCGCATCAGCTCCTTGGTCTAGTTTTGTTCTGTGCTTGGCTCCCCTCCCGAGTTTAGACCCGAGCTTGCATCTCCGGTGTGTCCTGCGTGGCGGCGCTGCTGGGACTGGGCGGCTGCGGCCCCGGGGGGCGCTCGTTCGCGGCGCCTCCAACCCCGTTCTCCCCCGTGAACTCGTAGCGCGGCACACGTGGAAGGCTGCCCACAGCGAGGCCTGCGCACCGACCCCCGGGGGCCGGAGCATCACTGAGGTCCGGTCACATTCGTAGTCACAGCCTAGTGGGTCTCCGGCCCGTGGGGGCGGTCAGGGTAGCAGACGCCCCCGAAGGGCCGCATGGGAGAGACCCCATGTCGACCCCGACTTCCTATTCGCACGATTACGCATTACCTGCAACACTGTAGTGGACGCCGGCGGCTGAAAGCAATGAAGGACCCGGAGGGGACGAGCTGCCAGCGCGCCGCTCCCGCCTCCGTGAGGACAGGCATCCGGTTGCCTAACAGCGGGGCGGCCGGGGGGGGGCGGCCCGGCTCTTGCAATCATCTGCGTTTGAAAAAGTAATCGTTACAATTCCAGCACAGGTAACACCTCTGCTCAGTCAGCGCCGATTCCGGGCGGCCTCAGTGCTCATCGCGGTAAGGGGGCTCTTCACCCCCTCCCCCATCTCTCCCCCACACCCCCTCCCTTCTGGTGGCCGCCAGGGTGTCCTCTGTGATTCAGAGTCTGTTCTGGGCTTTGTCTTTTTCTCCTTCTTTTTTAAATTCCACATAGGAGCGAAACCATATGGTATTTATCTTTCTCTGGCTTATTTCGCTTAGCGTAATACCCTCTAGATCCATCCATGTTGCTGCAGATGACAAGAGTTCATTCTTTTTTGTGGCTGAGTAATATTCCATTGTGTGTGTATACGACTTCTTCGGTATCCATTCAGTCTGTCGGGGGACACTTGGGCTCCTTTCCTAAAACGGCTACTGGAAGTAATGCAAGAAACATCGGGGTGGGGGTGCCTGGCCGGCTGGGGCAGGAACGTGACTCCCTCGGGGCTGTGGGTTTGGACATAGAGATCACTCGAAAGAAATCTTAAACCCCAAGCCATAGGGGTGCATGTATCTTTTTGAATAAGTGTGTTTATATTCTTTGGGTAAATACTGAGTACTGGAATTACTGGATCATGTGGCAGTTCTATTTTTATTTATTTATTTTTGGGAGAGTGAGTGGGGGAGGGGCAGAGAGAGAGAGAGAAAGAGAGACACAGACTCGAAGCAGTTTCCACAAGGTTAAAATAGTGTAGAGCCCGACGCGGGGCTCAAACTCACAAACCAGGAGATCATGCCCTGAGCTGAAGTCACTTAACGCCCGCGGCCCCAGGGGCCGGCTGTCCTGCACAGCCGCTGCAGTTTGCATCCCTACCTTTTTCTCCACAGCGGTTTCTTGTGTTTTATTTAGCCATCCTGACAGGTGTGAAGTGATACCTCATTGTGATTTTGATTTGCATTTTCCTGGTGATGTGTGACGTTGAGCTTTGTCTTTTTTTTTCCTTAATGTTTATTTCTGAGAGAGAGAGAGACAGCGTGAGCAGGGGAAGGTCAGAGAGAGAGGGAGACACAGAATCGGAAACAGGCCCCAGGCTCTGAGCTGTCAGCACAGAGCCCGACGCGGGGCTCGAACCCACGAACCATGAGATCGTGACCTGAGCCGAAGTCGGACGCTCAGCTGACTGAGCCACCCAAGCATCCCTTAGTGTTTTTTGTTTTGTTTTGTTTTGTTTTTTAAGATTTTATTTTTTAATAATTTATTTTTAATGTTTATGAGAGTGAGCGAGTACAAGTGGGGGAGGGGCAGAGAGAGGGGGACAGAGGGTCCGTAGCAGGCTCCACACTGTCCTCACAGAGCTAGACCTGGTGCTCGAACCCACAAACTGAGATCGTGACAGGAGCTCAAGTCGAACGGTCAACTGACAGCCACCCACGTGCCCCTGAAGATTTTAAGTGATCTCTACACCTTATGTGGGGCTTGGACTTAGAACCCCAAGATCGAGAGTCACATGCTCTCCCGATGGGGCCAGCCAGGAGCCCCGGTTTTGCGGTTTCCTTTGATACGCAGCTTTTTATTTTGATGTAGTCTCAGTAGTTTATTTTTGCTTTTGTTTCCCTTGCCTCGGGAGACATTGCTATGGCCAAGGTCATACTGCCTGTGCTCTTTTCAAGGATTTTTATGGTTTCAGGTCTCACATTTAGGTCCTTAATCCGTTTTGAGTTTACTTTTGTGTGCAGTGGAAGACAGTGGTCTAGTTTCATTCTTTTGCACGTGGCTATCCAGTTTTCCCATCTTAAAGAGGCTGTCTTTTTCCTTTTTAACTTAGAGAGAGGCAGAGGGAGAGCACGAGCAAGGAAGGGGCAGAGAGAGAGAGAAAATCCCAAGCAGGCTCCTCTCAGTCAGTACAGAACCTGATGCGGGGCTCAAACTCACAGCGAAATCATGACCTGAGTGGCAATCAGAGTTGGATGCTTAACCGACTGGGCCACCCAGGTGCCCCAAGGCTGTCTTTTTTCCATTATATATTCTTGCCTCTTTTGTCGAAGATACATTGATCATTTAATGGTAGGTTTATTTTTGGGCTCTGTTCCGTTGGTCTGTGTTTTGGCGCAGGCGCCATATTGTTGTACGACAGCGTTAGAGCTTGTCGTGAAGTCAGGAATTGTGACACCTCCAGTTTTTCTTTTTCAAGGTTGCTTTGGCTCTTCAGAATCTTTTGTGGTTCCAGACACATGTTAGGATTATTTTAGTTTTGTGGAAAATGCTGGCGGTATTTTGGTAGGGATTGTTTTATATCCATATATTGCTTTGAGTAGTATAGACATTTTAACAGTATTTATTCTTCCTGTGCGTGAGCATGCAGCGTCTTTCTATTTGTGTTGTCGACAGTTTCTTTCATCAGCGTTTTACAGTTTTCAAAGCACAAGTCTTTCACCTCCTTGGTTAAGTTTATTACTTTTTTTTTTTTTTTTGGTGGAATTGTAGATTGGATTTTTTTGGGGTGGGATTATTTTCTTAATTTCTCTTTCTGTTGCTTCATTAGATTTCTGCACATTGATTTTCTTTCCGGAAACCTTACCAAAATCATTGATCAGTTCTAGTGGTTTTTTTGGCGGTCTTGCAGGCTTTCTGTATATAGTATAACGTCATCTGCAAGTAGCATGTGCTACTCTTACCAGCTTGGACGCCTTTCTTGCTTTTTTCCGTCTGACCGCGGTGGCCGGGACTTCCAGTCCTGTGTTGAATGAAAGTGCTCGAGAGTGGACGTTCTTGTCCCGTCCCTGACCGTAGGGGAAAGGCTCTCACTTTTTCCACCGTCAAGTATGATGTCAACTGTGGGTTTTTCTCATCCGGCCTGTATTATGTTGCGGTATGTTCCCTCCAGACCTACTTTGTGCAGGGCTTCTATCACGAATGGATGTCGTACTTTGTCAAACGCTTTTTCTGCATCTATGGAAATTAATATGCGGTCCTTATAATTTCTTTTATTGATGTACTGGGTCATGTTGACCGATTTGCAAACACTGAGCCGCCCTTGCATCCTGGAAGCGGCCAGCGGCCTTGATGCTTCTGAGCCACCCCTGCGGCTGAACGTGGCGCCTCGGCGGTGGCCGGCGTCTGGGACCACGTTTTGTCTGGTGTTTCCGTTGTTGGCAGGAGTGGACTTCTCTTCCTCAGAAGGGTCATGCTTGGCTGTTTTGGACACTCTTCTATTTGGAGCTGAAGACTGTGGGCTTCTGAGCCCAGCACTGGTTGCCAGGTGGTCTCTGGCAAGCTGCCGAGACTCCATCGCAGTCACGTCTACAGAACGGGAGCAGGGACCACAGGGGTCCGCCACCAGGGTCGTCTGTCTAACTGGCTGGAAGCTGCCGGGCAGATTATCGTCCTTAACCTCTCTGCCGCCTCATTTTCCCTCCTCTGTAACGCTGGGTTTTGGTACCGACCTAGAAGGGCTGCCGTGAAGGTTAATAAATGGATACGTGTAAACTGCTCCTGATGGAAATGGACCAGCACAGTGGCCTGAAGTTCTCGTTGCCAACCTCGGCGGCTGTGAGCGAATATCGAACGAGGTGATGCGTGTACGTGAGCGGAGGCGAGAAGGGCAGGCGATTAGTCCCTTGCCTGGTCAGGCTGGGCTCCGACCGACCAGATCCCAACGCCGAGGAAATGGCTTTACCCGGTAGTCCGGACTGGTGAGGGCGCTCCTGGGGGCCCGGACGCTGTGGTTTCAGAAAGATCTCTTTGGACCCAGGGTGGAGAAGATCCCGGAAGAGAGAGGAGGATAGGAAAGAGGGAAAAAAACAGCACGCTCACCACTCTGTTGTTAGGAAAAGGTTTTTCCATTTAATACTAGACTTTCAAGGATTGAGATGCAAGCTTTTTATGCAATTACATCCAATGTTAAAATTGGTAATACATAATTTACAAAGATTAACATCAAAACAATCATCTATTTAGATATGCTTTCGTAAAAAGGAAATATATTAGCAGCATTTATATTTTCCGCAATCACACGGCCTACAGACATGCAGACTAACTCTGGATCTACTCGCAGTGATGTAGTGCGTTGCCCCGCATTTCAAACACCAAACCCGCCTGGCAGCTACAGGTGCTGTTTATTTCATTATAAAATAACCGAGAAATAAAAAAAGGCATTAATTTCTACACCAGTAAGAAAAAACAAGTTTTTGCACTTACCTAACATTTGATTGTCTAAAAAACAGTTCAGTTTTTAGTCTTTCAACAAAAGAAAGATAAAATGACAGAGCGTAGTGTCTTTTGCTTCTGTTCTCACATTTTACAAAGTTTTTTTCTTTTTTCGTCTTTTTTAAAATTTTAGTGTTTAACACTATTCGAGGAAATATTGAATTTTAATCTCTTTCTTGTCATTTTCCTGCTTCTGACTAAAAGGAGACCCCCCCCAAAGTGCCCCTGTGCCCCACCCCCTCCCGCCCAGCTCCCTGCAACGAAAACCGACTAGAGGAACCGGTGAGATGGGCTCGGGCGCGCGGTCCCGGCTCCTCACGAGAGCGCCTCCCGCCCAGGCCGCGCCCTAAGGTTCAGTGCTTCTCTACAGTAAGAAAATACTCCAAACTATTTTCTCAATTCTCTTTTTTCTTTAATAAAATATTTATTCTGCTTTTTTCTCTGCTCGAGGGGATCTTTGGCTTCCCCTGTCTCTCTCTTTTTTTTTTTTTTTTTTTGTTTTTTCCTCAAGATTGACACAGAAAGGAGAAAAAGGAAAAAAAGACCGAGCGGAATGGAAGGTGTCCATGTTTCCACCTGAACAGGCCGCGCGCCGCCGGGGAAGCGCAGCGAGGACGCCGGGCCGGGCGGGCTGACGCTGTATTGCTTCCTAGTCACGCGGCAGGTATATACATACGTACATACATACATACATATATATGTACACACACAACTTGGCACGTTTAAAAACCATCTTTTCTCTTATAAGAACATCTAAAACGTATATGCATATGTATGTCTGAGAAGACAAAGCAAAGCTTTTTAAATTTCATTTTTAAAGAGACAGTATCGTCTGGGAAGTTGTGGCTGAGGACGGGAAGGAGGGAGGCGCCGGGCCCCGGCGCCCCCCCCCCCCCCCCGTGCTGTCATCGTGAGGGTGGAGGACCCAGGCGGCGGGCGGGGAGCACTGTCTCTGAGGGGTGGACACTGAAAACCGTACACTGAAGAGAACAGGAGTAGTGTTTCCGGTCGGTGATGCACACTCACAACGCACACTCTGCCAGGCGAACGCGGGTCCACAGTCCGTGTAGTGACTCTGGGGGGTGGCTTAGGGTCCACGTGTACGAGGTTGTACGAGGCCATTCGGAGACGGGCGGCCCTTCGCGGCACAGCACGAGGGCCGCGCCGAGCAGCACAGGCGCGGTGCGGGCGGGGCCTGGCCTTCTCGTTAGAGAAACAGAGGCTGGGCAGGTTATGAAGGTTAAAACAAAAATTACAATGAGTTCTGTGCCCTGCTGACCCCACGGGGGCCTTCCCTAGTCCGTGGTTACATTCTGGGGGGGGAGAGGGAGGGAAAAGGGGCGCAGATACAAGTGCTTCGACTTGTCAATTCACGTGTTACTTTGACCTGATTGGACGAGGAGAGAGAAACGTTCCCAGTCAAGGGTCCATCTGGAAAGAGGCCCCAGCGGCTGTTTCTGTCTAGGGTGGCCCCCGGAGCCCCCAGGGAACAGACGCCTGGGGCGGGTGGGGACCCCCTCCTGCCAACCGACGTGAGTTACACCCGGGGACAGGAAGCAGCTTCGCAGCAGTGCTTGTGGGGCCAGAGGATGACACAGAGAGACCCAAGCTGGGGGGGGGGGGGGCGAGCGCTACGAAAGTACCGGGACTCCGGCGGCCCTCAGTGCGCGCCTCCCCACACAAACCCTCAGGGCTAAGAAGGGGAGGGAAACAAGGTGAACGGAACCGCGTACACAGGCGCCGCCTCTTCCCCTGCACCAGCTCCAGGGTTTATTAAGTACCTAATGCCAGCGACACGGCCCCTTCCCGCCCCGTCTGCACTGGGAACAAGAGGCAGGGCTGTTAGCCCTGCTGATGGCAGATGCTCGGCCTTCTCCTCTGAGGCTCACTTCCGGAAGCTGCTCTCCGGGATGAACAAAGTGCGTCTTCGGAGTTTCCTGCCGGACCCTTCCTCCAGCAGGTACGTCACGTCGATGGCTGAAAACAGAACCATGCAGGCTCATTGAATCCTTGCCATTCCCACTCCTCCCTCCACATCTGAGCTCCAGGGAGGGCACCGGAGCCCCCCCCCACTCCTTCCTCCACATCTGAGCTCTAGGGAGGGCACCCGACCCCCCCCCCACTCCTTCCTCCACATCTGAGCTCCAGGGAGAGCACCCGACCCCCCCCTCCACATCTGAGCTCCAGGGAGGGCACCCGACCCCCCCCCCACTCCTCCCTCCACATCTGAGCTCCAGGGAGGGCACCGGAGGCCCTCCCCCACTCTTCCCTGGAGCCCAGCAACTCTTCTTCCGGCCTGTGGGTGCCCTGGGCCTTGCTCGGGAGGGAAGTTCTCCAGGAGGACCCTCTCCACACCGGCAGATCCTTTCCTGAACGCGATAGGATGCAGGCCCGCGAAAGGACCGGGATGTTTTCCCAGGATACTTCCCATCCCGGGCAAGTGGTGGTAAGCCGCCTCCTTCCGCACGAACCCCCTCCCCTAAAACCCTAGACGTGAGCTGGGTTCTTCTACCGTTTTTTCCAGGGATCTTTTCCAGGAGGCCGAGCAGGATGTGGTTGAGTCGTTCCCGCTGGCCGAGCCGGCGCTCCTCAGGGGTGCCGGCGGGCGGGGGCCCCAGACTGCCCTCCTCCGCCTTCGCTCGGTCGCCCGCGGCGGCGGCGGCCCCCCCGCGCTCTGGCTCCTCGGGGCCCGGCCCGGCCTCGGCGGCCCGCTCCTGGCTGGCCAGAACCTCCTCGATCAAGGGCAGGGCGTCGTCGTCCTGGCCCAGCTCCTTCAGGGGCGGCTTAGGGCGCTCAGACTTCCAGGAGGACCTGCAGGCGGAGGCGGCATTTAGGCTGAGGCTGAGCAGGACCCCGGGGAGGGAGGAGGCCGGCGGGGCGGCGGGGCACCTCAGGCTGGCTCGAGACCCCAAGTCTCGCTCTCGGGGGTCTTGGCTCTGGCTGTCACCTTCCTGTTACTTGTACAGCTCGCTACCTTCCCCTGAAATCTGTTCCCTGATTATAAAACACAGCGTCGCCCTTCCAGGCGCCCGAGCGGGTAAAGCCGCAGCTGGTTCCGACCGCGCCGCGGGCACGGGGAGGCCCGGCGCCTGTGAGGCCCGCGGTCCGGCTCCAGTAAGACTTGGCACGCAGCCTTCCTCTCGGGGGACACCCCCCGGGCGGCGGGCGGCAGGAGAGGCGCTCCGTCCCCGAGAACACGCTCGTGCACAAGCGGCACGAGTCAGAGCCGCGTGCGCGCGGGGCTCACGGAAACCCTGCGCTTGCAGCCACTGGACAGCGTGCCCTTGACTGAGGTCCCAGGAGCCGGAACACCTCGGGGCAATGAGGAAAGTTTGCAGAAACCTTGAAAAAGCCGACTTTTCTGAATCTAGCGTCTAGAGTCCTAGTCCCGATCTTCTCCTCCTCGACCCCTGCCCCCCGTGGGCCCCCCTCCCTGCCCGGAATCCAGCTCCGTGGCCAGACCATGCGTGCCGTCACCTCGGGGTCACACGACTGCTGGCCCTCCACTGGGCCACCCCGTCAGAGGGTCCCCGTCCCCGGGCGGGGGGAGGGGGAGGCAGGGGACGGTAGTTCTCTTGCTCAAGTCGGTGGCCGCCCCCATCTGGGCTCCTCACCCCCCCCCCCCCCCCCCCCCCCCCCCCCCCCCCCCCCCCCCCCCCCCCCCCCCCCCCCCCCCCCCCCCCCCCCCCCCCCCCCCCCGGGACTCACCGCCCTCCGTTCCTCTTGTAGTTGTCTGGGACGTAATGCGGCTGCAAACAAAGGGAAGTGGTGAGCGTGCTGCGGAGGGCGAAGCCGCGCCAGGCGGCCCGGGGTCAGCTCAGGACAGGGGGGGGGGGGGGGGGGGGGGGGGGGGGGGGGGCCAGGGAAGCAGGAGGAAGACACGGGGCTGAAGCCCTCGCCGGCTGAGGGCCGAGGGGCTGCGTGTCAAAGGTCGCGGTGGTTCCGGGGTCTCGCGAGCCCGCGGTGACCGCATGAGGGTCGGACTCCGGGCCTGTCCGCCCCATCCCGACGTGTGTGCAGGTAAAGCTGGGGCCCCAAAATTAGGCTGGGAGCTGCTGCCCCGCAGGACGGAAGAGGTCGAGAGGGGTCGGGGGAGGGGGGGCCGGGAAATCCTGCTCAGAGGCCTCCAAGGCAAGAGCAGGAGAGGTAGGGGCATAAAACCGCTTTCTGGCCGCACGGTTTCCGACCATTGCGGGGCAGGAAGACGGCCATGGTTCCGGCCAAGCCCGCAGAAAGCAGGGGGACGGTGGGCGACCAAAGCCTCTGTGGGAAGACGAATGGCGCAAAGTAACCGGAGAAGTAGGTTCACGACAATTAAAGAAAAACCCAGGAGAGACGCAGAAGATGAAAATGTTAACCTGGTTATTTTTTGGGCAGTGGGATAGTATAGGGCTTTTTCTTCTTAATGCTGTTTTTTTTTTTTTTTTACGTTTTACTTATTTCTAAGAGAGAGAGAGCATGAGCAGGGGAGGGGCAGAAAGAGAGAGGGAGACACAGAATCTGAAGCAGCTCCAGGCTCTGAGCCGTCAGCACAGAGCCCGCCGCGGGGCTCGAACCCACGAACCGTGAGATGACGACCTGAGCCGAAGTCGGACGCTCAACCGACGGAGCCCCCCAGGCGCCCCTCTTCTTAACGCTTCTATAGCTCTCACACTTGGTACAACGATGATGTCTTACGTTTTAAATGCAAAGATACACGGAAAAAGCACGGATTTATTTTCGCCGAAGTTTTCTCAGAGTTCTTGCTAATTCTACTTGCTTCTCAACCTCACAGATACGAAAGACAGAACAGCAGCTACAAAGGGGGCGCAGAGACGCGAGGACGCGAGGAAGCGGAAAGCCTGGCTGCCCCGCGGAAACCAACGGCCCCGAGACGCGGCCGAGCGCAGGGGCGGGGGCGGAGCGAGGGGGCGGGGCGCGGGCGGGGGGAGACTCACTGAGAAATCTCTCTTGGGAGTGAGCTTCTTGGGGAAGTGGTCGAAGGCGTAGGGCTTGGTGCAGACGGGGTAGCGGTTCCGGTGGATCTTGTAGAACAGGTGCGCCGACTTGTCGAGCCGGTAGTCACAGATGTACACGTCCTGCTCCTTCACGCCCTTGGGCCGCCCTAGGGGGTGCGGGTGTTGCTAGAGGAGCCTCCCGCCTGCCCGCCCCCCCCGAGCTGCCCCACGGCGCGCAGCGCACACCCCGCGGACGGCAGCGGCGCCGCGCAGAGGGGGCAGTGGCCGTCCTGACAGCCAGCTGGCGGCCGCGGGCGGGAGGAGGGCCCCAGACGGCAGCGCGTGCGCAGGCGCGGGAGGCGCGGGAGGCGCGGGAGGGGGGGCAGCGTAAGCAGGCGCCGCAGGGGCGTGGGAGGGACGCAGGGGGCCGTGGGGGCGGCCGCGCGGCGTAGAGGGAGGGGCGCTCCGGGGAGCCGCCGCCGCCGAGGTGAGGGGAGCGGCCAGGCGCCTGCAGGGGCCGCTTCCCGTCTTCCTCACACAGGCTGTGGCGCCGCGGGGCCCCGCTCCTAGCAGACTGGGCGCCTGCCCCAGGCACACGTGAGCAGGGGTGGCGCTGGGATTTGAAAACGGGCCGCGTGACTCCACAGCCTCCACTGTTGGCCTCGGAGCTTATAAAAGTGTCGTGCTTTTCTGGTTGGTTGGTTTAATGTCCAGAGTTGCTGATGGCCTTGGGGACTCTGGGATGGGCGGGTGAAAGAAATCCCTTCCGACAGTACTAAGGGGATGCTGGGCACACAGTGTTATCAGTGTTAACTAAATAACTAAATAATCGGGGCGCCTGGTGGCTCAGTCCGTTGAGCGTCCAACTTCGGCTCAGGTCATGATCTCGCGGTTCGTGGGCTCGAGCCCCGCGTCGGGCTCTGTGCTGACTGCCAGCTCAGAGCCTGGAGCCTGTTTCAGTCTGTGACTCCCTCTCTCTCTGACCCTCCCCTGCTCACGCTGTCTCTCTCTCTCTCTCTCTCTCTCAGAAATAAATAATACATTAAAAAAAAAAAAACTAAATAAAAAAAAGTGGAGGGAGGAATGAACAGTTACCGAGCACCAAGCACCAGGTAAGAGGAAGAAACGCTGTGACGTTCAGCTCCCTGCAGCTTCCCAGCCGGCCTGGGCACCCTTCATCCCACGAGACAAGGGGAATGAAGTGGGGACAGAAGTCATTTCTGGGCAGCCCGGGTTGCTCACCTTTGCAGTAAGTGTAGAGGTCCAGCACACAGCAGGTCCCCACCACGGCCTCCAGCGGGATGATCTCGTACAGCGGCACCCGGAACAGCTCGTTGTGGTAGAAGCGGCGGGAGGGGGAGTGGTGGGTCTCGTGGGGCCGGAAGTAGTGGTGGCCGAAGGCGAACCGCTCCTCCCTAGGGAAGAGAGAGGCTCGGGGTCAAATGATGGCGAGACCCTGGTGAGTATTCAGCTCTTTGCTGGAAGGAGAGAGAGGGGACCTCAACACCTACTTTTCATTTTTCCACAGCTTCTCGATGCGGAAGATGTCAAGTTTGTCTCGGTTAATGTGTGACAGCAGCCGGTAGGACTGGCGGACCGGGTGGCCGTCAGGGGTGCGCCGGCTGTCCCGCATCAGGTACACGCAGTCGCCTGGAAGGCACAGGGGACGTTAGGCGAGGCCCGCATGAGCTCTGGGGGGTGTCCACTGGTGCCGCCCAGGGTCTACGCAGAAGGAGCGGCATCTAAACGGACGGGAACGCAGCGCAGAGCCGGCAGCCTCGCGGGGGGGGGGGGGGGGGGGGGGGGGGGGGGACCAGTGGGAGGCCTCCAGGCTCTTGGATCCTGTATGTTTCCCTCGAGTCCCGAGACCGGCTCTGTGGCAGCCCTGCGTCTCCAAGCTCATGTGCTTTGGTGGAAGGAAGTGTAAGAAGCGAGGGGCTAAAGGAAGTAAGACCTTTGAAACAACACGGTTTAAACTGCACAGGACGGACTTAGACGCAGACTTTGTTTTGCTAAATACGGTGCAGGACGCACACGTGCCCTAAAACCTTCCTTGTGATCTTCTTAACGTTTTGTTCCTCTCACTTACTTTACTGTAAGTGTCAAGTATATAAATACGTGTAACATACAAAATATATGTTAATGGGGGCTGTGATCAGGAAGGAAGGCTCTGGTCAACAGAAGGCGATTAGTAAAGTTTCTGGGGAGTCAAAAATTAAACGCGGATTTTTTATGGGTGCCTGGGTAGCTCAGTCATTTAAGTGTCTGACTCCTGATATTGGCTCAGGTCATGGTCCCAGGGTTCATGGGTTTGAGCCCCAAGCTGGGGTCTGTGCTGGTGTGGAGTACGCTTGGGATTCTCTGTCCCCCTTTCTCTGCTCCTCCCCAGCTTGTGCTCTCTCTCAAAATAAATAAAATAACTTAAACCCCAAAGGGTTATACATGGATTTTTGACTGTCTGGGGCAGGGGGAGGCTGGTGCCCCTGAAGCTGCTGTGTTCCAGGGCCGGCTGTATTCCGTGGCTAGCAGAGGTCACGTGGGGACTATGAGGCCGGCGGCAGCCAGTCCCGCCACGCGGAAAGGCAGGGCTCGCGCATACGCACCTTGACGGAGCAACAGGTCGTCTCGGAGCAAACAGATGAAGTAGACACAGCCGGGCTGGGCGTAGTGGGGCCGAGGGATCATGGGGACCTCCTGGTGAGGACGGAAAGCCGACGGGTCAGGGCTGCAACTGCTCCGTCCCGCCTACTGATCTCTATTCTGGAGGAAAAGGACTCTAACCTAGAATTCCCAACCGACGTAAGACTTCCTGTTTAGTCCCTTCCACACAACACAGGTGTAGGCGGAGATGAAGGCCCTGGAGATGAACTGGGAAAGTGGAGGCAGAGACCAAAACGGACAGGCCGTGCGTCCGCAGCTGACCCCACAGAGCACGCGGCTTGTGCGGCTGCTCTCCGCCCTGCGGGACCGGGACGGCCAGTGAGGGGACACGCGGACCGTCAGTGGCGCAGGGAGGCGGCAGGCAGTGAGAGCCCACGGGCCGGGGGCCCCGATTCCGCACCGCGTCCCTGGCATTCGAGTGGAAGTGCCCAGTCTAAGCGACAAGGCTGGTGTGAAGACACCCAGCCTGCGAGGCCTCGCAGAGGAGCCGGCCCAGGACGGCGCCCGCGCACACGGCAGCACCGACACCCGCCTGCTGACGCGGGTCAGTCAGTCCACCCGCCGCCTGCCCGGCAAGTGCACCTAACGCTGACCCTTGTGGACTTGCAGTCAATGCTCTTTCCACGTAAACACTACTTAACCGAAGGGGTATTTAGAGCACTGAGTTCTGGAGCTCACAAGTACTTCTTCCACGGAGAGTGGACAGTGTTTGCAGAGCACCATTCCTTCCACGGGCTTCTGAGTGTTTTATTTCCCCTCTGACCACACGCTTGAGAAAGGGAAGGGCGAACTGTGGCCCACAGTGTAAAGTCAAAGAACCTGAGGCCCAGAGAGGTGGGTTATCAAAGGAAATCCGGTGCGTCGGGAGCAAGGCAGGGGGAGGCCCGGAGGGCAGCTTACCCTGTCCACAGGCCGCGGGTCACACTGCTCACAGAGGTAGTGCTCCACGTCCGAGTTCACCCCCATGCAGTCACAGTGCTGCCACACCTGCGGGGACAGAGTGCGGCGGGGGGGCTCACTGGGGGGGCAGGGGCAGAGAGTCACAGGACGGAAGAGTGGGGCGAGGGGAGTCAAACAGGACCTAAGGGATGAGAATGTGCGTGAACACACGCTGGTCCCGGACACGCACACCCGGGCAAGTACAGGCGGGGTGGCCGGAGGACGGGGGACGACGGTTATGGAAGCAAACTGCTTACTGAGTAACACACACCCGTGACCCGGCTGCTGCGGAGGCCTCAGGCACACGTCTCTTTTTCTTTCTTAGTTTTTATTTATTTTTGAGAGAGTGAGAAAGAAGGGCAGAGAGAGAGAGAGAGAGAGAGAGAGACAGACAGACAGACAGAGAGAAGGAGAGAGAATTCCTAGCAGGCTCCACACTGTCAGCATAGAGCCCGGCGCGGGGCTCGAACCCATGAAGCGTGAGATCATGACCTGAGCTGAAGTCCAGGGTCAGGGGCTCAGCGGACCGGGCCCCAGGTGCCCGCAGCGTCTCTGTGACGCTGCCTGATCCCGGCCTCCCGGGTCACTCGTGGCCCCTTCCACCCCGTGAGGTGGCGAGTTCGGAGCCGCCTTCATCCGGAGCTCCGCTCGGTGCGCTGGCCCCGAGGTCCGTCGCCTGGGTCTGGCCTCCCCGGGGCGTGCAGGGGAGGAGAGGCAGGGAAGCGGGAAGGAAGACGGCGGGAGAAGGGCGGCCGGGGCTCACCATGCACTTGTCGCACTGGATCATGAGGCCCTCGTCCTTGTGCAGGCCGCACACGCAGCGGATGACGTCGTCGTCCTTCTCGTGCACGTTCTCCTTCTCGGACACGGACGCCTCGCTGCCGTCCGCCTCGCTCGCCGTCTCCCCCACGATCTCGTCGATCTGCGCCGCCGCCTCGTGCCGGGCGTTGTAGTAGGCCTTCCGCAGGCGGCACACGCCCCGCCCGACGGGGGATTTCCGCCCGTAGTACTTCTGAGGAAAGCAGGGGAGGGAAGAGGCGTGCGCTCTCGTCAGCAGGGCCCGAACGTGGTCCGGAGAGGGGCGCCCGGCCCGTCGGTGCAGCCGCGAGTCCTCACCGCAGGGTCGTGGGCCGGGGCCCCACGGGGGGCGCCGAGCTCACTCGAGACCAAGCTGCGGAGGCAGCAGGGGCCCCGGCTCCCACTCCGGTCGGTACCATCCAGCGTCCACGAACATGGACGAAAATCAGAATCTCCACGACGGTTCCCACTGCTGAGTCCCTCGGCCACAGGCCTCACTGCCCGCCAGACGGCAGACACGGTGACCGGGGAGCGCGAGCACCGTGTGCGGGCAGCGGGCAGGGCCCGCCCTCTGTCCTGCAGCCGCCGGGGCCGCGGCCATGAGCTGTGTGTGCGCAGCAGCCGGGGTTTGGGAGGAAGCGTGTTGTGATTCAAGACTGATCTACTTCTTCCCCCTACCTGTCTGTTTTTCTCTCATTTCTGTCTTCCACCTCAATTCTTCCCCTATGTCGTAGCCCCTTTCCAAGGTATTTTAAAATCACTGAGAAACTGCCTCTTCCCTACATGCCCTACAACACCCCATCGACTCCTCAAAACCAGTTCGAGGACACCTTCTCTTCAGTGAGCATCAGCTATCCTACAACCCATTGGCCTAACGCCCCTCAGTTGTGTCCGTAAGATTTAAGTCTATTTATTGTACATATTTCTGTGTATTTCACATGTACTTAGTGTCTTGAAGAAAGAAACTATAGATGACTGAAGTGTGCTACGGTAATATGTATTATGTGATACAAAGGTTCAATACTAAATTCGGCTTTTACAAAAATTTCCTCTTTGGGAGTATAACGTAACATTCCATTCTGGTCGCATCAACGTCGCTACCATACAAGACTCTACGACACAGAGGACACTGTAACCCTTACCCCGAGGGCACTCAAAAAAAAGGTTGCCTTTCAGGGTGCCCGGGTGGCTCAGTCGGCTGGGCGTCCGACTCTGATTTTGACTCAGGTCGCGATCCTGGGGTTGTGGGATCGAGCCCCACAGTGGGCTCCATGCTGACAAGCCTGTATGGCATTCTCTCTCTCTCAAAAAAAATATTGTTGTGTTTTGTAGCCAGAAATATAAAATTTGACAGAAGAGGGTAAAAATCTTAAACCTCTAGAACAGTTCTCTTCAAAACCGTAAGTGCACGTCTGAAGGCGGGAAAGTACCTCAGCGTTGCGGAAGACCTTGAGCATGTCAGCGTCAAAGGCCTCCACGGTCTTGTAGTGGCCGGTGAGGATGCGCCGCTCCACGGTGGCCAGGTCCAGGGGGTCGGAGATCTTCTCGTAATAGTCGGCATTCCTGTGGCACAAAGCCGGGCGTCAGTCCACACGCTCAGCACTTGTCTGACACTCAGATGATCCCCAAATTTGTGAACTTACTTTTTCTTCGGGGGGAGGTTCAAAAGGGGGGCTGCCAGGGCTTGTCGGGAAGAATCTGCAAGGGAAGGCAAGGTTTCAGGGCCAGGTGACACACGAGGGCAGGTACTAACTCCCACTGAAAACGCAGAAGCCCCACAATTAAGTCAGGGGAAAAAAAAACCTCTGCTTTTTGAGGGCAGCCATGAAATGTACAGGGACTTTTCGGGAACGTGGGTACCGAGGCAGGGACGGTTCCCTCAGGATTACCTGGAACGTGACAGAGGCAGATGTACCTGAAATGCCACCTCTGTTAGCTGGTAAGGAGAACTTTCTATGCAGAGTGAAGAGGCGGGAATGATCACAGCAGAGCCAGGCGGCTGAGGACACCCCTGCTCACTACTCACCGAGGCAAAGAACATCTTCCCCAAAGTATTCCCTGGTTCTTGCCAGCGCCCACAATTAGCATCACTGCTGGTGTAGACGCACTTACATTCCAGACAATGAATAACTTAGTGTAAACATTTTCTGGACTCAGTTTCCTTACAACATGGTTACTCTGTATCATGAAAACAGAATTCAGCCTGTGGGGCTGCTACCTACCTTACCTACTTTCTTTTTTAGGATTCCACGTTGTTACTGAAGAACAGCTAGCACAGAATGCGGCACTGGTCCCAGGCATACAACACAGTGACCTGAGGACCCGAGACGCTCCTGGCTGCCCACCGCACGCCGCCACACGACGCTGTTACAGGCCTAAGGGCTACACTCCCTGCACTGTAGTCTTCATCTCCCGGACATGCTATTTCATGTGCCTCTTAATCCCCTTTATCTGTTGCACTCAAGAGGTCTTGAAAGAGGAAAGGCGTGGTAAAAAGTGTTTGCATGAGAATGCTTTTAAAAGTAATTTTCTTGCAACTTTATGTCCTTTTCCTTAATGTAGGGGCTAGGGCCTGTGAACTCCCCAAATTACATGCAAAGTTATACGTTTTTCTGGGGAAAGAGTCCACAGCTTAAAGCTGTAGTGTACTAAAGGTCTTTTGGTCACAATCAGAAAATCTTAAGGGGGGGTGCCCAGCGGGCTAAGTTGGTGGAGCTGCAACTCTCGATCACAGGGCTGTGAGTTCAAGCCTCATGTTGAGTGCAGAGGTAAAAAAAAAAAAGAAAAGTTGAAAAGAAAAAGTTACGAAACACTGAAGTTGTGCGTCCATAGCGCCCTCTCCCTTGAGCGCTGACCCCGCCTCACTCAGGACAGTTACATGCGAGGCAGGGACGGTTCTTCCCGTCCCCTGGCTGGCGTGACTTCTGGACGTAGCGTGGAGCCGTGGGAGGGTCCAGTGAACCCCAGGGGCCGGCACAGGCCTGGGTCCCAGTCAGCACGCCCCCAAGACGAAAGCTGGTCCTATGAATTCTATACTCTGAACAGGAAGAGGGAAGTAACCTCCCGAACCGCGAGCCCCGAACGTCCATCGTTCCTGAACTTGGGTGTCTCGGGGGAGGGTAAGTGGCAGGATTTCTACAGGAAGAGGAGGGGAAAGCCTTCGGGTGGACGCGGTCACCTTTGTAGGAGATGATGCCGTCACAGATCTCCTTGAAGATCTGGGCCAAGCGGGCCGCCCGCGCCACCTCGATGTTCTCCTCAGCTGCTGCCAGCCGCCGCGTTCGGACGGAGCGCGCTGTCTGCAGGGCGGAGAACTGGGTCATGAAGACATCTGCAAGGGTCAAGTGAAAATCAGTTCCCCCACGGATTCTTGCCGTTTGTGCTACTGTCGTTGAAGTGATCAGGTAGATTAGTGATCATGAAGCTGCTCCCCCCCCCCTTTTTTTTTTACAGCTTATTTATTTTTGAGACAGAGAGAGACAGAGCATGAGTGGAGGAGGGGCAGAGAGAGAGAAGGAGACACAGAATCCAAAGCAGCTCCAGGCTCTGAGCTGTCAGCACAGAGCCTGACGCGGGGCTCGAACCCACGAACCGTGAGATCTGACCTGAGCCGAAGTTGGACGCTTAACCAACTGAGCCACCCAGGCGCCCCCCTCCTCCCTTCTTAAAGAAAGCCGGGAAACGTGAGTTAGAGGCCTGACCTCAGTGGCCAGGGGTGCACAGGACGCTGGCTGTCCTGCTTCCTGGCTGCATGGCTGTGGGCGAGCTACTGACGCTCAGTGTGCCAGCTCCCTGACCACATGTAGGAACGGTGGTGGCGCTTCCCTCAGGAGAGAGCTGTGCAGACTGAGGGAGAGAACACTCTGGACGGGTTTAGCTCAGGGCCTGACCCATGAGAAAGACTTAGGAAGTAACTGTTACTGTCAGAGGATCGGAGCCAAGTGGGATGTAAGTTCAGAGAACGGATGCCAATCAAATTACTGAGAGGACTGAAGGCAAATTTCTAAATCTGTCTGGTTCCCACGCACACCATGCCTATGTGTCTGCGTTCTGAGGAACAGAAGGAAAGGCTCCAAAGAGGAGCCTGAGCTTTCGGACACCATTTCTAGCTCAGAAGGATGCTCGGAGAGGCCAGTTCCTCGGTTTTCAGCCTATTCTGGGGGACGGACCTGAACTCAGGGGTGCTGTCAGGTTATCTGCGCAAGAAGCGAGAAGGAATCTCCAGGCCCGTGTGTAGAACGCTCATCTGAACGTGGGGGAAAGTCTTCACGTTGTCCTGCCGTGACGCCCCGAGCGCCGCCGGAAGTTATGCCCCAGGCAGGCGGGGAGACACAGGACCCGCCCCATCACACGCCTGCGAACGCTCGGCCGCGGCGGGGGGCTTGGGGGGCGGGTGGGGGGGTTCTTCCCGGTCTCTGGAGCACAGACCAGCGAGTCGAGCGGCTGAGGTGGGTGGGTGAGTGTGGACTGACGCTCACGTGCTGGGGTCCTAGCTTTTGATGTCTAGACCGAAAGACTCTAGAGAGAGTGGCGGAAGCAACTGCGATGATGGCGTGGAGGCGCCGTCACGACGGACGTGACGGGAAGGACCCGCCCGCGGCCCTCACCTGACTTGATGTTCCCGTCGTCGCGGCACACGCCGGCCCAGCGGGTGCACAGTGCGGCCGAGCGGACGCCCGCACTGCTGGGCTTCGCCTCGTCCTGCTTTTGCCAGATCTTCTCCCAGTTGCGGACCAAGAACACGTGATGCTTCAGCACAAAATTCCTGGGAGGAAGGAAGTTCCTTCATTCATGAATTTAGTCACGATTTATTATGTGTCTATTCTACGTACACCACTGCTAATATAAATGAATAATTATCAGTTAATTCAGCTCGTATACAAATAATTAAATACAGGGAAACAGGGTGCAATTTTGCATCTTGTTTTTTCCCCCATATAAAACATTCATATAGGGGCCCCGGGTGGCTTAGTCGGTTGAGCGTCCAACGTTCACTTAGGTCATGGTCTCGCGGTTCGTGGGTTTGAGCCCCGCGTCGGGGGCTCTGTGCTGACTGCCAGCTCGGAGCCTGGAGCCTGTTTCAGAGTCTGTGTCACCCTCTCTCTGACCCTCCCCTGCTCACGCTGTCTCTCTCTCTCTCCTAGAAATAAAAAAATATTAAAAAAAAAAAGTTCATATATATATGTATACATATATATATGAAAATGTATAAGTTTTTAACGTAGGCTTCATGCCCAGTGCATAGCCCAACACAGGGCTTGAACTCATGACACGGAGATCAAGACCTGAGCTGAGATCAAGAGTTGGACACTTAACTGACAAAACCACCCAGGTGCCCCAAAACATCCCCCTATATTATTTATAAGTATCTGGCAAATACCACTGAAAAGCTGCAAAACTTCTGGCAATGGCAACAGCCTGATCGGAAGGCAGAGATTTACGAAGAAGGTGCACAAACTGTAAACAAAGTCGCCAGAACAGAGCAGGGGCTCAGGGCCAGCAGTTACAGGGTGAGCAGGATGGGCAGAGCACTGCAGGCGTTCACGACAGACACGAGCCGGGCAGGCCACGTTAGGGGCAGGGTCCCCACGCAGACCTCGTGGTTTAGGTGAGTCAGGGGTGCCTGGAAGAGCTTTGTGAACAGATGCCTGGGTTCCACCTCTGAAAATTACGGTTTACCTGCTCTGCGGTGTGGCCTGGGGAACAGGGATTTTTAAAAGCTCCCTGGGCTAACGTGTAGCCACAGCAGAAAACCACTGGACTGGATCATCTCTGTTTTCCTGAGGTTTAAAATTCCCATGACTCCAAGTGATACAGGATGAAAGTGGCTAACATTACAGTGAAGTTATAAGTGAGGATGAACTTCCTAAGATGCTGGAGCGGCCGGTCACGGAGGACACGGAATCTGTCCAGGGGCCACGCGGAGCGTTACTTCTGCCCCCTTACCTGAATGCAGGGAAGAGCAGAGATGACGCGGAAATCCTTTTCACTGCTCTATTAATGTACTGACAAAGCAGGGAACCTTGACCTTTTCTGTGCCACGGGTCCCTTCGGCAGGCTGGCGAAGCCCACGGGACCCTTTTCTGAACAAAGTTTCAAGGTATTTAAAGAGTTTTAAATTGGGGCGCCTGGCTGGCTCAGTCGGTTGGGGGTCCGGCTTTGGCTCTGGTCAGGATCTCACCGCTAGTGGGTTCGAGCCCCCCGTCGGGCTCCGTGCTGCCAGCTCAGAGCCTGGAGCTGCTTCGGAGTCTGTGTCTCCTTCTCTCTCTGCCCCTCCCCTGCTCACACTATCCCCTTCTCAAAAATGAATGTTAAAAAAATGTTTTAAATTAATAAAAAAAATTTTACTTTGTAAAACACAGGATTTACTGAAATTCAGTTTCCAGAATATTAAACCCCCCTGAAATTGTGCTAGACCTCCCGCACAAAAGAAATGATTCCACTCTACAGAGGCTTCGTAGTTGGTTAAACCGACAAGCAAATAGCACAAAGGTAAGAAAACCTCCTCACCGTTCTCGATTAGACATCGGCTTCATCTGTAACTGGGGGGCCAGCCGTGTGGGGGTGCTCATGTTCTCACTGGGCTCCTCGGAGAGGTGGCCTCTCTGGAAAACACGTGAACCAGATGCAGGAAGGAGAGGACTGGTGAGAAATCGCCCCGCAGACGACTAGAAGCACGTTAAGAGGCCGCCCCTCTGCTGTGCCCTCATCTCCCGCGGAACGGCCCCTGCGCACTAGGTCGGGGAGAGCCAGCAGGTCATTACTCACCCTTTTCTTCAGCTTGTGCTTCGACTTCCGCTTCTCCTTCGAGCGCCCAGACTTTCTGTGAGTAGCTGCGGGCTGGCCGCCTCTGCTGCCAGCGAGCCCGTTCACGCGCTGACTCTTGCCCCCGATGATCCCCCGACACTTCTCAAAGCCACACTTGCACAGTTGCTTTGAAAGGAAAGAGAAGAGAACTCTTGGCGGTGGGTTCACTTACAAGTTCAAACAGAAATCCTGAGCCCCTGGGCACCCAACAGTAAGTGTGAACCAGGACATTTTTATACAGGAGAAAATCACTGAGAATAAACTCCATGTGTTTCCATGGAAAAGAGAGCTTACATTTGGGGAAAGTTCACTCGGCAAGTTAAGCACTGACCGAGGACCAAACAGGAAGGGGCAGTCTCTCCCCAGGGTTCTGAGACCAGGGAGGGCCGGCGAGGCGGGCGGCACCACCTCCAGCGCGCTTCTCGGCGGCCGCCCGGCAGTGCTCGCCAAGGCGGTGAGATCGTCCAACCTCCCTCGAGGCGGGCTGGCTGTGCTTACCTGCTTCTCAACATTAAAGGAATGGAAGTTGTAGTCGTAGGTGAGCTCGGTACCAGCCGGCATGTCTTTAAGCGCATACAGTCCGATCCGGTAAACTCCATTGACAGACCTAGAGAAAAGGTCAGGGTTAAAGGCAGAGATCCTTTGTTTTCTCTTTTTATAGTTTGTTTTGAGAGAGACAGACAGCACAAGCAGGGAGAGAGGAAGAGAGAGAGAAGCTGAAGCAGGTCAGCGCAGAGCCTAATGTCGGGGCTTGAACCCACAAAGCTGTGAGATCATGACCTGAACCGAAACCAAGAGTTGGATGCTTAACAGACTGAGCCCCCCAGGTGCCCCCGAAGGTAGAGATTCTTAATACCCTGCTGTTGCTCTAGAAACACTGGTGTGCTGATTTCAAATGTGCCTGTTTCTGTGTCCAATTACTCAGGTTTCCTGGCCAAACTCTTCAGTTTTAGTATTTCCCTCCCATTCTGTCCAGCCTGTGTAACATTCCCAGACTACAGTCCTCAACCAGCCTTCTGGAAAACACGGACGATGTTGTCAGTAGGAATAGGTCTTAACGTTTCCTGCTTGGTATGGTATTCATGGCCTAGGGCTTCTTATTAATGAACTATTTCTTATGGTTAATATGTGAAACTCTTCTAGTTCTTATTCATCTCTAGCGTTCTCACCTCTACGTGAGTTGTTCTTGGTTCTATTTTATGTAACTTACTAATGATCTATCATGTAGTATTCTATCTAGATGCTTTACATAATAAATAATCATACCTATCATTTGAGTGATTGTTAAATTAATTATAGCATTTTGTTGCACTTATTTAATCCTGCCTACAACAGTATTAAAAAGGCACTAATATCAGATAGTATTATAGCCCCCATTTTCTAAATGAGGAAGCTGAGGCACAGAGAGGTTAAGTAACTTATCCAAAGTCACACGGCTAATAACTGAAGGAACAGAATTTATTTTTTAAAAGTTATTTATTGAGGGGCACCTGGGTGGCTCAATCGGTTAAGTGTCCGACTTCAGCTCAGGTCATGATCTCACGGTTCGTGGGTTCGAGCCCTGCGTTGGGCTCTGTGCTGACTGCCAGCTCAGAGCCTGGAGCCTGTTTCAGATGCTCTGTCTCCCTCTCTCTCTGACTTTCCCCTGCTTATGCTGTCTCTCTCTCTGAAATAAATAAAACATTAAACAAAAATTTCAAGTTATTTATTGAGAGAGAGAAATACAAACAGGGGAGGAGCAGGGAGCAGGGAGCCCCAAAAGTTTATTTATTTATATTATTTCTTAAAAATTTTGTTTACTGTTTATCCATTTTTAGGGAAACACAGAATCAGAGGCAGGCTCCAGGCTCTGAGCTGTCAGCACAGAGCCCGACACAGGGTTCAAACTCATAAACCTCAAGATCATGACCTGAGTCAAAGGTGGATGCTTAACCGACTTTTTTTTTTTTTAAAATTTTGACATTCTTTATTGTATTTAGAGAATTTAATTGATACTGTTTTACCAAACACTGACATCATACATCATCTCATTTACGTAAAATAGCTGATTTTTTTTTTTACAGTTTATTGTCTAATTAGTTTCCACATAACACCCAGTGCTCATCTCCACGAGTGTCCTCCTCCATGCCCATCCCCCCTTCCCCCCCACATCCATCAGTCCTCAGTTTTTGTCAGCATTCAAGAGTCTCTCATGGTTTGCCTCTCTCCCTTTCCCCCACCATTTCCCCCCTTCTTCTCCCCCATGGTCCTCCGTTAAGTTCCTCCTAATCCTCCTATACGTGCAAACATATGATATTTGTCCTTCTCTGCCTGACCTATTTCGCTCAGCATAACACCATCAAGGTCCATCCATGTTGCTACACAGGCCAGATTTCATTCTTTCTCATTGCCATGTAGTATTCCATGGTATAGATAAACCACATCTTCTTGATCCATTCGTCCGTTGATGGACACTTAGCTTAACCAGCTCTTAAGCCACTCAGGTGCCCCCCAGATTTATTTTTTTTAAAAGTAATCTCTACACCCAACATGGAGCTTGAACTCACAACTCCAAGACCAACAGGCACCTGTGCAGGTGTTTCTGACTGAGCCGGCCGATGCCTCTGTAAGTGCGGACTTTTATCAACTGCTCTTTCTATCGCCCCTGCTGGGATGATATATGATTTTCGGCCTTCATTCTGTTAATGTCGTAAGTTACACGGATTGTGGATGTTCGACCAGCCAACCTTTTGTCCCTGGAGTAAACCTCACATGGTCATGATGTATTAGACCTGCGTATATACAGCTAGAGCTGATTTGCTCAAATTTTATTTAATTTTTCTGCTAACATTTAAATCAGTTTTTTTGTGTCTACATTCATGGGAGATACTGGCTTCTATTTTTTCTTTCTGTTAACACTGTTGTTGGGTTTTGGATGAAGGCTACACTAGCATTATGAACTGGGGGAGTTTGTGGCATGTTGGCAGTACACACATTACTTCTCTAAACCATGGCAAGAATCATCAGTGAAGAGATTCGAGCCTGGAGCTCTTTTGTCAGAAACTGTTAATTATACACCCATTTCTCTGGGAGAATTCAGACTTTTTATCTATTCTGGTGCTTTTTATAGCAAGGTGTGCTTTTCCAAGGAATTTGTTCATTTCATTTCATTTTTCCAATAGAAAAAACTGTTCAGGGAAACGGACAGAGCAACTGTGGTGTATTTATATAAAGGAACATTAGTCCAGAATAAAAATCAACAGAGCACTGAGGTACTGAACAGCACAGGTGCAGCGTTAAGAACATCATTCCAAGCGAAAGCAGCCAGGTGCGGAAGACTACGCCCACAGGCAGTTCTGCACCAGGCACCGCGACCCTGGTGACAGAAAACCACGTCACTGCTGGCCTTCCAGGTGGCGAGGTTCTACAGAGGTAGAAAGGAACTTTCTGAAATGGAAATGTTCGATATGTTGATAAGCATGTGGGTTGTGTGGGCGCACACATCTGTAGAAGATGGGTGGTAATTACATTTAAGACTTGTATCTTGGGGCGCCTGGGTGGCTCAGTCAATTGAGTGTCTAACTTCAGCTCAGGTCTTGATCTCACGGTTTGTGAGTTCGAGCCCTGCGTCAGGCTTTGTGCTGACAGCTGGGAGCCTGCAGCCTGCTTTGGATTCTGTGTCTCCCTATCTCTCTCTGACCCTCCCCTGCTTACAATGTCTCTCTCTCTCAAAAATAAACATAAAAAAAAAGATCTGTGTCTCTATGTAATACGTAAATTTAAAAGATTTACAAAAATAGAAAGTTATCGAAACTATCCTATTATCTTTAAAACACATATAGCATAGAAAGTGGTGGGAAGTACATCTACACCGTGGTACAGCCATAACCGCTAACCACGCTCACAGTTCTCTTCATCCTGTAAAACTGGAGCACTCCGAGCTCACTAACCCCCATTCCTCCCCACCCGTCACCACTGTTCCACTGTCGGCGATTCTGACTCCTGCAAGTGCCTCACGTGGGTGGAACTGTACAGTATTTGTCTTCTGTGACTGGCGTTTTTTACTTGGCATAATGTCATCCAAGTCCATATCCATGATGTAGGATACTGCATATTTTCCTTCCTTTTTAAAGCTGAATAATAATTCCATTATATGTTTGCAGCACCTTTTGCTGATCCAGCACCCGCGGAGGGACACCGGGTTGCTCCCACATTTTACTACCATGAATGCTGCTGCTGTGAACGGGAGGGTGCAGACACATCCTCAAAACACTGCTTCCAGTCCTGGGTAAATACCCAGAGGCGGAACTGCTGGGTCATACGGTAATTTGAGGTGGTGTCTCCTTAAGGATTAGTGCCCTCCGGCACCTCATGTGCTTGTTGACCATTTGTGTCTTTTCTTTGGAGGAATCTCTATTCAAGTCCTTTGCCCCTTAAAAATTTTTTTTAAGTTTATTCATTTTTGAGAGAGAGCGAGAGAGCGACCAAGCATGCATGAGGAGGGGAGGGGCAGAGAGAGGGACAGAGAATCCTAAGCAGGCTCCACACTGTCAGTGCTGTTAGCGCAGAGCCTGACGTGGGGCTCAAACTCAGGAACCATGAGATCATGACCTGAGCAGAAATCAAGAGTTGGATGCTTAACCAATTAGGCTGCCCAGGCACCCCTGCCCATTTTTGAATCAGGATGTTTATTTCCTCCTATTTTGTGGGTTGCCACTTTACTTTGGGTCTTTTGATGCACAAAATTTTAAAATTTTCATGAAATCCAGTTTGTCTATTTTTTTCCCTGGTAACCTGTGCGAGCTTCTGTCCTAAGTTTCCTTCCACAAGTTTCACTGTCTTGGGTCTTAGTTTAGGTCCTCGCTCTATTTAACTTTTGTGTATGGTGTGAGGAACGGGTCCAGCTTCGTGTTTTCTGCATATGGACATCCGGTTTTCCCAGCGCCCTTTGTTGAAGACTGTTCTTTCTCCATTGAGTGATCTTGGCACACTTGTCAAAAATCACTGGAGTGTGTATGTGAGGGGTTATTGCTGAGCCCTCTATTTTCTCTCATGGGGTCTACTGGTCTGTCCTTATGCCAACAAAACACCGCCTTGATGGCTGTAACTCTGTAGTTAAGTTTTGAAATCAGGAAGTGTTAAGTCCTTCAAGTTCTGTCCTTCTAAAGACTTGTTTTGGTTGTTCAAGCCCCTTAAGATTCCATGTGAATTTTAGGATGGGTTCTTCTTTTTCTGCAAAAAAAGTCATTCGGGTTTTGATGGGGTTGTACTGAATCTGTAGAGGGCTTTGGGTAATATCGATATTTTAACAATATTAAGTCTTACGATCCATGAACATGGGATGTGTTTCCATTAATTTAGGTCTTCAATTTTCTTTTAGCAGTGTTTTGTAGTTTTTTCATGGTACAATTCTTTCACCTGATTGGTTAAGTCCCAAGTATTTTACTCTTTTTATGTGCTATTGTAAATGAAATTGTTTTTGTAATTTCCTTTGCAGATTGTTCACTGAGTATGGAAATGCACCTGATTTTTGTGTGCTGACTTTGTACTGTTATTTTGCTGAATTTATTTATGAGCTCTAACAGCTTCTTTGTGGAGCCTTTACTATTTTCTACATATAAGATCACATCATATGCAAAGAAAGTTAAATTTACTTCTTCCTTTCAGATTTGAATGTCTTGTCTGTCTTGTCTAATTGTTCTGGCCAGCACTTCTAATACTGTTAAACAGAAGCACAGAAGCGAGCATCCTCATGTAGCTCGTGACGTTAGAGGAAAAGCTTTCTGTCTTTCATTATTGAGAATTACGTCCGCCATGTGTTTTCACACAGGACTCTCAGGGGCCCCTGTTCTCTTCAGGGGTACTTTCCAAGACCCTTAGTGGAGATCTCAAACTGGATAGAAACAAACCCTGAATATACTGTGTCTTTTCCTAAACACATATACCTATGATAAAACTTGATTTATAAATCAGGAACAGTGAAAGATTAACAACAAATAGGTAATAATAAAACACAGTTATAGCAATGTATTGTAATAAAAGTTAACTGAATGCAGTCTCTTTCTTCCTCTATCTTACTTTACTCATTCTTCCTTTCTTTGTGATGACGTGAGATGATAAGATGCTTACGTGATGAGACGAAGTGAAGTGGATGACGGAGGCACTGTGACGTAGCGTTAGGTTAACAGACCTTCTGACCACACGTCAGAGGGAGGATCATGTGCATCTAGACCAAGGCTGACCACCCACAACTGACACCGAGCAGAGTTAAACCATGGACAAGGAGGACTACTGTATTATGTGAAGGTAGTTTTCTTTCTACTTCTTTCTTTCGCAGGCAAGGCTCCGTGCTGCCAACGCAGAGCCTGATGAGGCGGGGCTCCAACCCAAGAACTCTGAGATCCTGACCTGAGATCAAGAGTCACGTACTTAACTGACAGCCACCCAGGCACTCCTCTGTACTGGTTTCCACAGTGGCTGCACCAACTCACATTCCCACCTACAGTGCGCAAGGATTCGCTTTAATCCTTTTCCTCACCAACACTTGTTATTTATTGTCTTTCATAACAGCCATTCTAACAGGTGTGAGGTGGTATCTCCTTGTGGTTTTGATTTGCATTTCTCTGATGACAAGTAATGTTGAGCCCCTTTTTCATGCACTCGTTGGCCATCTTCATGTCGTCTTTGGAAAGATATCCATTCAGATCATTTGCCCAGTTTTTAATTAGACTGCTTTGTTGCTACTGAGTAGTAAGAGTTCTTCATATATATTTTAGATATTAACCACTTGTCAAATATCTGAATTGTAGTATTTCCCCCCTCTGTAGGTTACTTTGTTGATGGTTTCCTATGCTGTAAAGAAACTTTATAGAGTTTGATGTGGTCCCACTTGCTCATTTCTGCTTTTGCTTACCTTTGCTTCTGGAGTCAAACCCAAAAAATCCTGCCTGAGACCGAAGTCGAGGAGCTTATCCCCCAATGACTTCTAGGAGTTTTGTGGTTTCAGGAATTATGTTCCGAGTCCTCAAGACGTCTGGACTTGACTGTATGTAGTGTAAGACAGGCATCCAGTTTCACTCTCTCATGTGTGGCTGTCTAGCTTTCCCAGCACAATTTATCGAACAGACTGCCTGATCCCTACCTTTGCCTTAAGTTGATCACCTGAATGCAGGTTTATCTCTGTTGAACGACGTTCACTTCTATCTATTTTTATGCCAATACCATACTGTTTTGATTATTACAGCTTTGTAACAGTTTGAAATCAGGAAGTGTGATGCCTCCAGCTTTATTCTTCTTTCTCCATTCTTTTCAAGATCTGGGGTATTAGGATTCTTTGTCCTATTTCCCTGAAACTTGCCTCTGAAGTTTTGATTTTTATTGCATTGAGTCTGTAGACAGCTTTTGGCAGTCTGGACATTTTTAACTTTAATTCTTCCATTCCATGAGCATATAATATCATCCATTTATTTGTGCCTTCTACATTTTTTTTTCACTACTGAATTACTAATGATTTCAATGCACATGCTTTTTACCTCCTTGGTTAAATTTGCTCTTAGGTATTTTATCTTTTATGCTGCTGCTGGGAATGAGAGGACTGTTTCTTACTTTCTCTGACAGGCCGTTATTAGAGTATGGAAATTCAACTGAATTGCATATTTTGATTTTGAATCCTGCAATGTAAATGACATCATTTATCAGTTCTAACAGTTTTTTTTTTTTTGTAGAGTTGTTAGGGTTTTCTGTATACGACGGCACGTCATCTACACATTGAGACAGATCTACTTCCTCCTTTCCAATCTGGATGTATTTGACTTCTTTTTCTTGCCTAATTGCTCTGGCGAGTACTTCCAGTACTGTGTTGAATAAAAGTGGTACGAGTGTTTTCTCATCTGTTTGTTTAATGTTTGTTTATTTTTCAGGGGGACAGGGCCTGAGAGAGAGGGAGACAGCGGACCTGAAGCAGACTCTAAGCTGACAGCAGATAGCCCAATGTGGGGCTCAAACTCATGAACTGTGAGATCATGACCTGAGCCAAAGTCAGACACTTCAATGACTCTGAGCCACCCAGGTGCCCCAAGAGTGTTTTCTGATCTTAAGAGTAAAAGTTGTCAGACGTTCACCACTGAGTATGATGATAGCTGTGGGATTGTTGTACGTAGCCTTTATTATATTGAGGTATATTCCTTCATGCCTACTTTGTTTAAAAGATTTTCTTTAATATTTATTTTTGAGAGAGAGAGACAGAGCATGCTGGGGAGGGGCAGAGAGAGAGGGAGACACAGAATCTGAAGCAGGCTCAGCTGTGCTGACAGCTCAGAGCCTGATGAGAGGCTTGAACTCATGAGCTGTGAGACCTTGACCTGAGCCAAAGTCAGATGCTTAACCCACTGAGCCACCCAGGCGCCCCTCATGCCCACTTTAAGGTTTTAATCATAAATAGATGTTGAATTCCACTCTGTCACTTGATTGGAGAGTTTAAGCCATCTGCTTTTTATTCTTTAAGATTTTAAGTAATCTTTATACTCAACATGGGGCTCGAACCTATGACTCTGAAATTAAGAGTTGTACACTCCACCAGGTGAACCAGCCAGGTGCCCCAGGCCTCCAAAGTTTCTGATGAGAAGTCTGCAAGTTCTCTTATTGAGGATCCCTTGTATGTGATGATGTGCTTGTCTAATGCCGCTTTCACGATGTGGTCTATATCTTTTCCAAGTCTGATTATGTTTTGTGCTGTGTCATTAAGTCCTTCTCACTTGGGGCTCAGTGAGCATCGTGGTTGTTTATAGTCATGCTCCCATCAAATTTAGCAAGTTTACAATCATCATTTGTTCAAATATTTTGTCTGCTACTTCTGGGAGGCCCACGACCCACATGCTGGCCTGCTGGATGGTGTCCCAGAGGCTGCCAAGGGTCTGTTCTCTCTCTCTCTCTTTTTTTAAAAATTTTCCCCTAATGTTTTATTATTTCTGAGAGAGAGAGAGAGAGAGAGAGAGAGAGAGAGAGACAGGGTGAGCAGGGGAGGTTCAGAGACAGAGGGAGACACAGAATCTGAAACAGGCTCCAGGCTCTGAGCTGTCAGCACAGAGCCCGACGCGGGGCTCGAACCCACCGTGTGATCATGACCTCAGCCGAAGTCAGATGCTCAACCGACTGAGCCACCCAGGTGCCCTGGGTCTGTCCTCTTTCCTTCAATTTTTTTTCTTTCTGTTCTTCAGATTTGAGAATTTCCACTGTCATTATCTTGAAGTTCATGGATTTTTTCTTTAGTTTGCTCAACTCTGTGTTTGAATCCCTCTAGTGAATTTCTCATTTCAATTATGGTACTTTTCAGAATTTTTTAGTTTCTTTTTAGGCTTTCTATCTCTTATTTGCATTTTGTTCATACATCACTTTCATGAATTTCTCCACCGCATCCCGTAGTTCTTTGAGCATCTTTGGGCATTTGTTTTGAAGTCAGTATCTAATGTATCTGCCATTGAGTCCTTTTTAGAGAAAGATTATTTTGAATTATTTTTTCCCTTTGAATGGGCCATGGTTCTCTGTTTCTTTGTATTCCTTGTGATTTTTCCTTGAACGCTGCAAATTTGAACCTAATAATGTGGCATGTTTGGAAATAACATTTTCCCTCTTTCCCCAGTGTTCACATATTCTAACCTTTAATTTCTGGCTCCCGAAAGGAACAAAAGTGAAAAATGAAGGGGAAGAAAACAGGGCCCTTCAAATCTCTTGGAAGTCACTTCAGGTGGAGGAGGAGGGACCACAGCAATGGCTGCCCCTGTGTCTGCACCGCTGCGATCAGAAGCCAGATCAGAGCGATCAGAGCCAGATCCCCGACGATCAGAGCCAGATGCCCGACGTCTGGAGGACAGGGGCCTTTGTAGCAAGCCCAGCCTCTGCGTCGGGGAACCGGCTGTTCCAGGAATGCCTGCAGAGCCGCCTGCCATGTGGCTGGGGGCAGGGAGGGGGTGGCTGCTACTGTTCTAAGTTGAAATGGACTAAAGGAGCCACGCTTTGCCATCTCAGCTTCCCCTAGAAGTTGCAAGCTTTCAACAGACTCCAGCTCCAAAATTATTACATCAGATTCTGCCAGTGTGATTATCTAAGATGTAATTTTTTTCCTTTTCAGTTAGATTCTAATCTATTTTACTTATTTTTGTTTCTCTCTGTGACAAATCCAGTGGGCTTGCAGTGAATATGCTGCACGAGCTCACTGGCGAACACGGGACAGTGCCTGACGCGCGGTGAGCCGGCCGAACGCACCGCGTTCTGCTCCTGCGCGCACCACTACAGTTCCCGGGAGCGGTTCGGATGGGGTGACAGACGGCAGCAGCTTCCTCTCTGCCTGGAGGGTATGGCGTACCGGGACCGCCAGAGGTCCGTGCCGGCTGACTCCCACCATGGGAAGATTCACCTATTGATACCCTTACGCCTTCTGTTCTGCTGGACGCTTGGCTTCACCTCCCCCTGCCTTCTTACCATTTCTGCATCTCACAGTTGGGATCGCAGCTGTGGTTGATGAATCGGGCCTCGTTCCCCATGCGGTAACTGTCAATCACCATCCCGCTATCCAGGTTCAGGCAGTAGTGGTCGCTGTGATTATGATATTGCTCAATCATCCTGTTCCTAAAGAGGAGAGGAAGAATTGAAAGCCCGTAAAGACTAGGCTGGAAGTAAATCTGATATCTTCCATTCTCCATTCTCATCTGGTGGCCCCGCTGTTCTATCGGGGCGTCCCCGGCGGCCCCCGTACCTGAACTCCTGCTCGCTGACAACCTCCCCCAGGTACTCGATGATGAACTGCCCGGCTGTCAGGGGCTCTTTGGTTCTGATTCCCCAGCCTTTCTCCTCGGCTCGAAATCGTTCTAGACATTGCACCCACTCGTGTCGCTGTATCCTCTGGTTACAGCACTGCTCGCCACAGGGACAAGTGGTGGGGGAACACTCAGCAAAGATCATTCTAGAAAGAAAAGAGATAATTGAATGTCAATTAATATTACATATGCCTTCATGAACCCATTTTTGTTTTATAGGAACTTTAAAAAGGAATACATGCAACTTTTAATTTTAGCAGGGTTGGATTGGTTAACAAGGTACTAATACGTAACTCCAAAACTTCATAATACTGAAAATTACCAAGTAAAGTTATAAACACTGAATAGATTAAACTAACTGCCCACTAAGCATCCTGGGTAAACACGATATCATATTTAGCTCTGTGCTAAGAATAAAACTACAGACCATAGAGGAATTAAGAATTTAAAGATAACACAGCATTTTTGCTTTGAAGTAGCTCATGGGTATGTACAGATTGTTTTTCTTTTAAATTGTGGCAAAATCACACATAAACTGTACACTGTAAATATTTTTAAGCATACAGTTCAGTACATTTGTGTTGTTGTTGTTTTATAAGAACTTTATATTTCATTAGTGTAAATGACATTACCATACTGGAAATAACATTTCCAGTCTATATACTAGCTGAACCTATGACCGCTAGTGAATTAACAAGCAAAAAGTTCTGAACACAGCAGACGAAGTGCTGTGTACCTGTTTTCTCCCTGCTTTTTGGTTTTAAAATTCTAGATCTTTCACAGAAGTGGTTTAGTTTTGGTATATGGTTTGAAATCCCAGTAAGGCTACTGAACATGATTAAAACAAGGGATTATCAAGGATATAATGGTAGCTCAGAGTATCAAATTTTATATAATGTATACACACACAGAATTTACAAATCTTGTAAAAAAAAAAAAAAAGCATGTAACATTTTACAATCTGTCAGTCTTTCTTCAAATAAACATTACTCTTATCTAAAGAGCAAACAGAGCACGGTGTCAAGTCACATAAATGAGCAGTAAGAGTCCCCGTGGATGACAGTCAGCTCAACCCGTGAGAGGCACTTCCTTATTGTCAAGTTCACCACCTTTATGCTTCCTTCTGAGGAACTCTGCACCGCATGATACTACGACATACCCTTCCTGAAAATGTCTCCTTTTATCTGCCTTCCTTGGTCCTGCTCACAAACCAAGGTTTTACTGGATTTACTGGGGAAAATCTTACCGAGTTTACAAATAATGTTGGACACATTCTTAATGTATTTATTTGAAGTAATGATAAAAACTCACTGCTTGTTTTTTTTTTTTTTAATTAAAGTTTTATTTATTTCTAGGAGAGAGAGAGACAGGGTGAGCAGGGGAGGGTCAGAGAGAGAGGGAGTCACAGAGCGAAACAGGCTCCAGGCTCTGAGCTGGCAAGTCAGCACAGAGCCCAACGCGGGGCTCGAACCCACGAACCGCAAGATCATGACCTGAGTGAAAGTTGGACGCTTAACCGACTAAGCCACCCAGGCACCCCTTTTTTTTTTTTTATTAAATTTTTCACTGCTTTTTTTTTTTTTTTTTTAAATGTTTTATTTATTTCTAGGAGAGAGAGACAGCGTGAGCAGGGGGGGGTCAGAGAGAGAGGGAGGCACAGACTGAAACAGGCCCCAGGCTCCGAGCTGGCAGTCAGCACAGAGCC